GGAATATTGCAGTCGAAGGTCTCCGCTTGCTGCGGTTCATGTACTCAGGCTGCTCCGACAACAGCCGTACCATTAGTGTCACTGCCACCGCAGATGCAAAATGTGGTCACTTGGCTGGGATGAGATCAACCATATGCAGTGTGATATTGGGTCCCTTCCCACGGTTGAAGTGATTGGGTAATTTGGTGTTGCAAACAACCTTTTGTTGAAATGATGATGGCCTGATTGGCATGTTACGGCATGTTCATACCGATTCATACCTGTAAACAGAATTCTGTGTAGAAGTGCAATAGCTGTCTTGAGGCTCACTGCTCCCAGTGTGGATCCAGTATCGGCGCTGGCCACAATTTCTGTGGCAAATGTGGTGCCGAGCGGCCAAGGACAGCAGGGAAGGGCCTCCGGGAAGGGGATGTCTTCAGCGGTGGTCCAGTGGGGATGTCGTGGCATGTGCTCTGAATGTCCTTTGCCAGGACAATCCCCAGTCGGGTTCTGCGGCCAGTGAATGGTGATATGCCGCAGCAGGCAGCTGGATGTGGGCATGGGTGTTGTTTATGGTGGTCTGTTAATGTTGTTAATGATTTTAATGTTGTTAATGATTTTAATGTTTTTAATGATTTTGATGATTTTAATGATTTTAATGATTTTAATGATTTTAATGATTTTAATGATTTTAATGATTTTAATGATTTTGATGATTTTGATGATTTTAATGATTTTAATGATTTTAATGATTTTAATGATTTTAATGATTTTAATGATTTTAATGATTTTAGTGTTGTTGTTGTTGTTGTTGTTTGCTGCTGCTGCTGCTGGTGGCGGTGGTGGTGGTGGTTGTGGTGGAGGTTGCAAACTGCAAGATTGGGATGGTACATCTCAGGACCAGGAAGTAGTGGGTCATTTCTTTCCAGGCAGCTCAGCCTGGTCCTTGGCTGATGGAACCGGTGACAGCTCGGCTGAGCAACGTCCGGTATCTCAAGTGTCAACTGAGTTGTTCTCCACGGATCCCATAGAGCTTGGGAAAATGTATACTGGAGAATTGGAGAATGTGTATTGGAGAATGCGTTATATTCATGGCACACCGATAGAGACATTAGGAGCTACTCAGCTACTCTATAGTAGATAGACCTGAGGTGGTGTCGCCGCAAGTCCAGAACCAGGGTTCCATGCACCGACAATCGATGGACAGATTTTCAAGTAGATTGGCCAGCCAAACCAGGCCAAAGCAAAGCCAATTCATGGACAGGTCCATTCCAGGACAGAAGTTAAATCATCATATCGCCCTTGCCAGAGATCTCTGAATTTTGATGTGGAACCATGTGGAACCTATAAAACCACAGTAGAATTACTGTAGAATTTTCAAAGAGGTCTTAGGATTCGTTTGTTTTGGTCAACAAAACACAACTTGCTTAAGAAACTGCGCAGTGATGCTTTGCTGAGGCCCCTCAGTCGCAGCCGTCTTCCTTCACAGCAATGCCAGGGCCGCCGAGGTGGGCTGATGATGGCTGTGGTTGAAATATGGTTTTTACATTGTGATGTTTCACAGTTGGTGAAAACTGGACGCATTCTTTTTCTCTCCATCCATATACTGTATATAGAGTTCATCCAATCTTGTTTCTTTTGACCCAGCTGAGCATTGCCATTTGCTCTAGCCGAATCATGGGCTGCGTCGTGTAGGCACATTGTGACGAGTCAACTGCGGAAGCCTGGAGAAAACGATGTCTTCCTGTCTTCCTGTTTTCTGACGGTGTGGCATGAAAGTTTTTGCATCACAAGAGTCTTTTCAAGTCATGAGTGCATTTTATCAAGTCCTGTGAGCCAGTCTGACGACCAACTACCTAGACTTCTTTTCTGGCCTATAATTTTATGAGAAGATCTGATTGTACTGTAACTTTATGAGGGACTCTTCCTTCAAGGGACTCTTCCTTCAAAACCACTGCGCGTAGAGAAACCTTGAGACTTATGGAATTTGGACTAGTGTGCAGGCCATACAGGCCGTGCTTTGCAAAGGGCTCAATCCCTCACCAAGTTGTGGGTACACTGTGGGTGACTCCTTGCTGAGGACCAGTTCACCTCGTCAGGTGCAGTGGGAAAGCTTGGGTCTTGCCGAGAGTACAGAAGAACAATGGAAGACATGTCATTTCCTGGGAACCCAAGATGTCGTGAGCCTCAGTGCACTTCCCTTCTCTTATGCCCATGATTCACCACAGATTCACCACAGATTCACCACGGTGTTTCGCAGATCCGCGGCACATCAAAGCCAGACGACGAGTGCCCAGCGTATGGGTCTGGTACTGCGTGGCCTGCGGGCAGGGTCTGACGGTCTGACTTCTGCGATGGAAGACAGTTGAGAAGTCATGAGAATCATCCTTCAATTGGTTAGTTTGCCCCATTATTCATCATTATTCTAGGAAATCCAGAGATGTCAACGTAAATTTCTTGAGGTCATCTAGTTGCATCCATTTACGTCTATTTTAAGTGACTGTTTGAAGCTATTCCCTCCATGAAGTCGTCGCTCGCACCTTGATCTGCCTGTTTGTGCTTCAAGGTCCATTGAAATTGCAAATCATTTGATTTCTGTAGATCTTTATTCAGTTTCTTGGAAGATATTGAAAGATAAAACAGCAAGAGTTTTAAAACACATGTAATTGGCTTGTTGATGTTTCCTCTTGCGAAGACAAGGATGCTAAAGCTTGAAGTGTCTCAAAGTGCATCAGAGCTTCTCACAATCTGGTGCCATGTTGGAGAACATCTCCTATCCCTTGCAGCCAACACCTTAATCTTCCAACTGTCAGTGTCTCACCATGCGGATCTTTATTTTTCCTTTACAGGTCACACGCAGTTTTTCGTGTTCACCTAGGCTCTCCTCGCTCAACGCAGAGCTTCATGTGCATTCCCTGCGGGAAAGGCAAAACGCTGGCAGCTGCGATGAACGGTGTGCAGATCCGTTTGAGAAAGTTTGAGCCTGTTCATGCCATTTTGAGGCATAGCAGCTACGCAAGCTGATCGTTTTCATGCACAGCAATGGATGTGTCGTGCTGTGAGGTGTCGCACCGCAGCACCTTTGAGGGCAGCTGCAGAGGCAGGAGATGTTGCCCGGTGGCCCAGACAATTTCAGTGTTCATTTGTAGTACTGGCAGTAGTACAGGGAGTGCTCAGTGCTGCCAGAAAATTTCAGAGATTGGCGTTGTTCTGGGAAAACACCCCAGTCGGATACTATTTGCTTTTAGCATTGGAGATGGTCTGAGCAGACTTGTGCGAGATCAGAAGACTCACCTCTCGGTGCACCAAATCAGAAATCCTTGGCTGACTGTTGTACATTTCCGCACCAGCTGGATTTGTGCACCGCTACTATCAAGTCAGAGTGTGCGTGGGAATGACCTGAGAATTGGGTAAAACTTTCCAATGTCTTGGGTGTGAATCCTACGCGATCCTTTATCTTGCAATTTGTGCTGTGCTGTGTTGCAAACAACTGCGAGGCCCGCGTGTCTCAAGTGCTCCGTCAGGCAGTCCATGTTTCCAAGGGAGAAATTTGGCAAACCAGCTCTGCATGTCACGACAGGAGACGCAGAGTCAGCGGTTTTGTTCTCGGCTGCCAACATGTGACTTCAAGATTCATCCTGGTTTTGGTTGGAGATGTTGGATGTCCAACCTGGTTGTGTGTTCAACCTGGAATCCAAGAAACCAGCCGCATGGGCCACATGGGCCACATGGGCCACATGGGCCACATGGGCCACACACCCATTGCAGGTTGGCACTGCGTCAGATGGTGCCAAAGTGGCATTGCGAGTAGCTGTCGCAGCAGGTGAGACCACAATGGAGGAAATCGTCTTGTTCCAGACGCTGGTGATGATACTTTCGATTTCAGGGCAGTTTTGTGAAGAATTGGAGGAATTGTTTCTGCATGTTCTTCTGAACCTCAAGGGTGCAGGAGCTGCATCTTGTTTTTTTTTTCTTGACAACTTTGTTTTATTAGCCGATTAGCCTGGGAGGTCAAGCAGAGCTTCCGCCATGTTTATCCAATTCCGAAAGACTGGTTTGCTGCATGAGATACGAGACTGCATGACGAGTCGATGAGTGTGTCAGGTTATATAAACGTCTTCGAAGTAGCCTCTAACTATTCTAACTGATCAATTGATATCCATTTTACAAACGCATTTCTTGAGCATGACAATGATCATTCAAAGGAGGAGCGTTCAAGGCTGCTGGAATGACGAATCGTGCTTTGCCTCGTAGCTTCAAGACTCAAGCAGTCAAATCTTCGACTCCTGCGAAAGACAAGATCCTTTTTTGAAGAGGCAGGAAATTGCAGTTCATGTCAGTGGTCAGAAGTCAGAAGCAGAGAAGTTTCTCTGTCATCCTGATACCGCAGGAGCAGATTTCTTGTTGAATTGCCTGAAATCTGTTGCTACCCACGCTTGACTGTCACCCTGCTAATATCCAGTCTTTCTAGGTTTGCCTACAATGCGAACTTCCATACGAGGCCAATCAATTTAGAGCAGTCTCTTGACAGCCAGTGTGTCTGCACTTGCCGATATGCTTTGTTTGGAAAGTTTCAGCTTCTTTGCTTCGGAGAGAGAATCGAGCCTGTTCTGAATCTTTCACTTTTGCAGTTACGCTGGTCCTTCAAGCGCTTTCCGCCGCTGAGATGCAAGATGAGTCAGTGACCAGCAAACTGAATTCTTATTACAGGTTCTTCTAGTGATCATGTCCAGATTTTGTGATCAAACGTGAATTCGCGCTGCCTGCACACGCTATTTGAGCAGCCTTCATTTGTTCAGCATGGGATGAACACCTTTTTTGGATTTTGTTTGAATACTGCAGGATTTGGATTCGGCATGTCTGCAGCCTTTTGGCTTCCAAACCGAATGTAGCGCCCACGAGTCTCTCGACCAGCTGGGCACCATGGAAGCAGACACCGGTGGCGCCGCAGATGCAGCACCGAGCAAGAAGACTAGGCACCCAACGATGCTCCTGCTTCGGATGAGGAGGCAGAAAACTTCATGAGGCGCGGCCGATTCTTGTCCAAACATGCCCAAACGAGATTATTTTTGCGTGACTCTTCATCATTTTTCATATATAGATTTGCAATGATTTGCATGATTTGTTTCTAGTATGGCATAGTATCTGATCGCACAGCTTGGATGCATGAATGTAACTGTTGTCTCTGCATTTCCGCATGTGTTCATGGTCCTTGTGTGCTTTGTTGCTACTCCAAATGCATCTACAACAAGCCGACCATAGCCGACATAGCCGACCTGTCCAGTGATGCAGGATGTACTCACCACGGAGTTTCTGTAGCACTCCAGCACCATTGCGGCGACGACATTTGAGTTCAACCACCGAGCTCCCTGAGTCCCTTGGACTCGCTAGATTCAGCTTTTCCGTGCTTTTCCAACTTCTATTTCGGCAAGATTAGAAACAACAGTCTCTCACCTTACATTATAATATACATCAATACCTTACATCAATATAATATACATCAATACCGTCAATAACTTTAGAATCCTTTAAATTGATTTAAAACAGCTAGCTGCGCTTTTTCATGACCGGACTTTGACTTGGCTTTTGCCTCTCATGTGGTGATTGGTGGTGAGGTTGCAGTGGCGTCAGTTCTTGACGCTCAAAGGTCCACCACTTCTCTTGGTGGCGGTGTTGCTGCCTTTGTGTAGCTTGGTGCCACAGTGTGCCACATGGCAAAAGAATACGAAGGGCATAGTCGGCATAGTGAAGACTTTCAGCACCTGAGGCATGTGAATTTGAGGTTTCATAAACAGCGAAGTGTGATGATCGCTGCAGGATTTTGGACCTTGGTCTCTTTTTATCCAGATTAAACCTACGCGAAGTTCTTGCGAAAGACTTGTGTAGCCTTTCCAGATATGTTTTCCTTTCTTGACCTTGTCTTTCGAGATTACCTTGGACATCCTTGGACTACTTTCACAGGTATGAGAACCTTTGGCTTGGAACCACAGGCACGTTGTGCCCTGATCATGGTGGGTGTGCTCACATTGAGCTTATTTGAGGCCGGTGAAGCCCAAAATCCTGCAGGAGTTGGGTGCTGTCCCAAACTTTGCAACTGCCCCGCTTCAGCTTTTTTGCTGTTCATTTTGGGAAGATTATGGGAGATTGTAGATTTTCAGTGAGCATTGAAGCAATCTGAAGCAATCTGAAGCAATCTGAGGCAATCTGAGGCAATCTATTCCATGCATTCCTAAACACGCTGCTCCTTTTCATTGAATGACCTGCAGGTGATGCCGCTCTTTTGCGTGGCACTGTTCATCCCGGTGATGGGGAGCGTCTCTGCAGTCTTTGGAGAAGCCCGGACGATGATGACAACCTCCACGATTCTCTTGGGGAGCTTCTTCAACCAGACCTCCTTCCTGGTGGGGAAAATGCCAGGATATTCAGCATATTTCAGCATATTTCAGCATTCAGATTGCTATAGATGGCTTTAGATTGCTATAGATGGCTTAGAGTCTGGGAGTCTCGGACTCTTTCTTCTTGTTGCTCATCAATCACATTCTGTGAGATGGTCACCAGAATTTCTAGTCTTGAGAGAGTAGCATTCAGTAGCCTTCAACCCAACCAACGGTGCAGAAAGCCGTGGGAAAATCTCTAGGTTTCCATGCTTTCCATGGTTTCCATGGTTTCCATGGTTTCCAGGTGCTGGGAAGCTTGGTGATCAATGCCGTCTTCGCCAAGTGTGGCATCTTAGACCTCTTGACGTCCACGTTGCTGAGACGGTGGAAGCTGCAGAGCAAGAGCTTCCTGTGGCCTGGATGACGATTACATAAACGACATCTGTTTTTCATCCATTTTCCAGTAGAGTCAGTAGAGAGTGTTCGAGATCTTCGACGCGTTGGAAATGTTGGCATATTTGGAAACTTCCATCCCTCAAGCTGCATGATTCTTCCAAGAGGAAGAAAGCAAGTGACATTGGGTGTGATATTTTTTTCTTCGGCATAGAGGAGTTTCACTTGAGTAAAAATGTTTCAATGGACTACTGATGGACTGCATTGAACCATTGAAACATTGGGATTTGATCAGGCCTTCCCAAGGCGAAAGGGTGACTTTCAAGCCAGTCCTTCCAGGTTGGTCATCATGCTGTGCACCATGGCAGCGTGTTCTGTGCTCCTGGGACTGTAAAACAAGTAAAACAATTTCATAAGTTTTTATGTTTGAAATTGGTCGACGTTCTGTACCCGATGCACCAGAATACCATGATACCGATGATACCATGATATTCTCTGAAGGTTGTGCTCTGGCTCTATTGTGGTGCTCGCGGCCTTGAAGCCACTCATGCGTCAAGGTGGTGCCCTCAGGATCCCTCAGGTTACGTCAATCTTTTGGAAACACCTGTTTTGCTGGGCTTCGAAGTGAAATCTTTGAGCGCAATGGATGAACCAGATACATCTGTGTTCTCAACACATCGTTTTCATTCGTTTTCAGGTGGCCCTTGGTTCTCAGTAACTTTCGCAACGAGATTTACAGTGTTTTTTCTCAGCAAAAATCATGAAAAATCAGCCTTTCACATTCACCAAGGCCTGGAGGAAAGCTGTATCAAACGACTGCTTTTGGGCGTGGCTTTTGCTGCGAATGCGGGATCGGTTTTGTTGCCCATCTCGAGCACCACGACCCTCATCACTTTGAGCAACTGGGCTGTTCGAGCTGTAAGTGCTTCTATGACTCTTCTATGTGCTTGTTGTTTTCTTGGAAAATGGACATGGAGTTTTGATTTTGATGTTTCATTCGGATTTGTACTTTTCCTGCATTTTGCGGTGGTCTTTGCCTTCCAAAGTTGATGATATGCATTGTGACATGGTATATTCTTTCCATTGTGCAAAGTTCCTGTCCTTTCTGTGTGGACCGCATCAGCTGTCGCCTCAAATTGCAAGGCTTATTGAGGGATTTCGACCATCGACTCTCCCTATGGAGCTGGATATTCGTCTCTGGACCTGTGGCACTGTTCCTCTCTGGAAATTTTGTCAAACTTTTCCATCCTTTCATCTTCAATGGCTTTAATGGCTTTGAACTTTTGCCCAAAAAGATCTGATTTTTTTTTGCACCCGGTTCTCATTGATTGAGGTTGAGCACCATCATTTGCTGGTGGAGCTTAGTGAGTCTCTTCCCTGCAGAGGAGGATGCTGATGAGGAGGTGCTTCGGAGCGTGGAAGAAGGTTTCGAAGAGACCGAGAGGTGCCACGGCTGAATGAAATCTTTAGGAAACCAATTAGGAAACCAATGGAAACGGAATAGCCATGAATAGCCATGAATAGCCATGAATAGCATGGATGTCCCGAGAAGCAGGGCATTGCCAACCGGTTTCGTTTGAGCCCGGGGATGTTGCTGGCACGGCGTTGCCATCTTTCACACTGCAGGCCACAGCTTCTGAGACAGTGGAGCATGTCACATGCGTCGGAGCTAGTGATGACAGATGGCCATTGGATCATGCTGCTACTTGGCGAAAGTGCGGATGGATATCCTCCATCTGGTGATACTGGTGATACTGGGTACATACACTATATTACTTTGCTATCTTTGCCCACAGTTTACGGTCTGGGTGGAGTTTTTTGATGTTTTTGTCCTGTTGACCTGCCATGGAAGTGACCGGGGGAAATATCATTTTGCCATGGAATCCCAGGTGCTTGACCTGCCTGGCAGTGCTTGGGATGACTGTCTTTGCGGAGACCCTGGAGCCCGTTCTGGGACATCCGGCCATCGTGGCACTGGCAGTGGAATCTTGGTCAACATACCACTGCGCCAACAAAATCGAACAACATCTGCCATCGGCAACCAGTTGCTTCATCACTTCCTCACGTCATCACTCATTCACTTCGTCACTTACTTTCGGATCTTTGAAATGTTGGGATGTTGAGGTGGTGATTGCTTTCGGAAGTGGCTTCATGTCGCGCGATGAGTTCTTGACTTTGGAGTGGGACTTGCCACTTGGTGCTGTGCGGGATACGTGCCATGGGGCATGGTTCCTTTTTCCCTAAAGCAAGTGGAATTCATAGCGAATATATATTATGATTCGATGTGATTGGGCTTCATGACTTCATGATCATCATGGATTCAGTGTTATCAACTTGTGGAATCAGATGCCACAAAGATCTACAGAGCATATGGCACCAGTTGGATCAATGTCGATACCTTTTGATTGCGGTCTCTGCCCAAGACAGATCCAGGGTAGCCTGCTAGATGCATCTGGTATCGTTGGTGCATGAACCCTTTGAACTGTATGAACGGGACCATTCAAAGCAAACCTAGGTCCTCCATTGTGTTCATTTTGCGCCATTCAAATGTTGGAAAAACATGTCCATTTCTGCAAAGGTTGGCCATTGTCGGTGGCACCAATGTCATGGCACTGATGGTGCGAGAGACAGCGCTGGCAGCACACGCATCAGTCCTCTTGACGCAAAGCACGTTCTTCGAATACTTGCCATTTTGGCCTTTGTTGGTTCTGGTGATTTCTTTCCTATTGTGCCTCGGCTGGATGCTTTTCATCTCTGTGCAGTAAATTCCCAGATGTGTTGACTCAGAGAGAGAGGCTTTCAACATAGTTGAAATTTGTTGAAGTAAAAGCGCCAGCTGAGGCCGTTTGGTACCTTCTGCGGACATTCCTTGACTGCCGTGCTGATCTTGCCATTGCTGGTGCCTCTGGGAGTGAAGCTGGAAGAGGCAAGGATGGAATTCACCATATTTCACTATTTTACCATTGGATTTTGGTAGGCAATTTTAGGGCGAGTTTCGCGTTTGTGGGCTTTCAGTTGTTTTCAGACTTGACAATGTGGAGGCAAACTTCTTTGCTTTGCTATGTTGCATTGCGATCCCTTTTGGCATGGGTATGCCAAACGCTTCCTGGCCGAGATTAGGAATGAGCCTGGCCTGAGCGATGCTAGATGGTCCGGCAGAGGAGAATGATGAGCAAACACAACTTGATAAAGTGGCACTTACAACTCTTCTTTCACTGGTAAAGTAGCAAAGCGGGAAGCCTGGGATTCGTTGGGTACCACTGTCAACAGAGATGTTTGGTGGAGTCTGGTGTTTACGAATCGTTACGAGGCATCCTTCGACAACATGGCAGCACAGATGCTCTCCCAGACATTGAAGCGGAAACGCTGCGAGACTTGGCAGAATGCGGATGAGTCAGCATATGTCAGCATACAGCCAATAGTATGTCAGCATCCTTCGTTAGAGTCCAGAGTGCACTGAGTGGATCGCCATTTGTTCAGTCCAAGACATTCATCCACCGAAAAGAGGTAAGAATGGAGGGAATCTAGAATGTTGGGGAACCTAGTTTGGGGAAAACCAAGAACACAGAATCTATCGTGTGGGTGTTCTGATGGAATTCTGTCTAACCAGTGCCACAGTGATTTCTGAGGAGTTGACTCTGCGAGACTTCTTCTTTAGTGGCAGTTTGATGGCCCTGACGGGGGGACTGCTGACGGTGACCCTGGGCATCTTGTTGCAACCAGACCTTGCAACCAACGAGACAGATTAGCACACAGATGAAACGTATCGAAACGCCAGTTCTCTCCCAGATTTTTAGGATCATGGATCAATCTACCCGCAACCTCTCCTAGCTGCCCAAGCTCTCTGCATTAGGCTTTGGTGTGGGCTCCCTGCAGTATGGTGTGCCCAGAATGCCAAAGGACGTGTTGAAGGGTCGAACCCCAGAGGAGTTGGAACCCAAGGTGGTGAAGGACGGGAGATCTGAACAGCTGGAAACTGGAAACTGCCTTTTCATCCAGTTTCATCCCTTTCCAGATGGTGAGACGAAACTTGTGCATTCTAGTGACACGCATACATTCATACCATTCTGTTCTCCAAGCGGGTGCTTCGGAAGACGTTTCTCTCTGAGGAGAACCGGGTGCTGGACCTTGTGCAGGTCCGATCGCCCCGATCGCCCCGGTCGTCCCGGTCGTCCCGGTCATCCCGACCATCGTTCTTGAGGCAGCTGGGGCGCCTGAACGCATTCGGAGCCCAGCGAAAGTCCCGGATCAAAGCATCGCAGTGAGGACAAAAGGCTGCCGCAGCTGGTGTGGAGCATCAGGTCTCAATGACGCTTTTGCTTCATGATTCTGCATGTAATAGTACAGTGTGACAGTGTATGTTTAAATCATTTTAAATAAAATCTATATTTTGTTACTGACCTTGACTCATGGCACCTTCATCCTGACTGGTGCAGCTTCCCCTGAGGTCTTGCTGGCACTCCGAGATTCAGACACCCACAGATTGCTGGCCACCATCCCGAACCTCGACGACCAGGTCAGTACGGGAAACAGATCAGTTCGAAGAGCTGGTGCTCAGTGATTAGTGGACATTAGTGGACTGATTGATGTTTCCAGATTGTGAGAAGTTCCCGACTGATGACCTGGTGCATGGCATGGAGATGAAAAGTGCATGGCCAGAACGAACTCGGATGTTTTTGGTGAATTGAGCCTTGGCCATTCCGATGCACGGAGAATGCCACCAAGATTGGCCAAAAAAAAAAGTGACATGTCAATTTGTCAATTTCTGGTAGAGTACCCGATGGCGCAGGAAGCTGGCGGCATTGCAACAGAGGTCTGGTTCCAGCTGAGATGGAAAGTCCATGAAATCCATGCAGTCCGGCCTTTGTTTATCTTTGCCCAGAGAGCACACCTAGAATCGCTCCTGGCCGCATTGTGATGCCCGTCTCATTGCGATCAAGACATGCAGATAACAGAGATCCTTCATTCATTCTGTAACTGGGATAACTGTTTTTATTTCGTTTTATGTGTGCTTTCTGTATCTTTCTGTGAGGATGCCGTGGACGTCCTGAAGAGCAAGGAGCGCTTCATGGGACTTGATACACTCCAACTGCAGTGGACTGCAGTGGACTGCAGATCCGCTTGACAGGAGACCCAGCCTCCGAGCCCTCCGCCTGACAAACCACTGGAACCCAGCCTTCCGAGCCAACCCAGCAAACCCAGCGAACTGAGCAAAACGACGGACGCCAACGAGCTTGAGCTTGACACTTGACAGACTTGACACACAGAAAAGTTGAATCGATCCGTGTGTTTCGAATCCCGATTAAATCGGAAGGTTTTGCATTGATTTGTCATTCGGATTCTGTCGAAATCCAAGGAAACGCTAGATCGTCTTGAGAGCCAGGAGGCTACCCTGGTGTATTTGCTTTTATTTTGATGTCAAGTCTGCTTTTGATATCTTGTGACTTCACAGAGCACTGGGGACTAAACAATGCTTTTCTAGCTGTGCCACTGTGCCTGGCACGAATATGGTAGTAGCAAAGACCATTTGTGCAGGCAGAAAACTGTTTGTTGATCTGTTGGTTCTGAGCCACTCAGATGTTTTTTCAGGATCATGACAAGAGCACACCAACATCACCACCGACTCCAGTAAAAGGGCCAGAGGAGCAAGACAATGACAAGGCGAGCAAGATTCAGGCAGAAAGAGAATCAGAAGACAAACTGTCGGACACTAAACCTGCAAAAGTGAAAGAAGTCGGGTCAGTTTTTCAATTTGCCGATCATTTCCTTTAGCTGATGGCTTGATGGTTGAGCACTATTTACATCTATTTACACACTTTTGAGATCGATTGAGTGTGACATTGCACACTTGCAAGATTGGCCCTTTGTCTACCAGAGAGAGTTTTGGGTAAGGGTCAGCCATTGAAAGAGTGAGGGCACTCCTTTTGGACATGGAGTTGAGTTGATGCTCGCGATATCTTTCGGTACTTGTTTTGAAAGTAGCCAAGGAAGAACCCATCGACGAGGCTGGAAGCATTTTGGAAAGCAGTGGACTTTAAACTGATTCTGTTGTGCAAGCAGAATGCGAATCTGCTTGGGCTCGCTGTGCTATAGGGCTCCATGGGGACCAGAGAAGAAATGACTTTTCTGGTGGTTCTGTACGTTTTGGATAGCACCCTGATGGCGGTAGCAAAGACCATCCGTGCCAGAAGAAAGCCATTTGTTGATCGCGAACCTCTTGTTTTTTTTTCAGGACATTGACGAGATGGAGGAAAAACCACCAACACCACCGACTCCAGTAAAAGGGCCAGAGGAGCAAGACAAGGCGAGCAAGACACAGGCAGAAAGAGAATCAGAAGATCAACTGTCGGACACTAAAGCTGCAAAAATGAAAGAAGTCGGGTCAGTTTTTCAATTTGCCGATCATTTCCTTTAGCTGATGGCTTGATGGTTGAGCACTATTTAAACACTTTTGAGATTTTTTGAGATCTCTGAGCGAGAGATTGCACACTTGCAAGATTGGCCCTTTGTCTACCAGAGAGAGTTTTGGGTAAGGGTCAGCCATTGAAAGAGTGAGGGCACTCCTTTTGGACATGGAGTTGAGTTGATGCTCGCGATATCTTTCGGTACTTGTTTTGAAAGTAGCCAAGGAAGAACCCATTGACGAGGCTGGAAGCATTTTGGAAAGCAGTGGACTTTAAACTGATTCTGTTGTGCAAGCAGAGTGCGAATCTGCTTGGGCTCGCTGTGCTATAGGGCTCCATGGGGACCAAAGAAGAAATGACTTTTCTGGTGGTTCTGTATGTTTTGGATAGCACCCTGTTGGCGGTAGGAAAGACCGTTCGTGCCAGAAGAAAGCCATTTGTTGATCGCGAACCTCTTGTTTTTTTTTTCAGGACATTGACGAGATGGAGGAAAAACCACCAACACCACCGACTCCAGTAAAAGGGCCAGAGGAGCAAGACAAGGCGAGCAAGACACAGGCAGAAAGAGAATCAGAAGATCAACTGTCGGACACTAAAACTGCAAAAATGAAAGAAGTCGGGTCAGTTTTTCAATTTGCTGATCATTTCCTTTAGCTGATGGCTTGATGGTTGAGCACTATTTACATCTATTTACACACTTTTGAGATCGATTGAGTGTGACATTGCACACTTGCAAGATTGGCCCTTTGTCTACCAGAGAGAGTTTTGGGTAAGGGTCAGCCATTGAAAGAGTGAGGGCACTCCTTTTGGACATGGAGTTGAGTTGATGCTTGCGATATCTTTCGGTACTTGTTTTGAAAGTAGCCAAGGAAGAACCCATCGACGAGGCTGGAAGCATTTTGGAAAGCAGTGGACTTTAAACTGATTCTGTTGTGCAAGCAGAATGCGAATCTGCTTGGGCTCGGTGTGCTATAGGGCTCCATGGGGACCAGAGAAGAAATGACTTTTCTGGTGGTTCTGTATGTTTTGGATAGCACCCTGTTGGCGGTAGCAAAGACCGTTCGTGCCAGAAGAAAGCTATTTGTTGATCGCGAACCTCTTGTTTTTTTTTCAGGACATTGACGAGATGGAGGAAAAACCACCAACACCACCGACTCCAGTAAAAGTGCCAGAGGAGCAAGACAAGGCGAGCAAGACACAGGCAGAAAGAGAATCAGAAGATCAACTGTTTGATACTAAAGCTGCAATAATGAAAGAAGTCGGGTCAGTTTTTCAATTTGCCGATCATTTCCTTTAGCTGATGGCTTGATGGTTGAGCACTATTTACATCTATTTACATCTATTTACATCTATTTACATCTATTTACACACTTTTGAGATTTTTTGAGATCTCTGAGCGAGAGATTGCACACTTGCAAGATTGGCCCTTTGTCTACCAGAGAGAGTTTTGGGTAAGGGTCAGCCATTGAAAGAGTGAGGGCACTCCTTTTGGACATGGAGTTGAGTTGATGCTCGCGATATCTTTCGGTACTTGTTTTGAAAGTAGCCAAGGAAGAACCCATCGACGAGGCTGGAAGCATTTTGGAAAGCAGTGGACTTTAAACTGATTCTGTTGTGCAAGCAGAATGCGAATCTGCTTGGGCTCGCTGTGCTATAGGGCTCCATGGGGACCAGAGAAGAAATGACTTTTCTGGTGGTTCTGTATGTTTTGGATAGCACCCTGATGGCGGTAGCAAAGACCATTCTGTGGTCTAAGGCACGTCTTTTGCCAAGGCACGCGGTAAAACGGTAAAACCGTAAAATGGTAAATTCCATTGTTCCCGAGAAACGTCCGTAAAACGGTAAATTCGTTAATTTACGATCTGAGCGTGCCGCTTTCGGAGCGTAAAACCGTAAATTTGGCAACTTTACAAAAATTACCGTAAACAAAATTTACCGTAAAACCGTAAATTGGTAAATTTGGTAAATTGGTAAAATTAGATCAAAATTTACAGATTTACCGATTTACCGAATTTACTTTTGCCTGGACACAGCAAAAATTACCACTTTACCGATTTATCGGTGAAATTTACCAGTTTACCGATTTACCAAATTTACCGCATGAAACCGATCAAGCCGCAAATTTGTAAATTCATGTTCTGTGTGCAAAGCGTGGGCAGGAAAAGGAAGAAAAGACGTAAAAGCGTAAAACCGTAAAGGAGGTGTGGAAGCGAAGGAAACCAAAGTAACACCGTAAAGTGGTAAATTTATGCACAGTGTGAACAGGAGAAGACGGTAAAGCCGTAAAATGGTAAATGCGTAAAGGCGTAATGTATCAATGTACTGGAGCGTGAGGAGGAAGAGGCAGTAAAACCGTAAAACGGTAAATTCGTAAAGTTGTATCATGATAAAACAAGATTAAAATTTACAGATTTACCGAATTTACCTTTGCCCGGGCACAGCAAAATTTACCACTTTACCGATTTACCCAATTTACCATGGCCCGAAGAGCGGCGAAATTTACCAATTTACCGATTTACCAAATTTACCATTGCCCGGAGAGCGTTCTCTCCTTAGCATCATGCCTTGCACAGTGACGGCTTAGACGAGACCATTGGTGCCAGCAGAAAGTTATTTGTTGATCGTGAACCTCTTTTTTTTTCAGGACATTGACGAGATGGAGGAAAAACCGCCAACACCACCGACTCCAGTAAAAGGGCCAGAGGAGCAAGACAAGGCGAGCAAGACACAGGCAGAAAGAGAATCAGAAGATCAACTGTCGGACACTAAAGCTGCAATAATGAAAGAAGTCGGGTCAGTTTTTCAATTTGCCGATCATTTCCTTTAGCTGATGGCTTGATGGTTGAGCACTATTTACATCTATTTACATCTATTTACATCTATTTACATCTATTTACACACTTTTGAGATTTTTTGAGATCTCTGAGCGAGAGATTGCACACTTGCAAGATTGGCCCTTTGTCTACCAGAGAGAGAGTTGTGGGTAAGGGTCAGCCATTGAAAAAGTGAGGGCACTCCTTTTGGACATGGAGTTGAGTTGATGCTCGCGATATCTTTCGGTACTTGTTTTGAAAGTAGCCAAGGAAGAACCCATCGACGAGGCTGGAAGCATTTTGGAAAGCAGTGGACTTTAAACTGATTCTGTTGTGCAAGCAGAATGCGAATCTGCTTGGGCTCGGTGTGCTATAGGGCTCCATGGGGACCAGAGAAGAAATGACTTTTCTGGTGGTTCTGTATGTTTTGGATAGCACCCTGATGGCGGTAGCAAAGACCATCCGTGCCAGAAGAAAGCCATTTGTTGATCGTGAACCTCTTGTTTTTTTTTTCAGGACATTGACGAGATGGAGGAAAAACCACCAACACCACCGACTCCAGTAAAAGTGCCAGAGGAGCAAGACAAGGCGAGCAAGACACAGGCAGAAAGAGAATCAGAAGATCAACTGTCGGACACTAAAGCTGCAAAAATGAAAGAAGTCGGGTCAGTTTTTCAATTTGCTGATCATTTCCTTTAGCTGATGGCTTGATGGTTGAGCACTATTTACATCTATTTACACACTTTTGAGATCGATTGAGTGTGACATTGCACACTTGCAAGATTGGCCCTTTGTCTACCAGAGAGAGTTTTGGGTAAGGGTCAGCCATTGAAAGAGTGAGGGCACTCCTTTTGGACATGGAGTTGAGTTGATGCTCGCGATATCTTTCGGTACTTGTTTTGAAAGTAGCCAAGGAAGAACCCATCGACGAGGCTGGAAGCATTTTGGAAAGCAGTGGACTTTAAACTGATTCTGTTGTGCAAGCAGAATGCGAATCTGCTTGGGCTCGGTGTGCTATAGGGCTCCATGGGGACCAGAGAAGAAATGACTTTTCTGGTGGTTCTGTATGTTTTGGATAGCACCCTGTTGGCGGTAGCAAAGACCGTTCGTGCCAGCAGAAAGCCATTTGTTGATCGTGAACCTCTTTTTTTTTCAGGACATTGACGAGATGGAGGAAAAACCGCCAACACCACCGACTCCAGTAAAAGGGCCAGAGGAGCAAGACAAGGCGAGCAAGACACAGGCAGAAAGAGAATCAGAAGATCAACTGTCGGACACTAAAGCTGCAATAATGAAAGAAGTCGGGTCAGTTTTTCAATTTGCCGATCATTTCCTTTAGCTGATGGCTTGATGGTTGAGCACTATTTACATCTATTTACATCTATTTACATCTATTTACACACTTTTGAGATTTTTTGAGATCTCTGAGCGAGAGATTGCACACTTGCAAGATTGGCCCTTTGTCTACCAGAGAGAGTTTTGGGTAAGGGTCAGCCATTGAAAGAGTGAGGGCACTCCTTTTGGACATGGAGTTGAGTTGATGCTCGCGATATCTTTCGGTACTTGTTTTGAAAGTAGCCAAGGAAGAACCCATCGACGAGGCTGGAAGCATTTTGGAAAGCAGTGGACTTTAAACTGATTCTGTTGTGCAAGCAGAATGCGAATCTGCTTGGGCTCGGTGTGCTATAGGGCTCCATGGGGACCAGAGAAGAAATGACTTTTCTGGTGGTTCTGTATGTTTTGGATAGCACCCTGTTGGCGGTAGCAAAGACCGTTCGTGCCAGCAGAAAGCCATTTGTTGATCGTGAACCTCTTTTTTTTTCAGGACATTGACGAGATGGAGGAAAAACCGCCAACACCACCGACTCCAGTAAAAGGGCCAGAGGAGCAAGACAAGGCGAGCAAGACAAGAGGCAGGCAGAAAGAGAATCAGAAGATCAACTGTCGGACACTAAAGCTGCAATAATGAAAGAAGTCGGGTCAGTTTTTCAATTTGCCGATCATTTCCTTTAGCTGATGGCTTGATGGTTGAGCACTATTTACATCTATTTACATCTATTTACATCTATTTACACACTTTTGAGATTTTTTGAGATCTCTGAGCGAGAGATTGCACACTTGCAAGATTGGCCCTTTGTCTACCAGAGAGAGTTGTGGGTAAGGGTCAGCCATTGAAAGAGTGAGGGCACTCCTTTTGGACATGGAGTTGAGTTGATGCTCGCGATATCTTTCGGTGCTTGTTTTGAAAGTAGCCAAGGAAGAACCCATCGACGAGGCTGGAAGCATTTTGGAAAGCAGTGGACTTTAAACTGATTCTGTTGTGCAAGCAGAATGCGAATCTGCTTGGGCTCGGTGTGCTATAGGGCTCCATGGGGACCAGAGAAGAAATGACTTTTCTGGTGGTTCTGTATGTTTTGGATAGCACCCTGATGGCGGTAGCAAAGACCATCCGTGCCAGAAGAAAGCCATTTGTTGATCGTGAACCTCTTGTTTTTTTTCAGGACATTGACGAGATTGAGGACAAACCACCAACACCACCGACTCCAGTAAAAGGGCCAGAGGAGGAAGACAAGGTTGACAGGTCCGAGCAAGAAGCTGTGTTGGAAGATAAGCACTTGGATGCTGAAGCTGCAAAAGCGCATTTCAGCATCTTTGTGTCTGTGTCGATTGCTTGTTCGCTGGTCGGACACTGATTGAGTCGGGGCTCGTGATATTCTCCTGCACGTGTTTATATGGGAGTAGCCAAGGAAGAAACAATTCATGGTGAGGAGGCTGGAAGCAGTTTGGCGAGACAAACCGGCTTGCGCAACTGAAAAGGAAAAAGTAGTACATGTAATGTTGCTGAATGCTGTTGAGCTCTTTTTGCATTGTTTTTCACCTGTCCCTGTTCTGGACAAGATGAAGGCAGAGACATGGTGTCGTGTGTCAAAGCAAGTTGTATTTTTTTTTTACCTGACGTGGTTATATATATATATGGTTATATCATGTGTTGTTTGGCACAATGATGAAGGGAGCCAACCGCATACTCGTAGCATAGAGCTCCAGATTCTCTGATTCTTTCAGGTGGTGGAGACACCGAAGCCTCCAGAGAATGTGCCCGAGGACTTGGAGAAATAAAGACCAATCAAACTCTAATTTGATCAGCGGCGGGCAGTATGTCACCACAAGCAACGGTTATATAGTAGGTTCTAGCCTTTTTGTAAGGAGATATGCCAAGGTGCCTGCCGAGTTCAATCAGACCTTGCTGGATTGATGCTAGACTCTCTTTTCCTATCTATGTGGGCAGTTTCTGTACGAAGAAACTAACTATGCGGCGTTCAGCTTCGATGGACAGATGATAAAAACACGCTGACAGGTATCCCTTTGTTCTTTCTGTTTGGAACCCTTCACCAGACCTTGGGAAGAAGACTGCGTTTGAAGCGGATGACATGCCCTAACCAGGGGTTTATATAAATGCAGTGAATTATTTTTCGACTGTTTTGTGCGCCCTTGCACACTCGTTGCTACAGTTTCATCAGCAGATCCACGAGTTTGTTGTGCAAATATCACGGCAGACAGACCTGATAGACGCGAATACACCACAATAAACCACCACCAAATACAGGTATCATCACCAGCAGTCACAGTAGCAGCTTTGCCAGCATTGCCAGCATTGCCAGCATTGCCAGTACTGCCAACACTGTCACCACAATAGCACTTCGATGTGGTCTGTTGAAGATGTATGTTCCCGACAGTTATCGATTGCATACATGATATTTTCCATTGTTTTCTACTGAAGCGGTCGAAAGCGGGGCTACAGATGCAAGAATGGATGAAATGAAAGAAAGTTGCGAGTTCTGCGAAGTTGGGGAGATGTTTCGAGAGATCCCATCTATTGCAGTAGCAGTCTCCGTGCTACCTAGAAACTTTGATGGGCTAAGATGAACCAAGATGAAGAGCATAGATGAGGCATAGATGATTGCCGCATTGCCGCCATGCTTGAGCAAGAAACTTTTCGTCGCACCGGCAGGAGGCCAAACCACCCAAGAAGGACAAGTTGCAGCCTCAGATCGGAAGTGACAAGACCTACCGGACTTCACCGACCTTCACTTGACCCTCACCCATACCTCTTGCGAGGTTCAACCTCTTCGGTGAGGTCTACATGCCGCAACTTGGCGGCGGTTCGACAAGGAACTTGCTCTGTCGCTACACGAGCTGTGGAGTGACCACAATTGCTGACCAGTTGCTCAGAGTAATTGAAGGGAGTTGCCGATTCTTTTTGGCAAACCTATATTTAACAGACTTTAGAATCACAACGAATCACAACCATTTTGATGCTCCATGCGTTTGCATTGACTGATTTGAGGGAGACGAACGCACAGAATCCTTACAGTAATGCCAACTTGCGGATGCCTGATGAGTTGCTTGGCTACACTGCTGTCCTGGTCTGCGCAAAAACATGGCTGGGCCTCTAGTGGAGAGCGGACGAACAAAGACATGCAGACTGCTGACTATTCCTGACTGTTCGACAATTGCCACATTGCAGTGACTAACATATACTGAGATCTTAAGAGATCTTAAGAGGCTTTTGCACATGCGGATGATGTGGCCGGTATATGCCGGTATTACGAAGTCCGGCTGACATCCATTGCCAGGGTTTCAGGGATTTAGAATTGGCGTCATGAGTTGAGAAGTGCTTCTTTGAGGATGCAATTCAACCTCTTCGGGGACCACTCACCACACCCGCTTCTTGGCAGATTCAGATCTGGTAGCACAGGGAGGCCTCGAACGTTGCCTGGAACGTTTTGTTTGCGGGACCCCATGAGACCCCAAAACCGATCTGTGCCAATTTGATCGACTCTGTTCTGGATTGGGTCATGAATTTCTGATCAGCTGGAGTTCTCAGCAAAAGTGTGATGCCGAAGCATGTGTCCTGAAGCAAGTCGTCCTGGATTCACCGGAGTGTTTGCCAAAAACATTCTGGTGGCTGATCAGCCATCGTTTCAAAAGATCCTCGCGTCCAGCGCTCAGGCCTACCCAAGACAGTAACTTGGACTGCGACAAAGAGTGGAAAAAACTCAAAGCCTCGGATCATGCCTTCATCCCATTAAAATATCATTAAATATCATTCAATTATATCACATTTACTATGTTGGCTATGTAATATGTAAAGACACAGTGCTTGGAAAAAGCCCGGGAGACGTTCCTTGCTGGTCCGCTAGAATCACAACATGTCACCAAGATGGAGCACTCGGTGCTACATTTCCAAATGGATCCAGTGGGAGTGCTTCAACCCATGCCCAGATTGACGGACTTCACAAGACCTCGACAAGGTAACGATGTAAAATTCTGTAGCTCTCACTCAATCCTTGACCTGTCAATGATTTGTCAATGATCCTTTGGATCAATGGCCAGCAGTTTCCAAGGTACCCCGCAGGACACTGAGGGCTGAAGCGTCGCGTATTCGACCAAGAGTCACGCAACGTGTCGGACCACAGGTCATGATCATGTCTTGATATTCACCAGACAGGTATGTATGCTATTTTTGGTTTCAATGGAACTTGAAGCATCCACAGTTCGAAGATCAGCCCATGCAAAGATTTGAGCTTCAAGTCCAAGTCAAGTAGCCAACTCTAGGAGCAGGGGTGTTGCAATTTATGTTGGAGTCTTTCCGTCATTGCAGGACAAAGAAGATACAGAAAAAGCCACTGCCTTCAAGCAACTTGGCAGTCAATTCAAAGGTGGTTGCAGAATGTCGACGGGCAGAATTTTCTGACAGCCGAGGATGCTGGATCAACAAACTCCTCCTGTCCCTTGACAAAAAGTGGGAAGGGAGTAGACAGTTGCATTTGAATTCGAGCGCTTTGCATGTGATATTGACATACATTGACGAGAAAATTCAAACGGACCCCAGCCACCATCAGTAAATATCCTTTGAGCTTCAACACCCAGGATGAAGTTGAGAAGGACTCAAAGGCCCACACTGGTGTCATCTTTGTTGGTTGTTGGTTTTCATTGCCTTCGAAAACAAACCAGGGCTTGAAAATAAACCGGAATTGACCAGCACTCCCTCCAACATCATTGTAGTCACCAAGTTCTGAGAGGATAATTGTCGCAAAGACGTGCAATGGTCACGAACACTTGTACCCTTCAAACACATTAAACCGAAAGAATCAGAAACAGACACTGAAGTGCTTTACTCATCTGTGTTGATCATAATTTTTCTGAACCATTCACCAGGCCCCACTCTACACCGATGCGGCGATGTCTGCCGAGAAGGCACAGCAGTTGGCAAAGGTGGCAGAAGAGAAGGCTGTGAAGGAGGCCGAAATTCGTGGAGTCTTGGGAGGGATCAAAACCCGGTTGAAACATGTAACACGCCCTTATCTTATATTATACAATATATATATATAGTATGACACACATACATATATACACGATATATATATATATATAGTATGACATATGTATATATATATGTATATATGTATATATGTATATAGTATGACGTATGTATGTATATATATATAAATACATACGTATATATGATATATATATAGTTTGATATATATATATATATCGATAGTATGATATATATAGCATGATATATGTATATACAGATATGTATGATATATATATGATATATATATATATACAATTATATACACACGTATGATATATATGTATATGTATGATATATATATACATATATATATATGATATATATATATATCTATATGTATGATATATATATATATGATATGATATATATACATGATATATATACTATCATATAATGTAATATAATACAATATAGTATAATCTAATATAATATAATACAACTATAATATAATATAATACAATATAATATAATATAATATAATATGATATATAATGTAATATAATATATTATATTTAAAAATGATATAATCTAATCTAAACATATAATAATATGATATGTTGTCTTGTATTATATTATCTTATCTTATCTTATATTAGATTATATATATTATCTTATCTGATCTTATAGTAGACTATATTACACTATATAGTATCTTATTATATATATAATTAAAAGATACATATGGATATGGATGGGGGTATGGGCCATGGGTCAAGACAAGACCTATGATTTCCAACAGAAATTGCCCTTTGCGAATGCTATGACTCTTTTGCCTGTGCGGTTTCCAGGCCGCACAAGCACAAAAATTAGAAGGTGCAGCCAAGGCAGCTGAGGAAGCTGCTGAAGAAGCCTTGGAAAGAGCGAAAAAGGCCAAGCAGATCGAGGTCCGACCGGACTCTGGGACATGGAAAGAGCTGTGGTTGTGTGAAATGATTGAAATGTGCAAAGCGCCCAGGAGAAGGAACTCAGTGAGCTGAGGAATACCGAGGCCTGGGAACAAGGGGTCGCTTTCCGCTGAGAAAAGGAATTTACTTCCTCATCACAAAAAAGGGTGGAGTGGGACGCGTTGTTTCAGTGATTTCATTTCACAGCGATCACAGTTTTTGGCTCCAAAAAACGAGGAAGATGCTGCAGAAGCAGTGCACCAGGCAAAGGTTGCGCAGCAATTAGAAAGTGAGGCTGGCGGGGGAGTGTGCATATGGAGAACAGTTTAGGGTCCGTGCTTCCCAGTGGTCCATGGCCATGCTCAGTTCTGGAAGCGGCAGACTAGCCTGCCGCGATGACAGAGACCTGCGCTGAGTGGACGTTCTTTGAAGATAACACTAGATCTGGGCAACCCACCCAATAATAAAGTACCCAAGATGAAAGAAATCGTGGCCTAGTTGGGATGATAGATTGCCTTGAAATCAACTGCCTTGAAATTTTGCTTCATTGGAATGCAACCGCATGTCATGACATGACATCCCTGTGAGTGCTCCCAATTGCCATCATGCTTTCCTCTAACTACTTTTATTTTCTTCTTAATGTGTCATAGTCACAGCACGTCACTCAATTCAATTACTCCATGTTCTTCTTGGACTATTTCTGGATTCATCTCAACTCCACCTGTCCGCTTCTCACCGGTAGGCCATACAACACATCCAGGATGGCACAGAGGTTGCCAAAGATTAACCCGTCCGGTCGCTGAGAGGAGCCACAGATGACTTTCGAATATTTCGGATGTGGCCTCCGAATTCCGACATTGAATCCATTAAGATTTGTGAAACTTGAGAGGTATCGATGACCGGTGGCTCAGACTAAGGTCTCCGAAAATGAGGAATACAAATTTCGGCGTTTCACTCTAGTAGACATGTAGATGACAGTAGCAAAAAGATGGAGTGTTGCTCCTGCCATTGTGGTGTGAGCAGGTGACCAGGAGACAAGTTGTTCTAAGAGGGGCGAGGTTTTTTGGAGGACAATGACATAACCGGTTTCGAAACGTTCTCCACCAGTTGCCAGGCCGTGGTCCGACACCTGCTCACTGCCGGGGTCGCTTTAGAGAGTACGAAAGGCAAGTGGATTTGGTTCGCATCGAGGAAAGCGATTCTTCTCATGAACCTTGTTAAACCACGTCAAACCTTTGATAGAACATCTCCCTCACTGGTTTTTATCCATGAGATTGGAGTTCTGGAGTGTTTACTGTAAGCTCCTTGAGTATTCGGAAGGATTGGTCTATCTTTGTAAAATAGTCGAAGGAGTTTAGAAGTCAAACTTCCGACAATATGGACATATGCAAAAGCAGAGGAGAAGAGAAAGAGTCAGAAGAAAGAAAATGCAGGTGCGCGAAAAGGTAGAAAAGTCGCGAAACGCTGTGTTTTTCCAATGATTTGAGACTAGATTACACTACACTACATTACACTACACTACATTACATTACACTACGGTACGCTACAGCTACAGCTACAACTACAACTACGCAACATTACACAACACTAAAACTACTACAAAAGTACAGCAGCAACAACAACAACACCACACTAAACTACCCTAATTACACTACACCACACTGAACTACACTAATGACACCACACCACACTACACTGCAACTACAGTGGCAGCTACAACTACAACTACATTACTTGAAACTACGCTACAGTAGACTACACTCCACGATGCTACACTACAGTACACTACACTACATTACACTACACTAATTACACCACAATACATCTACATCTACAACTGCAGCTACAACGGCACGCACTAATTACACTACATTGAAACTACAAATCCACTACTCTACATTACAACTACAACTGCGCTACACCACACTACATCAAGCAGTGTTGGGTGAGGTGACCACTGCAACCATTGCAGCCTCTTCAAAAAACACAACTCCAACCACCTGTCGGTCCAGGTTTCCTATTTTTGAAACTTCCGCCGCAGCCTTGTGCGGTACTACTGGTACAAGTTAGCTCTGTTCGCTTGCTTACTACAAAATAGAAATTCCAACAACCTACGCTTATTGCTTTCCCAAGTTGAAGTGGTGGCAAGACAGACACGTCAGCGAGCAGAAATAGTCGAGCAGTGATTGCTACCTTGAAGTCATGATATCCGCACTTCGATGCCAGACACCAACGCGCCATTCCGCCATGTCTTTCTGGAAATTGCAGATTGGGTGCAGAGATGCTTGGCAATTTCTGGGCAAAACCAAGAAAACTTGAAGCGTCTCGATTTTGAAAGGAAGCTTAGTTTGTCAGTTTGTCCCTGTGGAAACGAGTATATCCAAGTGTTGAAAACCTGTCAACTACAGTCCCTGTAGCTGTGGGATTTTGTCTGACGCCCATGCCGTAGCCTTCGAGAACTCCACAAGCCATCTTGGATCAATCAGTGCACTGGGAGCGCCTTCAGATCGTCACATCATCCAGTGACAATACCTCAGGGGAATGGTGTGGTCATAGACTTGCAATTTGTTTTGGAAGGTCCTTCGTGTGACTTGAAACTCCATGTGGTTTTAACTGGTTTGTTCAATGTTTTGTTTGCACATCAATGTCTTCAGCATCGGTTAGTCATGAAAGGTCAGCCGAGTTTCGCGGGCTTTGTGTGATCTGCGAACTTGTGCAAGGATAGGGTTCGTGCACATCGCTTCTGTATGCTGCTGTTGGCTCCATGGGAAGATCAATACTTCATGAAACAATATGAAGCACAGCTTTGAATGATTTTTTTGGCCTTCATAGAAAAAATAAAAAACCACCTCAAACATCATTAAATGTCTTCTTGTTGCAGTCGCTGGCGACAAAACTGAGCCCAATGAGGCAGGTCTTGATGAGCCATGACGCACTGGCGAAGTCACTTTCATACGAGATGCCTGTGGTTTTTGACGTTTTTGCTGACTTTGTTTTCTCCATCTCTGACTGCTCAAGCTACTGCTACCTCCAGCAGCTCCAACGCTAACGTGGGCTTGGTCGGGTTCATCTTCCCTTCTGAGGATGGATGGCACCGAAACATTGCCCAATGTTCCCTTTGAAAGGCATTCTTCAGAAACCTGCAGTGTTGGTTGCATGATTCATCTGATAGATGTTTTACATTGTTTTACTGCTTCCAGGCACAATACTATGGATGCACACGGTACCCCCGCTTCAACCATATCCAAACTGCAGAGAAGTATCAATCCAGAGCAGGGATGTAGTTGAGGTTCCCACAACATCTTGTTCCATGTTTTTCTATTGCGCAGCTCCTAACCAGATTGACAAGGAGCTGGTGGAAGGGAACTTTGTGCACTTCGTTGGGGTTAAACGAACCAATGGTTCCAGCGGTGCTGTTCGTTGCAACATCAGCAGCTTGGCGGGCAGCTGTGGCGGGGGGATCCCTCATGGTCGATGTAGTTTGAAAGTCCAATGCCATGCGACTGTTCAGTTCACCAGCTGTCAACTTAATTATAATTTGTCTCCTTCCAATCGTAACTTCATATCCCAATAGTTGACTGACAATGATTGGGCATCCCGGTATCCCCCAATACATATCAATTCAATTCCATGGTGATTCCTGGAGCTGCCTTGAAGACGTCTAGGGCTTCCAACTGCTGAAATCCAGGCATTGTCACGTCCAATGATGTCCACGATGCTGAGGAGGGCAAGGCTCGGGATTCTTTTGGAAAGGGGATTGGGGATGGGATGGTTGGGATGGAACCCCATTCTTGCCCAATTTTCCGTGGATGTCCCACCGTTCCCCCGCTTTTTGTGAAGGACTATCTGCTGCTCTCCAGCTTTGTCGCTTTTGAAGATGGAGACCCTGACCCCAAGGCATGAGCTTTGATGGATTGAGGCGAACCCCAGATGGTTGGATAGGAAAATGATAGACATCAATATAGAAATCGATGGCTTAGGGGATTTTCATGGATTTTACACAGCTTTGGATATTTTTTTGGATCATTTAGAGACTCATACCCACATTCCGTCGGACCGGATGAAGCCTTCGCACAACTTCGAAGGCTGTGGTCTTGCGCTTCTTCAATGACCAGAAACTAGAGACGGTGTCATATGTTCGAGCCTGGGCCCAGGTGTGTTCCTATCAGCTTTTTTTCATATTCTTCCCACCTGTGAAGATCACCAAGCGAAGGTATGACGATCATTGACGATCATGTGTGTTTTTGTATTCCTAGGATTTCATGGTGCCTCTTGGATGGTCGCTCATTTGAGGATTGTCCATCGCGTGCCTTCCAGAGGAGGCTAATGGCCTCATTTTGCAGCATACTTTGAAGATTTCTGATGACAGGGATGGTGGAATCATCAAATTACCACGGAACATTATTCCGATGCAGGAGGACCTTCTGTTTTTCCCACCGGCTGAGAGTGAAAGATGCGTTCTTTCTGTGGAACGTGCTGGTGGAAGCAGTGGTACAGCTAAGATCTTGGTGCACTGGCATACGACACCAGTGTGTGCTGAAGATGATGAATGGCCGGCCATCTCGGAAGATGCCTTGTTCAAGGTGGATTGGTCATATCTTGAGGGTACTGGCAGTGTATCTTGGGACGATGGGGAATCTGGAGTAAAATGTGCTGTCGAAAAGTACTGGCTCCAGAACTTCTCTTCAACCAACGGGTCCAATGCTTCAGCTGTGGTGGTGTATTCTGACGGACTGGTGGAGACCGCTGAGGGATTTTGTGGCTATATTACTGCAGATGTGGGCAGTGCTGCAATCATCCCTGAACCCAGTGGTCGTCTTCCTTTTGCCATGCTGATCCGAGACAGGGGCAAGACGGGAGGAGGCGAACATCGATGTATCAAGGGTGCAGAGTGCCCCCTGAATCTAACACTGTCCATTGCCGTTGCATTTCTCCACCAAGCTGGGAACTGGACCTTTGTGCAGGCAGCTGGTCATGGTGTCCAGTGCCTTCCGTGCAGCATTGGCATCAATCAGAGCAGCTATCAGATTCTTGGGGCTTAGCAGATTTGGGCACAACTCTGTAAGGCCTGATTTAGTCTCACGGTAAAAAGAATGCCAGGGTTTTTGGTATATGTTTCAATTGCTGCAAACTGGTTTTGATTGACACCCAGCTCTTTTTCCAACTGATTGGCTGGTTGCTTTGCTCTTTTGAACTGGGCTCCTCAAGCCGATGCCCGAAAATGACCCAAGGCAGCCCATCAGTGGCCAATCAGTGTTCTAAGGAATCTGCCATTGCACCAATTTAGAGTAGAAGGTCAAAGGTTCGAATGGGCCGCTGCCGATTTGGGCACTTCCCTGAGCAACGAAACCCCTGGCGACAGATCCGTGTGCATGTGCCGTGATGGTGATCCTGACAACGCTACCCACCAAATTGCTACACTCGTCTTAGCTGGTCCAGAAGGGGACAACACAGCAAGTTGCTTCAAGAACCAGCACAGCTGTGCTGTACGGCTCCGTGAGATACGAACCACTGGTGGTCAAAACCATCTTCGCATTATGCCATCTTGCGAGGACTATGAACTCACTCCGCCAGGCTTTGTAGAAGGTGCTGTAGCAGTTGCAGATGAAACTTCTTTCTGGTATGAGATGAGCGGCACGGACAAAATGAGGCTTGAAGCCGCGGGCATCTACAAACTCTGTTGGTGTCACTCCTTTTCGCCTTCTGATTGTACCCAACTGAGCGATTTCAATGTCGAGGCTGGCTCTTTCATCTATGCTGGCCCTTATGAAGTCGTGAGCCTCAGAGAAGTACGGATCTCTCAGGTCGGGTCAGCATGGCCCATGGATCAGTGTACGTCCCAGGTGGAAGACGGTTTCCAAGTATGGCCTGGCGAATCATCGAGTAGGGTCTTTCCAGCAGATTGTTTACTGTTTTAGTCCATTCTTGCATCTCAAATAGTTTCCGTTTCATGTGCAATTTTTCCCGAGAGCGTCTGAGCGAAGGGTTCTTCTAATAGTGGGGGGTCTGTCAAACATTTCACATATTCACATCTTCACATAACATCTTGAAATCTTCACATCTTCTCATCTTCACATCCTCACATCTTCACATCTTCTCATCTTCACATCTTCTCATCTTCACATCCTCACATCTGTTCATCTTCTCATCTTCACATCCTCACATCCTCACCCATCTTCACATCTTCTCATCTTCACATCTGCTCATCTTCATATCTTCTCATCTTCACATCTTCTCATCTTCACATCTGTTCATCTTCACATCTGTTCATCTGTTCATCTTCACATCTTCTCATCTTCACATCTTCACATCTTCACATCTTCTCATCTTCACATCTTCACATCTTCACATCTTCTCATCTTCTCATCTTCACATCCTCACATCCTCACCCATCTTCACATCTTCTCATCTTCACATCTGCTCATCTTCATATCTTCTCATCTTCATATCTTCTCATCTTCACATCTTCTCATCTTCACATCTGTTCATCTTCACATCTGTTCATCTGTTCATCTTCACATCTTCTCATCTTCACATCCTCACATCTTCACATCTTCTCATCTTCACATCCTCACATCCTCACATCCTCACATCCTCACATCCTCACACCTTCACATCCTCACATCTTCACATCTTCTCGTTTTCACATCTGCTCATCTTTTCATCTTCACATCTTCACATCTTGACATCTTTACATTCTCTCTTGCTCTCTTGCTCTCTTGCCCTCTTGCTCTCTTGCCCTCTTGCTCTCTCCTTCTTTTCTATTTCTCTCTTAAGGCGCGGGGCAGTGCCAACGAGACGGCACGAAACGCAACTCTGTCGCACGAAACGATGTTCGATCGCCAAAAACTCGGGTAAAATTGCGATTTGCACTTGTCCCGCGCATCCCTTTCGCACGAAATGAGGTTCGATCGCCAAAAACTGCGGTAAAATTGTGATTTTGAAAGCGTCCCGCGCAACCCTTTCGCACGAAATGAGGTTCGATCGTCAAAAACTGAGGTAAAATCGCGATTTGCACTTGTCCGATCGCAACCCTTTCGCACGAAATGAGGTTCGATCGCCAAAAACTGAGGTAAAAATGCGATTTTGATTTGCGCTTGTCCGATCGCAACTTTTTCGCACGAAATGAGGTTCGATCGCCAAAAAACTGACGTAAAATTATGATTTTGAAAGCGTCCCACGCGACCTTTTGCACGAAATGAGGTTCGATCGCCAAAAACTGGGGTAAAATTGCGATTTCACGGGTCCGGTCGCAACCCTTTCGCACGAAATGAGGTTCGATCGCCAACTGCGGTAAAATTGTGATTTTGAAGCGTCCGGCGCAACCCTTTGGCTTCTGTGTGTAAAAGCTTCTGTGTGTAAAAGCTTCTGTGTGTAAAAGTCTCTGTGTGTGAAAGCGTCTGTGTGTAAAAGCGTTTGTGTGTAAAAGTCTCTGTGTGTAAAAGCGTCTGTGTGTAAAAGTGTCTCTGTGTAAAAGCCTCTGTGTGTAAAAGCCTCTGTGTGTAAAAGCGTCTGTGTGTACAAGCCTCTGTGTGTAAAAGCCTCTGTGTGTGAAAGTGTTTGTGTGTAAAAGCCTCTGTGTGTGAAAGCTTCTGTGTGTAAAAGCCTCTGTGTGTAAAAGTGTTTGTGTGTAAAAGCATCTGTGTGTAAAAGTGTCTGTGTGTAAGAGTCTCTGTGTGTAAAAGCGTATGTGTGTAAAAGTGTCTGTGTGTAAAAGCCTCTGTGTGTAAAAGCCTCTGTGTGTAAAAGCGTGTGTGTGTGTAAAAGTGTCTGTGTGTAAAAGCCATTGTGTGTGAAAGTGTTTGTGTGAAAAAGCCTCTGTGTGTGAAAGCTTCTGTGTGTAAAAGCCTCTTTGTGTAAAAGGTTCTGTGTGTAAACGCGTATGTGTGTAAAAGCCTCTGTGTGTAAAAGCGTCTGTGTGTAAAAGTCTCTGTGTGTGAAAGCGTCTGTGTGTAAAAGTCTTTGTGTGTAAAAACTTCTGTGTGTAAAAGCTTCTGTGTGTAAAAGCTTCTGTGTGTAAAGCGTCTGTGCGTAAAAGCTTCTATGTGTAAAAGCGTCTGTGTGTAAAAGGGTCTGCGTGTAAAAGCTTCTGTGTGTAAAAGCTTCTGTGTAAAAGCGTGTGTGTGTGTAAAAGTGTCTGTGTGTAAAAGTGTTCTGTGTGTAAAAAAAGTGTCTGTGTGTAAAAGTGTTTGTGTGTAAAAGTGTCTGTGTGTAAAAGCGTATGTGTGTAAAAGCGTCTGTGTGTAAAAGCGTTTGTGTGTAAAAGTCTCTGTGTGTGAAAGAAAGCGTCTGTGTGTAAGAGTCTCTGTGTGTAAAAGCTTCTGTGTGTAAAAGGTGTGTGTAAAAGCCTCTGTGTGTGAAAGTGTTTGTGTGTGAAAAACTATACGAAGGATACGATGCAAACTATTGTCTTGTACTTGTAAAATATTGTCTTGATACTACTCTTCTCGTTTGCCTACAATAGATCTTTAATGTATTGTCTTGTAATATAGTGTCTCAATACTAACAACAGAAGACCCTGCTCCTCTACGCTCTCGGGCCATCCGTCGTCTAGTTATTACGCATGGTCTCATTGTATCTGTACACATTATCTTTCTTGTATCTACAACCTATCTAGATGTACTATACTTGATAAATCTTGATAATTTGATATAATTTGTCAAAGGAAGTTTCATGGAGGAAACTCCGAGTTGCGGATGGTTTTATTCTCACTAGCCCAAAGATCATTGTGTCCAGTTGGCACCTGCGTTAAGAGATCATGAAGTCACATTCTGACTAGCCCAAAGATCATTGTGTCCAGTTGGCACCTGCGTTAAGAGATCATGAAGTCACATTCTCACTAGCCCAGATATATTGTGTCCAGTGGGCATGTGCGTACATACTCATTAGATCCCAGAGATCATTGTGTCCAGAAGAGGTAGAGTAGAGGTAGCAGAGGTAGACTAGAGGTCGACTAGAGGTAGAGTAGAGGTAGAGTAGAGAAGACTAGAGAAGAGAAGAGAAGAGGTAGAAGTAGAGCAGAGCAGAGAAGAGAAGAGTAGAGTAGAGAAGAGAAGAGGCAGAAGTAGAGCAGAGGTTACGATTCTGATTGTCTTTTGCAGGTCATTGTTGGTGGATCGCATTGGAACTGCTACATCGTTGATGCGATTTGAATGCTAGGATTCGCACGAAACATTGTGTTTTTTTCCGGTAAACGGAGCTTCCGTTGCGGAGAAGAGTTGGCTCGCGTGCGCGGCGGTTGCGGCGTCGCCGCTTTGCCGCCGAATCTGGCTCGATTTGCGCGCGCAATGTAACTGAGGGTTCCAGGTGACTTTTTCTCTTCTTTGTTGATGCTGTGCTATTGTGTTTTGCATGTCTTGCGACACTTTGTGCATTGAAACTAGTGCATCAAAGCGATGTGTTCTACAGTAGTGTGTTGCAATTCTATTGTGTTTTGCAATTCAGTCTGTGCAGATGGCAGTGGAATGGCTGCGCCAAGGCTTCTCGAAGGGTACTTGTTCTCTAGTAGTGTCTTGCGATTCTGATGTCTTTTGCAAGTCTGATTGTCTTTTGCAGGTCATTGTTGGTGGATCGCATTGGAACTGCTACATCATGGATGCAATTTGAATGCTAGGATTCGCACGAAACATTGTGTTTTTTTCGGGTAAACGGAGCTTCCGTTGCGGAGAAGAGTTGTCTCGCGTGCGCGGCGGTTGCGGCGTCGCCGCTTTGCCGCCGAATCCGGCTCGATTTGCGCGCGCAATGTAACTGAGGGTTCCAGGTGACTTTTTCTCTTCTTTGTTGATGCTGTGCTATTGTGTTTTGCATGTCTTGCGACACATTGTGCATTGGAACTGGTGCATCAAAGCGATGTGTTCTGCAGTTGTGTGTGTTGCGATTCTAGTGTGTTGTGCAAGTCAGTCTGTGCAGATCGCAGTGGAATGGCTGCGCCAAGGCTTCTCGAAGGGTACTTGTTCTCTAGTAGTGCCTTGCGACTCTGATTGTCTTTTGCAAATCTGATTGTCTTTTGCAAGTCATTGTTGGTGGATCGCGTTGGAACTGCTACATCATGGATGCGATTTGAATGCTAGGATTTGCACTAAACATTGTGTTTTTGGTACACCCAGCTTCCGTTGCGGAGAAGAGTTGGCTCGCTTGCGCGGCGGTTGCGGGCGTCGCCGCTTTGCTGCCTAATCTGGCTCGATTTGCGCGCGCAATGTAACTGAGGGTTCCAGGTGACTTTTTCTCTTCTTTGTTGATGCTGTGCTATTGTGTTTTGCATGTCTTGCGACACTTTGTGCATTGGAACTGGTGCATCGAAGCGATGTGTTCTGCAGTGGTGTGCGATTCTAGTGTGTTGTGCAATTCAGTCGCAGTGGAATGACTGTGTCAAGGTTCCTCGATGCTGCGGGTGCGTGCGTAATTAGTAATACCATTTGTGTTTTGCAGCTGACGGTCGTAAATCGCATTGTACTGGCAGCATGAAACTGCGAATGGTGCTTTGGCAGCAGATATTTCTCAATTTTGGCGCATCCTGTGTAGCAGCTTCTCTGTGTAAAAGCATGCTGTGTGTAAAAGCTTCTCTGTGCAAAAGCTTGCTTTGTGTAAAACCTTCTCTGTGTAAGAACTTTCTCTGTGCAAATGCTTGCGCTGTGAAAAAGCTTGCTCTGTGTAAAATCATCTCTGTGTAAAAGCTTCTCTTTGTGTAAGAGCTTAATGTGAAGCTTCTCTGTGTAAAAAAATGCTGTGTGTAAAAGCTTGCTTTGTGTAAAAGCTTCTCTGTGCAAAAGCTTCCTGCGTGTAAAAGCTTCTCTGTGCAAAAGCTTGCTGTGTGTAAAAGCTTACGGTGCGTAAACGCTTCTGTGTGTAAGAGCTTCTCTGTGTAAGAGCTTGCTGTGTGCAAATGCTTCTCCGTGTAAAAGCTTGCTCTGCGTGTAAGCATCTCTGTGACAGGAGGTGAGAAGAGTTGAGAAGAGTTGGCCAGAGTTGAGAAGGTGAGAAGAGTTGAGATGAGCTGAGAAAGAGGTGAGGTGAGTTGAGCGGAGGTGAGAAGAGGTGGGAAGAGTTGAAGAGGTGACAAGAGGTGAGAAGAGTTGAGACGAGTTGAGAAGAGTTCAGACGAGGTGGGCAGAGGTGAGAGTCATTGAGAAGAGTTGAGAAGAGCAGGGAAGATGTGAAAAAAGTTGAGCTGAGGTGGGAAGAGATGAAACAACTTTGAGAGCTGTTGAAAAGAGTTGCGAAAATTGAGAAGAGCTGAGATGGCCTGAGAAGAGTTGAGAAGTGGTGGTCACAATTGAAAAGGGGTGAGGCAAAGTGACGACGAATCCACAGAACCAAGTTGAGAAGCTGTGAGGGTCCGCTGCATCTCCTATAGGCAAACCCTGCCTTTGGATCCTATAGTGTTACACTTCTTAAACCTGGAAACTTCCGCCATCCGCCTTGCGCGGGACTTACTTGTACAGTGAATGTTTGTTCCACCTGATCTTCTCAACTTTCCGCATTCTGGGAGTCTTGGTGGACCTTGGTGACACAGTGTGACCCTTGGAGGTGCTAAAGGTGGAGGTCAGTGGCATCGGCCTCTCCTCAGACGACGAGGCCATGCTGCTAGTGACCTGTGGAATGGGCCAGCCCATTCTGCGCGCGGGCAAGATCCAGGAGCTGAAACCTGTTGGGGTTCGAACTGGTGAACACACGGAACATGAATTAGTCATAATTAATATATTTATATATACATTATGTATATATGTATGCACACATAATGTAAATGTAAAAGCAAAAGTTTAAAAAACACATGTATAGGTAATGTAATGGTATGCTATGGTATGGGCGTCATGAAACAGTGACGCGAGCCAATTGCTTTGCAGGAGAGGTTCTTTAATTTCGGCGTTCTGGGCAGCCACGGCAACGAGGTGGCGGCCGGGAGCTATCAGCTCTGTTGGTGTCAGCCAAGCCTTGGCCGCAGCTGCAACAGCACTGAGGAGTTCAACGTGGCTTTTGGTTCTATCCGGGTTCGTTGCCACTGGAACTACGCAGAGCTGGACACGGGGGAGTGTCGACGCTGTCACTTGCTCTTCGAGGTTCCAGAGGCAGGGAAGAGATGAGGTGATTGAGAAATGGTGGAAGGGGCATTTTCAATTCGGAACGGGTAATCCCTGAGGAAGAAGATTCGGTGTGCCAAATCGATGCAGGGAGCTTTGCACTTGTGATTTTGTGGTGGTTCGTGTCCACCTTGCTCTTCCTGGCCATTGTGACTGCCCTGCGGTGTCGGTTGTGGACGTTGCCGAAGCGGCCCGGAGAACGGCCTGGGACTTTCAGTCCGACACTGGTGGGTACACCGCGGCCCATTCGGGATGTTTCTCAAACCGGTGGCAAACTGCTCATTGCGACCAATGGTTATCACAACCTCATCAAGTTCCCCGTCCCTTGATCGCAACGATATCAGTTGCATCCATACACGAGTTTCCAACTTGTCCCCGACATCTTGTCTCAAACCTTGGCATGCTGGTTGGAACGTGAGGCAAGTCTGGGAGACTCGACACAATTGGATACATCAAGTAGATTCGGATAGATCATCAGATATCATCAGTGTCAGAAAAACTTTGCTGGAGCAGGTGTCTCGGTGGTCGACCATCCCAGTCACCTTAGCGGGCACTGCGCATCCCTTGTTGGATGGAGTCTAAGCTGCAAAAGAGTTAGTTGGACCTGGGATGTCGTCAATTTCCTGCCTTTTCTGGCTGCGTTTTTTTCTAGGTCAGGATAGTTTACACCAGGCCTTGAATAGTATTTTCCGCTTAAGCAAGCACGTTGCCTTGGGAACTCAGAGGTTTTGACATGTTCTGACCACCAGCTCTATTATCTTCCCTGCTTGGCCCTCAAGGAGTGCAGTTCCATGTCCGGGTCCGCGACGGCCGCACGTTAGAAGTCTTGTGCTTGGACAGATCTCCAGTGACATTTCGGGCGGATAGCTCCATGGGTCAAGTGGAGGCTGGGCCACCATGACAGAAGCAAGTAAGTCAGGCAAGGCAAGTACGGCAAGCAGTGAGGCAGCAGGAGGCAGTACTAGGCAGTAGCAGGCAGTATGCAAATGTGGTCAATGATGGTGCATGCAGCTTGGTGCTTCCAGATCTTTTTGCAACGAACATGTTTGTTATGTGCCATTACACTACTGTATGTTCTTTGAATTTCTTTGATGTTCCACACTTTCTGGAAGCTGGCCCAACCTGTGGAAACTTTTTGGTTAGTGCGAGGTATCTTTTGGCCGCGCGCTACTTCATTCGGCGCTCCATGGTTTGAACTTGAAAGTGCCTTTGCTGGGGCAAACCGTGATTTTGGCTGGGTGCTCCTTGGCCATCGGAAGATTCCTGGAACCACCTGGGCTTCAAGGTGTGGCAGTGGTGGCAGCAGGTGCTTTCGTTGCCGTTTTCCTCTTCTTGATATGGCTGCAGTTTGTGAGGACACGGGTGCTTCGTTTCCACCTGGAGGCTTCATGTTCCAACTGGTTTGAAGGAACCCCTCGTGATCTGTATAGGGGACCGAGGCGCCCAGCACGAATTCCAGGGTAAATTTTGGAACACAGGCACGCAGTGTCACGCTTTGGCCTTGTCCAAGGTTCCTGCACTGCTTGATGTTTGGTGTGGTCCTTTACAGGCTCAAAACCCTAACTGCCTTCTGTTCTTTTCTTGGCCAAAAATGCCTGTAGATCGAAACGAGCTATGCTAAAGTGGCGTCTGCGTCGGATTCCCCCAGTTATCGTAATTTTACCGCAGCTCCTTATGCTTTAAGTCCGCAAGACTCCAAAGTACTTCAAGTTTGCGAGACTGAGACTTCAAATCGAAAAAGGCAAAGCAACTTCGCGTTGGTTGATTGATTGATTGATTGGTTGATTGATTGATTGATTGGTTGATTGATTGATTGGTTGATTGATTGATTGATTCATTCATTCATTCATTCATTCATTCATGCATGCATGCATGCATGCATGCATTCATGCATTCATTCATGCATTCATGCAGTCATGCAGTCATGCAGTCATGCATTCATGCGTTCATGCATTCATGCATTCATGCATTCACGCATTCATGCATGCATGCATGCATGCATTCATTCATTCATGCGCTCCTGCACTCATGCATTCATGCATTCATGCATTCATGCATTCATGCATTCATGCAATCATGCAGCCATGCATTCATGCATTCATGCATTCATGCATTCATGCATTCATGCATTCATGCATTCATGCATTCATGCATTCATTCATTCATTCATGCATGCATGCATGCATTCATTCATTCACTCATGCATTCATTCATTGGTTGATTCATTGATTCACTGATTCATTCATTCATCCATCCATTCATGCATTCATTTCATTTCATTTCATTTTCATTTCATTTCATTTCATTTAATTTCATTTTCATTTCATTTCATTTCATTCATTTCATTTCATTTCATTTCATTTCATGTCATGTCATTTCATTTCGTTTCATTTCATTTCATTTCATTCATTCCTTCCTTCACTTCACTTCACTTCACTTCACTTCACTTCACTGCGCTGCACTGCACTTCACTTCATTCACTTCACTTCATTCACTTCATTCATTCATTACTTCCTTCCTTCCTTCATTCATTCATTCATTCAGTCAGTCAGTCAGTCATTCAGTCATTCAGTCATTCAGTCATTCAGTCATTCATTCATTCATTCATCCATTCATTCATTCATTCATCCATTCATTTATTTATTCATTCATTCATTCATTCACTCATTCATTCATTCATTCAGTCATTCATTCATTCATTCATTCAGTCATTCATTCATTCATTCATTCATTCATTTCTTCATTTCTTCATTTCTTCATTTCAATTCATTCATTCCATTCTTTCATTCCTTCCATTCATTCATTCCATTCATTCATTCCATTCATTCATTCATTCATCCATCCACCCATCCATCCATCCATTCATTCATTCATTCATTCCATTCCATTCATTCCTTCCATTCATTCCTTCCATTCATTCCTTCCATCATTCCTTCCATCATTCCTTCCATTCATTCCTTCCATCATTCCTTCCATCATTCATTCCATTCATTCCATTCATTCCTTCCATCATTCATTCCATTCATTCCATTCATTCCATTCATTCATTCATCCATCCATTCATCCATTCATTCATTCCATTCCATTCCATTCCATTCCATTCCATTCCATTCCATTCCATTCCATTCCATTCCATTCCATTCCATTCATTCATCCATCCATTCATCCATCCATTCATTCGTTCATTCATTCGTTCATTCGTTCATTCATTCATTCATTCATTCATTCATTCATGCATTTATGCTTTTATGCCCGAAAAATATTTTTGCTTGAAAAACATTTTTTTTGTACTGGCTGGATGCCGCCTGCGCAACCCGAAGTTCCACGAAGTTCCACGAAGTTCCACGAAGTTAATGTACCAGACAGGACCAAGCCTCAACTAGCCATTCCCAGGTCAGCCAGGAAAGTTTCAAAGGCCTGGCCCAAAAGTGGTTTGGTAAGCCCCCGCCACCAATTCAACACCTTGAAGATATAAAAGACGCCAGAGGCCACCAGGAGCACGACCTTCCAAAGCCTCTTTGAGGTAGGCCGCTCGGATTTTCAAGTGGCGGGTTCTCCACGAAGAACTGCTTGTCCCATGAGCCAGACCAATCGCCGCCACGTTGTCCCCATAAAGAACACGTTCGATGGCACTCTTCCGCTCGGAACGCCCATCATAGTGGCCAACATAGCCTCTGCGGCTTGCCCAGCATTCAAAGAGTGGCAGTAGCTAACTAATTTGCTTTGTGCGGTGGGCTGTGTTATGGATGGCTGGACCGTAGTCTGCCAAGCGATCACGCAGCCGCCGAAGAAAATGGCAAGGCCTTTACACTGCCAGCAAAGCTGGGTGTCTTGCCGCTTTCAACTGCCCACGAGCTCCAAAAGTATCGGTCGGCACGTCCTTGGTGTAATGCAGACCACCAGGCACCCCCTTGACATACTTCATCACTATGGTTGCGATCTCGATGGCCCTCTTGGGATTCTTGGTGGCTAAGCGACACACCGCGGAAACACTTGTCGCCAAATCTGGTTGAGTTCGCGCTGTCAACCACAGCAAGGCTCCAGCCATGGCCTACGCCGTTTTGATGTCCTTGAGGTTCACAGCCTCAGCTGGCACTTCATCATCTTCACTTGGACGAAAGTGTGGCACGGCCAGTTTCGTTTGGATCCCTCTCTGGGAGATCAAAAAACTGTCTCCCCCGGGACCAATTTCTTTTTCGAACCCAGAGTACTTCAGCGGCTTGCTGTTTTCCTCCACCTTCTCCGCATCTGATGTGGCCCAACCTTTGGAGATAGCTTCAAGTGCTGCTTCAGCCGCCTTGTCCTCCGCTGACACCAGGATCAGTCCTGTCCAGTGGCACTTTCCAGAGGTGACCTCAGTCTCCAACAGCTGCCAAACGTTTTCATCGGCCGTTTTGTGGAGACGACCAACAACTTCTTGGCCTTGTCGAAGTCAAACGTCAGTCGTAGATGCCAGTCCAAGCCTTCGAAGCACAGCAGGGATTTCCATCGCGGTGATCTTTGTGTCATCAAGTCGCAGTACAATTGAGAAATGCCATGCACCTGATGTCCGTGCCATAGATGGACCAGCCATGCGAACTTGCAATGCGGATCTGGGCTCTGGTCTGATTGCCATGTGCGCCATCAGCGTAGACCTCATCATTGCCAGGGTCTTGGTAGTTTCCACAGACCGCCGCCCTTGAGCGAAAAGCTCCACTTCCAGCTTTCCTTGTATGAACCATTTTGCCTGGAAGCAGTTTAGTCGGCAGTCCGCGCTATTGAGCAAGATCTCGAAGCTGATCTTTTGAGGTCTGCCTGACTACTTGCTTCTTGTTGATTAATTGATCATACTCAGCGCAAATCGATGGTTCCCAATCTGCAAGGTTTGCCCAGACCTCCGTGTTGCCGATTGTTCTCGTGACCAAAATTCTTGTTCCAGTCGGTGTTGATCGGCTTGACCCCTTTGCTGTTGGACATCTTGAAGTTGGCCTTCCAGCAAAGACTTCAGCGCGATTGCATCTGAAATTGCACCAAGCCACATTGAAGACTGTTCGCTGGACGTAGCGTCCAGTCTATTCATCTCCTCTTCCATGAAGTTGGCGACATTGCTGTGGATGGTTCTGATAGCAGCAACTCCAAACTTTGAGGCGACCGGGCATGCGCTACCGCACTGGTACTTAGGCGCCTCCTCCACATCCCCTCCGCCGACTCCTTCCTCCAGTTCTTCAGCGCCAGATTGAAGACTGTTGGAGTTTCTGCCGTAAGGCTTGCTGACGTTTGTTGCGAGTCAGTGCCCAAAGTCGAGCTGGACTCATCGCTGCCATCCGCATCATCCATGTCAAAATGGCTTGTGAGGTATTCAGGAACTTCAAAACTGTTGTCAGAACATTGCAAACTACCCCGCCAACCAAACCATTTGAAACTTCAGCGGAACTTGAATCAAAACTTGAGAGCCCCACTCCTTCTCCCCCTCCATGTTCATCATCGATCGGATTGCTGGCACTGCAGTTTTGCTGCGCAATCTCCATGTCGGAACACCATCAAGGATTGCAGGAGCCGGAAGAACAATTGTGGGTTCTTCAGGATCAGGTGGGGGTGGCATGGACGTTGGCTCCACGATGTCATCCGTCAAGAACTTTCCAGGATTTCTTCAGTGCAAAAGCCTTCACTCCAAATTTCAAAAGTGGTGCAACTGGCCAACCAACACCTGGGAGTTGAGATCGAAGTCGCCTCTGACTCTCTCCAGCATGACGTAATGCAAGTGGCCATGACTCCAGTGGGCACAGCTTGGCGCTGATCAGCATGCGAACTGCACGTTTCATTGCCCCAACTTCACTTTCCACTTTTCCATTTGTCTTGTATGTAGATCCCGTGGTCAATGTTGTGATGACCCCTCGGTCCAAAGTCCAGCGGCGAATTGATGCCGATGTCAGCTCACGTGCACGGTCGCAGTGGATGCGAGGGCAGGCCAAGATATCTCAGGCGTGCATAGATGCGAGCCAAAGCTGGCAAAACATCCTTCACAGCTCTGGATGGAATCACCTCCGTGAACGTGAGGTTCTTGACACCAACATTGCGAGCATCTTCACCAACCGATGCCAAACACCAAAGGCCATTCGCATGGATACTTTGACAGGGCCATCAGGACCAGGCTTTCGATGGGATTGCTCTTGCAATGGATCAGGTGGTCCGAGGATTCGGGCATTGGTGGAAGATCTCCCCCTCATCCTTCACCACATCATCGTCATCCAGAACTTCATCAGGTGGAATCTGAGACCATCCCCTCCATTTCAGTCCATCGACGGCAGAGGTTGGTCGACTTGGGAACTAGGGCCACCCCCTCCGTGTAAGTCCTTCGAAGGCAGAGGTTGATCGCGGTCCTCTTGTGGTGCACCTGGAGGATCTATCATGGGATGACCATCACCAGTCACTGTGAATGTGTAGCAAACCACCATGATGTAGCGACACCTTGATCTTGTCCGACTGCCATTTTGCCAGACAAGTCAACCGATAAGGTGAAAGAATCTGGGTGGGTGATGCGCCGTGGACGACTTCGCCCTTGAGCAGCGAGCACAGTGCATACAATCCCTCCGTGCCAGAAGGTGATCATGAAGGAAATGTTGTTTCCAGGCTTCAAGGGCGATTTGGCTGATTGGTCGCAGCACTGGTTGTCCAAATTGCATATGCCTATTCAAGGTTGTTCAGATCACAGCTGTCAGCCCCTCCACCCAGCTCGACCAAGTCTTTGACTCTTGGATCCTTTGCTGCAACGTCATGGATCGAAAAGCCTCAGTGGCCCTTGACTTGTCATCAGGTTCACCTCGTAGGCCATTAACTGGAAGAGCTCCTCGATGTTGGTGGCTATTGTAGTTGGTTTGCGCTTCTTGTGCCCCGATTGGGTGTTGATCCATGTGAATCTGGGTGATGTCGTACTTGGCTTCAAGATCCTTTCGTTCCTGCGTCCGACAGAATGAAAAGTACCCATTCTCGTGGATGTCCTGAGGGCTTCTGTATCTGGCTGAATCTTCTGGCTGTTCCAGCGCAAATTGGAGCCCCTCCTTCTTCACGGACATTCTCAGCCAGAATGTGCAAGGCCAAAAACCGAAACATCAGGGTCACATCGCCCAGCACCAAACTGTGATCCACCACCGACAAATTGGGAAGGCCACAGGGGAGTTCATCATCACGCAAAACTCTTGGGCCACCGTCATTTTAGTACCTGTGTGCACTGATAGTGGGACAGGGAGGTCCACCGATTAAGGCCTTGACACGGCCTGAGGCACACAGCGAGAGCAGGTAGGCGAAGACGTTCTTGTCAAGCAGACTGGCTGGCACTGAGCTATCCGTGTCAACACACAAAACTTCAGTGGAGGCTGTGGAACATTGTTGCTCCCAAAAGCGTTGGTTGGGGCTCGAGAAGATGTGGAGGATCAGGTTCTTCGCCTTTTGGATTCTTCTGCGTTTGTGTCGACTCCACGGCACCTTCGGTCCAAAGTCGGCGGCCCGCACTTGCTGCAGTCGTGGGATGAGACCCATCATCACTTTATCGGGCAGTTCGGGAAGATCTCCTTCATCTTCAGCGTCATAGCCACCTCCAAATCCAAGCAGCTTTTGTCTACCAGAGCTTGTTCAGCGATGAGAGTCTTGACAGCTGCCAACTTCCTGCGCTGATGCACATAGAAGCCCTCCAGCCACTGCAAAATCTTCTCACCTTCCAACTTGGAAATCATAGGGCATCCATTTCGGAGCTCCACACGGACTTCACGGCCCTCGTCATCTCGGAACTTGCATAGGCCATCACGCCACTCCAACGAAAAGTCCAAGTCAGAGAGGCCGCCCATGGGGATGATCCAAGACACCTGAGCTGATGGCTCTGCCAGTAGGATCTTCGTGCCCTTTTTCAGCCGAAACATCTCAGTGGTGCAATCGGCAAGTTGGACTGGCGTCCCTTCAGACTTTTGCCACTCATCAGCATCTCTGGCAGGCGTAGTGCATGTGTGACTCCACTGTCCAACAGGATGTACTCGTCATCCACAGTCTCTATGTTGCCCAGTTGCATCACCATCAGCTTGGGATTCATCGGAACTCGAAGCCTCTTCAACAGCTGTGTGGCTTCATGCAAAAGCTCAGCTGTTTTGTCGCCCTTAGAAGCACCATCAGCTCGACTTCCATCTTTGTCACCATTGGTAGTGGAGCATGTCACTTCCGGTCGGTGGTTTTTGCAGAAGCATCATCCGCATTCTTTGCGACTTTGACTGCTGCTGCTCCGGGTTTTCCTCCCATAGCTGTAGATGTTGAGCTTGATGAAGTTGGAGTTGCAACATTGGGATTTCCACGTCCTCTCCCTGGGCCGGCACTCGGCTCACCAGGCTTTTTGCCAACCGACTTCATCTTGTGCATTCATTTTTTCGGTGTTCTTTGCTGCCGCAGATCCAACATCGAGAGGCTTTGTCATCCACCCCTTCCCACAAGAGTGCACCCATTTGCAAGATTCGCCCGCTTTGCATCCAGTGTCCGACACAAAGTACTTGCAGGGCTTGTCAATGGCAGGGCCAGACTTGGCCTTGTTCCCAAGTGGAGTGGCACTCGATGGGGTCTTTGGATTGCTCTGCAGCTGTTTTAGTTTCAGAGGTGTTTGAGTTGGAGTTGTGGTAGATGTTGTCAGCAAACACAAAGTTTCAGCCTCGGCCAACAAGCACTAGCTAAAGGCCCACAAGCTCAAGTGCTCCGGCTTCTCGTCCAGCTGCAGCTGCATCCTGCTTTGTGAGAGGTGGAAGGCCGCTTGCTTCCGTTGAGGCGAACTGTTGCAATGGGCCCAGCGACACCGCCAGGCAAAACTGCCTTGACTTCTTGAGCTCGGCCGAAGTGTCTGCGCCAGCTTCGAAGATGTCGCAAGGTCTCGGACACGTTTTGAGCCCGGAATGTCAGTGAGCTGCTTTAGAAGAAGTTGTTTTTCTCTGGCCCCTCCCAGCTGAAATCGCACCATCAGACGGTACAAAACTGCCGTCGATGACAATGCACGATCTGTCACCAAGGCTTGCTGCTCCATGTCCGGAATTGCCTTCAACAACATCTGGACTCGACGCCGTTCTGTTCTATGGAAGCGTGGTTCGTGGAGCGACTCTCAAAGTCGAGGTTGAATTTGGATCCGTTGAAGAGGTGTGCTCTCCTCCCAACGCTAATAGTAACACTTCGCTTCACGCAGTGTTGATTCCCACCACCAACCTGTGGCTCCACTGATGTCTTTCATCACCGCGCAGCTCAGATTGCAAAGGTGATGGTGTCGCCGGAAGATCTGGGAGCTCACTCTTCGTGTTCATGCCTCCGGCAGAGTCATGCCAGGGCCCATAGATGCGAGCTGCATCATTTCCAACTTCAAATCCACCTCCCCCCACCATGCCGTGGATGGTCGCAGAAATCAACACGATCTTTATCAAATAGTCCCCGCTCACCACCATGCGTAGCGCCAGCCGGACCATCGCCAGGAAGATCCCCATGCAATGCAAAGGCCCGATCTCGTTCAGGATGAACGCCGTGCTCAAATGTTCACGGTGATCACCATGCGCAAAAGAAGCTGAGCTTGTCCGAGGTGAACACGGATTCGAAGCCCGATCGCGTCCATGAAGGTCGCTGCTGGTGCTGAGGCCCGATCTTGAAGGTCATTCACATCACATCCACCATGCTGAGCCCAGAGCAGGATCACAGTTTCCACCATGCTGGGCCCGATCATCAGGTCGATTCGCACGACAACGCTCAGACCAACAGGCTTGGAAAGATCCCCAGAGTCAAAGCCAGAATACCAGTAGCCGGATTGTTGCACCATGTGAGGGACAGCTACTCTATCTAGAGCTACCTGCAGTGACCTAACTTCGCGTTCCAGCCACACCTCCTTCGCCTTACTTGCAGTAAGAGGACCATCTCCATTTTTCATTTTGGGTTTGGAGTCGCATGTGTCATAGATCTCAAAACTGGACTGTTGAGGTTCCCCATCATTCATCACAGCATCAGGGAAGGATGGTACCGGTGGCAGAGGCGTCTCATCTAGCACTACAGTGGAGGACCATGCGGCACCCTGGTTCCATTCGGGGTATATCTCAAGTCAGCTTTCTCCCTGCTACTTCTCTAACACGAGCTCGGGGGGTTCTGCTACCATGCGTACCGTGACGTCCATGTTGTTGAGATGCCCCCATTGACCGAACCCCATCTACGGCCATTCTCGAAGACTTCTCCAGTTTATCTCTGGGAGCCGCGACTTCACCCTGAAGACCGTGATCAGACTTGGATTCGTGACCTTCGGGGATTCCAACAGGGCCCATCGTTTTCTCTCCCGATTCTTTAGGCATCACCCCTTCAGTTCGTTTCGGCTGCTTCTCCACTGTAGGTCTTGACGGTTCAGCATCCAGCAATCCCGCTGAACTGCTGCCACGACCCTTCCCAATAACACTGATTTCCATAGAAGGTGGCAACCCCAAACCAGAAGTAGCATGTTGAATAGGTACCCCATTTTACCATTCCCAAAGTCAGTAGGCAAGTCCATAGCTCCATTTGCCGCTAGAAGACATTCGGTTTGAACCTTTTCAGAGTACCAAGGATTTCCAGCCCATTCCAAGCAGCACCGCTAAGTCCCATCGAAGGAAAAACCTGGACCCTTGCATGGGTCGAAAATCCTAAGCCCTCCTGATTAGGTTTGGGTCCATAACCCTCAAAACTCTAACTGTCTTCTGCTCTTTTCTTGACTAAAAAGGCTTGTAGATCGAAACGAACTATGCTAAAGTGGAATCTGCGTCGGAACAGAAATATTTCAATTTTAACCAAACCCAGTCAGCAACCGCTTTTTTACAGATCCTGGTGTTTGATCCCAAAAGGACATCAAGTCCTTTGACTCACAGCCTCAAGATGTATGCCAGCAACATTTCGGAAACTTGGGCTGTCACTGAAAAGGTTTCCTTCACTTGACATGCTCGAACACCGAGCAATCGTACCGTAGACATTCCTCAAAATCACATACCTGATAACCATGAGATTCGCAATTTTATTGGACATGATTTTACGAGAAGCATAATCAGCATGCATCAAAAGCCGGATGCGGATTCCCCTCGCTTGGATTCATTTGAATGTTTAGCAACTTGGAAGAGATTGACGATTCGTATTACATGAAGGAGGAAACGTTCCACAACGACTGGATGATGTTTTATTTGTGAGGTCTATGTTTGTTACCTGCTTACCGAATTTTTCAGTGATGCTGGTAGTAGGGGACTTGCTGGGGTGTGTAAGACGATACTTGCTGGGCTTTCGTGTTTCCATTGGAAATTTACATTCTGACGCGGCCAAGGAGAAAGGAATGACGAAAAAAACTAAAAAGGGCCCAGAGAGGGCGGTGGCTGTCCAAGAGGTCTTGGATCTTTGGGATTCTTAAATGCACAATGACTGGTTTTGCAGGGCTTACTCCTGATACATGGAACCTGAAACTGCCGTCGCAAGCCGCGTTTGCAGTCAAACCTTGTGGGTTGGCAATTGGGATCAATTCTGTTTGCTAAGGACAATTTCCAACACTTGGTGCGCGATCGAAACTTGGTTTGAAAAAATAGAAACAAATGAGAATAAGAATGCTTATTAAATGCCAAAACAACTATTTAACAATGACAAACCGTATGCATCCACAAACGCATTCAAAAAGACGCACAGATTGCATATGCACATTCCCGACTCCGTCTTGGGATTTGACCCAATATCGACACGTTCCATACCGGATTCCTGCAGAGTTCATCCAATGGGTGTTTCGACCCCCAGGAAACATGTATTACATGGACGTCAACATAGTGAAACCGCTCACCATGCCCTTAAAGCTCTCCTATGCTGAGCTGGTTGGACCCCAAGATGCCATGTGGTTCGTGAGCCACTGGTGGGGCTGCTTGGTTCTGAATTTGAGAGTTTCGAGATGTCTCGAGGAAATCCCTGAACTTCCAATCATTCCATCTTGAATGTATTTTATGTTTCGGTTTGCTGACAAACCATCCCTGGGATGTGGCTCCGAGATGCTCTGAGGTACTGAGTTCCGTGTTTACTGTGAAGCTCTTTCCCGGCACGCCAAGGCCTGGGGTATCCTGGGGTTCCGGTGACCTGGGATGCGTGGCAGGTGTGGAGATTAACACGACGGGAGACGCATGCAGTTGTAGTTACTGTAGTGCTTGATGCAGCCATAGTTTCGAAGCACAGCGAGATGTTTGTCATAGTGTGCTTTCCCATGCTTTCCCTATATCTTGCTTGAGGTCTTCCCCCAGGCCAATACTACTAGCACTTTGTGGGTTGAAGTCATGCGAGAATGTGTCGTTTTGAGGCATTCAGAGAGGATGAAGTGACAGATTGGAAGCGAACGACTACCTACTGGATCTGTACATTTTCCAACAATCAGAGCCTCAGATGACTTGTGATATTTTTTCTTTGGAATCCTGTTTCCAATTCCATCCATTGAATCATTTGAATCTCAGGATTCTTGGCAGTGAACTCCTCATTTTTTGAGGCACAATATCTCGGAGGAGCTTGGCCAGTCGCACCAAGAATCCTCTTTCTATCAAGCTTTGCACGAAGGCACGGTCAAAGGAACCTGCATGATCTTGGATGAGAAGGCGCATCAGGGGAGTGTGAACTGATAGTTACTTTGGTGGGGTCTGCCGAAGTGACAATTACTGGCTAGCTCGAAAAAATGGACGAGCCCTAGTGGCCCTAGTTATTTGGGAATAGGCTTCTTGGGATGACTCGGGAAATATTTTCAGCTTTCTGCAATGAGCGGCTGACATTGCTCCGCCTTCAGAAGAAATCAAGTCGAGACATTGCAATGTTCACATCAAAACTGTTTCTATCTGTTTCTTTTTGCTTGTCCAATTTCACATCAAATCCATGTCGTTTTCTTCTCTGGAAGTCACCGAAAGGGCATTCACCTCATGAGGCAATGCCCTTGACACGTTCGTGGTGTCTCTTCGAAATCCTGCAGACCATTTTCTTGAAGAAGCAAGTGATTCGGTTTCAAGGCTTATTTTTCTGCACCGAAACAGGCGCGGCAAATTAAAGGTTGTATGGCTGTGGGCATTTGAGTTCTTGTTGTCGCATTCAGAAAGGTTGTAGAACTCGATTTGCATTCTCAGTCCTTTGCTCACATGGTCACTTCAAAAGTGAATCTTGAGAGCTGCATTTTGCAGCTTGATCCTGGTTGTTTCCTCTCCAATTCCACCATGTTTTATCAGAGGCGTTCTGAACCGCGGCAACAGCACGGTGGAGATGTCCATCCAAATCGGCCATCGCATGGCACATCTGAGATTGGAAGATGCCGAGGCAACCACCGAGCAGGCGTGCCACTGGCGTGCCGGCTGGGGTGAGGGACTGGCATCGGTCAAATCACCGGGTATATCGGTATATCTATATACACACGTGTATTTATGTATATATATAATATATATATATATATTTATCAATGATAATAAAAACAATAATAGTAGTAATAATATATATATATATACAAATGCATACCTACATTACTATATTGCATTACATTTAATTTACATTACACACCAATACATACTTTCACATACGTTAAATACTACTATTAGAACGTGTAAAAAGAATATATATATATATGTATGCAAATATATATATATATACATATGGTCCCGTCCTCCATCTCTCCATCCCCGCCCGATGGGTTGGGTCCCCAGGTAGCATCCCCTTCCCTTCTATTTGCAAGCTATTGGCAGCATTTCTTAGGTCCAGCTTCGTATTTGTTAGGTCTTTGCAGCATTTCTGACTACCAGCCTTGCATTTACTAGGTACATGCTACCTTTTAGACCTACGTAGCACACATACTCCCTCAAAGTACCTACGTGCTACCTATAGTCATATATACATCTACTTCCTATTTGCTACCTGTGTGCTCTCACAACACTACATGTGTTTAACATATACCATACCTACCATACATACCAATGATGCCATACATACCTTAGCTATCATACCTATCATACATAACACACATACCATACATATGAAACAGAATTACCACACTTACCATGCATACAATACCAAACATACATGCCATACATACCATACCTTACATAGGAAACATTCCATACCCAACATAGTAACCATACATACCATACATACCATACAGACCATACATACTGTCATCTCAAACATACCATACCCAACAGACTTACATACCATACCTACCATCCATACAATACCAACCATTCATGCCATACATACCATACCTACCATACATACCAAACATACCATACTTTCCAAACATGCCATACCAAACCGACCATACACACCATACATACCCAACATACCATACCACACCCCCACCACACCACAGGGGGGTGGCATCTATTTTTGGGAACGTGTCTACACAATGCATGACCACAGTGTTGCATGTACATGACATGTTCACCTTAATTCATATAATCACTGCACCCCTCCGTGGCTCAAGACTTGCTTGCATACCGCAGCAAAAAAGGTGTAGCTCGCCGCCGCGTTGACCACAAGTGTTCTAACGTCTTCACGTAGATCCAGGGCTCCCTCAATAAGGGGATTGCTACCTCAAAGTGGTAGCGGAGCCTGTGCCTCGCCAAGTTCCGAAAACTTGTACAGCAGTTGTTCTTAGCATCTGCTCCGAAATTTGGACTTGCGAAGGCAACTTGTAGGTCAATCTCAAATCGCTGCCATGGTCTTAATCCACAACATGGACTCAGACGAAGAGCAACTTGAAATTGTCTCATATGAAGAGCCTGAAGCCTATGCTGCCAGTTATATGTTCCTATATGTCCTCGCGTCCTGCGTTTAAGGGCCATGTCGACGCCTTCCTGATTATTTGTACACATCATATATAATCAGATATGTCCATACCGCGAGGCAAATGTCAGGTAAGCGAATGTGCTGCATGTCATGTTGCAAACAAAAAACTCTCTGTTATTTGAAGATGTTTTTGAGTTTTTGTTTGGATGAAATCTGAGACAAAATGTTTTTGAAAGGATCTTTTGGCCACAGACTTTCATTTGAAGAGTCATGTTAACCAAGGAACAGTAGTGAATCTCTATGTTGTATGATGCAGCATTTTGCTAGGGAGGTGAGGGTGGGAACCATTTCCGTTCCATCCACGTTAGTTGACCCGCCCAAAGGTGGGACCTTTTTCCCTCCCTTGTTGGGGCCAAAAACATATGGATGCTTGAAAGTTACACTGGCTGAAACTTAAAAGGGTGATGACCCTAAAAATGCAAGGATGCTTGCACAACCATGGATGTCGTTTTGAGCAAAGTTCAAAACATCAGCAGTGGAACAGTCGAAACGATACCCCAGTTCGCCGTGGTGACAAAAAGGAGAAGAGCGAGAGAAGTCCAGTTGTGCTTTTCACTTGAAACATTTTTCATATGCTGTGATTTTGATTTTGGTTTGATGAAAGATCCAATGGTGGGCAAAGATGTTTATTTCAACAACGAAGCGACCGACGTTTTGCGTATGATACTTTGCACATATGTTTTACCACTATATGTGGTTTTATGTTTGTTGGTTATACTATTCCGTGCTGTATATTATACATATGTATGATGTGGATAGAATGCTAAGATCGTCACTGTGGCTTTGGGCCTTTGTCAAACTTTAAGGGGGCAGTATATGGGACCCATCCCATGGGGTGGGGGAGGGGGGTGGCAGGGCCTGGTGTATATTTATATATATATATATATACATACATACATATATATGTATATATACATATATATATACACGTATATATATATATGTATATATATATACATTTAAATACATATATATATATATAAATTAATATGTATATATATATGTATGTATATATATATATATGTGCAAATAAATAAGTAAATATATATATATATACAAACATATATATATATATTTATGAATATATATATAGGTGAATATGCATGAAGGAGGTATGAATTACACATATACCACTATGATTATGAAATCTATACAAGTGCATCATGTAGATGTATGCAACAATGGGAGAATTTGATGCTAAAAATTATCCGTATTGAAAAGAACAGAACCCATCGAGCATTTGAAGCACCTGAACAGATGAGTGTTGGATGATCCCAATTGGCCCAGGATAAGCGAATGATCCACGATTTAGTCATTGGCGAGATGGAGAGTTTTGATCACATCAACCGGGTACTGAAGAAATGCATCGGAGAAGCCTTGACGGAATGCGAAAAATCGGTGAGCAAACAGTTTTCTGAGCCTTGGCACCGAGCCTTTTGGTAGTGCTTAATTTTCCGCCCTGGTGGCGTGATTTTGGGAACGCCCTCCAAGCACTTAAGACTTAAAACCAAAGCTCCATTTTGCCAGGTTGGACCCAAACAGCTTGGAAATTGCACACTTTCTAGGCCAATATCCAGTGATGAACTGTGGTGGTAAGCCAAGCTTCCAAGTCATCACCGCAGTTACCCAGTCAAGCCATGCCCAAAAATCGGTTTTGGTACTGGTCAGGGCGGTTAGTATACTAAGTGGTTTAACGGTGAGCGTCTCTATCCAACCTGGGAACCAATATCAACCAGTGATGACCGGATGATTCAGGCACTGCTCACTGCTCAGTTGTTTTTCCAGTTTCTAAAAGTGGCCGAGTCGCCCATTTGCAATCATCCCTCCCTTATCGTTTATATCCCATCAATGTCTATTAGTTGCATCTCATCATAAAATCACCAGGTTGGTCTGAATTCCCATAGTTGGGATTCTCCCATTCATAGTTATATTCCCACCATGATATTAATATATAGATCCCATTAATATCCCATGAACATCCATCAATCATATATCAACCCCCATGATTTTGTACAAACAACTCCCAACTCCCAAGGACCTTTACGAGGAGTTGGACTTTGTGACAGACTCACCGCAACGCGCTGGGGCTGGCTTCATGACAGACTCACCGCAACGCGCTGGGGCTGACTTCGTGACAGACTCACCGCAACGCGCTGGGGCTGACTTCGTGACAGACTCACCGCAACGCGCTGGGGCTGACTTCGTGACAGACTCACCGCAACGCGCTGGGGCTATCCGGAGCAGTTTGTGACAACATATATACACACAAATGATCTATCATCTCTCTCTCTCTATCATATACATCGATAAATTGTAACATCCACAGTGTCAAGAACATATGTTGGATGAGCATCCCCAATGTCAGGTCCATCTTGACCATCAACCATGCCAGCCCCTTTAGGGGGCGGGCAGATCGAGTGCCGGTGATCAAGTCCTCGGCCTGGTGTTGATGACAGGTACATACAGGTACCAAAGGCCAGATTTTTGGATCTTGGATCATTGGCTCAAGCTGTTTGCATGAGCTGGTGTCTCCATGTCCATTGCCCAAGATGGGCCACAGAGCAATGCTCAGCACCTCAGCATCTTGGAGCCAACTAAGTGGCAACTAACCAGCTGCTGATGGTTTTGGGCATCGCTCGCTTGCACAAAGAGGCAGACATATTCAGCACGTGTTGCAAAAAGAAACGACGGGAGGGAGCATTTGCACTATTTGAGTGGTGAAAGCCAAACCAAGTGGATGAAATTTCATCGCAATGCTGACACTTCTGCCGGTTTAACATGTTTAACGACACATCTCGGACTCGGCGGCAGTGGTTTGACCTGCAGTGAGCCCGATGCCTGGGGATGGGTGTGTCCTTGTCGTGAGGTTGCAGCGATGATCATATCGAGAGAAGTGTCCTGCCTCCTGCAGCGCTTCACAAAGTGCTGAAAAGATAGGAATACTATGGAATACTCTGGGACTGTGGAGTGCTTCAAATACTGAGACAGATTATCTGATTGAAACGCACGACAGTCCCATTGTGTTCAGGAGCTGTGCTTTCTGCAATCTCGTGACCACTACAGCACAGGGCAGTCTTCTCTTGTCACATTCGTGATGCTCGAAGCATTCACGTTGAAATGTTTGCTGGATTCTTGTTTATATATTTGTCCCATTTCCAAAATGCATGATGCGGCGCCAATAGAATTGAAACATGAAACAAAACAAACAGGTCTTTCATGGTATTGACAAGAAGCAGCCTTAAACTTGTTGTGCCGCCAAATCTGCTCAGAAGGGGTTTGATCACCGCTGGAACAAATGGACTGTACAACTGTCACGTGGTGAACCAAGTATTGAAAATCGAGCTTCTTTTGCCCTCCCCACAACTCTCATCAAACACTACACGCACCACACATCACCACACACTTTGAGGAAGATCAGACCTTGCCTGACCAACCTGCCAGTACCAGAAACATTTAACTCTGAAGTCTACAAATTGGTACAGGAAAATGATAACGCACCTATAGCATCCTATAACGGTGCTAAGCTTGCTCAAAGGGCCATTTTGCGCCTGCAGAAACACTTGCGTCATGTTGCGCATCAAGTTGCATCACATATTTCATCATGTTACACAACATTTTACAATTCATTTGCAATTCATTTGTTGTGTCGCTGTGGCCATAGTGCCCATAGTGGCCATAGTGGCCATAGTGGCCATAGTGGCCATGGGGCAATCTCATGGTGGCGTTGGCGTCCGGAAGCGACGCATCAGCCTCACGAGTCGCCAAAGTCTTACAAGCAACGAGAGTGAATGGACTGAACACAGCCACAAGGATGGGGAAGTGGGGAAGTCGCTGCGGCTTCACTAAGCTCCGCAAAGTGTGGATGTTTAAAATGTTTTTTTTCTTTTTATCGATCGATCAACTTCCTTTTGGCTTTGGCTTTCTGAACATCCGCCGTTTTTCTGGCGGAGTCCCAACGTGTTGCAGGATGTTGACGACGGCTCCTCCTCCGATGAGGATGATGACATCGATCCCCACAAGGATCTTGCGTACGATGACATGATCCTGTTGGTCGCCTGGCCGATTGCAGATACGTGGGGGGATGGGTCAAAGTGTATCTACATGTATCTACAACATCTATAGATTTTAGTTATTTTTAGTGAATGTATTTACTTAATCCCATCCCCTACTATGACCTACCGTCATATATCAAGTTTGATATACCATATTTTGAGGCTCAACATCCATCCATCATCATTTACCAGGTGGATGATCACCCTTTTGATCCATTGCCGTGGGCCGGTAGGTCATGACTCCCAATCTGTTCTCGCTGCCTCAGCAAGAGCGTGTCGTGAAGAACCTGGGTTTCAGTTCGGTGTCACTGGTGTCATTGTGTCCTGTGAGGTTTTGTTTCTCACCTCAAAAAGACATGTGTGTTGAAATGGTATCCAAACCAAGGGAAAATTAGTCGATAGGGTAGCAGGATACTGTATCATTGAAAAGATTTCATACCGTCTCGGCCTCCACTCCTACCAAAATGCATTCTGTACAGGTCCTCATCCACTATGAACAGATGTTTCGGAACGAGAGCAGTTTGGTTTCACAATCCAATCTGCAGCGGAAATGTGCTCATTCTCCTTTCAGGAATGTGAAGCTTGGAGACAACGTCGAGGCGATCGGGAGAAACACGGTGCTCTTGCACGTGGCCCGACCTGAAAAAGGACCAAGAGACATCAAAGGAGTTGGGATATGAAAGCCGTGCCTTTCCGTGCCTTTCGACCCAACCTCACCTGAAACGGGTACGGAATTCTGTGGACGTATACATTCGAGCCACCTTCAATAAGTGGTTAGGACAGTTAGCAGAGAACTTCAGATGTCTTCAGTGTTCGCAAGACCTGCTTGGTGCACTTGGTGCAACGCCCAGGTGTATGATCTTGATGAACGCTGGGAAGTTTCTTGGCATCATTCGAATTTGGCCGGGTGTGGAGGAATCTTGAGTGGAATCAAGTCGACAGTGTTCTCAGCGAGGATGGTGGCACTGGGATTTCTTATGATTTCTTCATAGCCGCAGTTAACAAGAAATCGCATCAGTTGTTTGAGCGTAATGTCTAGTTGTGGCCCTCAAAGTGGTTTGGCAAGGGACATGGTGACAGTGGTGACACAATCCCACGGCTTGGCACCATGAGGGCCCCAACAATATGATCGTGTGTCCCATCGACGAGGCCAGGGAGATCAAGTTGTACGTTTGTGTACAGGTCTGCACGACAAGTCCATTGGATGCACATGTTGGCCTCCAGTGAATCCCAGCCCAAAAGTTTCGTCGAAACTTCACCATTCCCACGGCAGTTTACGATTGGTGGCGCCTTTCATTCGGGCGTCGAAGTCTTCGGCAACGAATGGTCGTATGGCAAGCGTGGCGTTACCTGCCAGCCGCCACGCACGGCAGAAGACCATGTCTATCGCTGCAGTAACTTGGCAGCCAATGGCCCAAGAATGGACAACGACAGAAAGGATACTATAGTGATCTATAGTGAGAATGAGGATGATGAAAGGGATGACCCAGATGATCAGGATGAGGATCATTATGATGGCAACGATTTAATAATAATGATTCATGATTCATGTCTGCTCCTTGCCAAGGGTTAAGCGCATTCAAGCAGCACACGGATTTTTCAGGCATTCCTCTGGGCAACACTGACAAATCCATCGAAGAGGCTGGGCACAGAACAAAGTGGAGAAAGAGAGCGAATGGGAGCGTCAGAAGATTGAGTACCCCAAAATCGAATTGCTCATTATTTATATATCCTATTCCCCATTAAGACGACCAAAAATGACCATTTCAAAACCCAAAGGAATCCAAGGGTGCCCCATTTTTCACTTTGGGCGTTGGAGTCCAGCTATTGCAATTTGGTGCCCTTCGCAGCGGAGGTTGCGGTGTTGCTGCAGGAGCTCTGCAGAGAGTGGAAGGGCAGCGACTATGCACCTTGGATGAACATGCAGGTGTGTCTGAAAACCGGAAAAACACACCATTTTAAAGCCCTTTGAACGGAAACCGAATGAACATGATACACTGAAACTGATAAACTATCAGTTTGGGGTACCCTGTTCAGAGCTGTTGCTTGTGTAGGAAATGGTTGACAGAGTTGGGAAATCCAAATCTCTCAGCTCTCAACTTCCCCGTTTGTTCCTTCAGGACCTTTTCGCCCACAACTGCTGTTCCTTTGCAGGGGAGTTCTGCCGTCGGCTTGGCGTTGGGGACCGCATGACTATTTTCTGTGAGCAGACATTTTGAACATTTTTGAACAAAGGCAACTCCATTTTTCCTTTTAGAAACATTTTCATAGAAACAAGTCTAAAATTTCCATTACAAATTTGAGTGCCCAGCTGCACTTTTTTTGGCCGGAGGACCAGTTTCCCAGTTGGATCGATCGATTCGCTCGGCTGTTGGCAAATGCCTCACATGGACTTGATCATGTTGGAACCCAGGTGGGTGCATAGCACGGGTGCATAGCACTGTAAGTTGCAGTAGATTCAATTTGTCAATGGATTTGAATGGCTTAAAAAAGTGATTCAAATGTGAACGGCAATAGGTTCGGAGCGCATTTGGTTCTGTGGAGAAGGGTGCCTTGAATGCTTTATTGGTGAGCCTCACACCCTTTTGATCCCGATTTGATCCCGCTCCGCAGAGATTTGCAGGAAGCAACAAGTTCCGTTGTTTGAAATAAATAGCTTGGCTATGCTTGGCTTCCCTTGTGCGCTGAGGACTTGGTCAGCTCTCGATTTTCGTATCTCGGTTGCAGGAAATTTGGGCGGGACTTCATGGCGCCACCGGGACTTCGTGGCCAGCGCCTTCCGTAGCCGCCGTAGCCCAGGTCTCCTCGCTGGTGGTGGATGATGTGGCTGAGGAGGAGGAAGACATCGAAGTCATCTATGGCGACATGGACGACATGGACAACATGAAGGACGGTGAAGTGAGCCGCCTTGGGCCCTTTTCACCACAGTTGATGTGTCTTGATGCAGTGCACCCGGGAGGAGGGCACCTACATCCAGGTGTGGCGTTTTGTTGTTGATGAATTCCAGATGATTTCAGTGGCACATGACTTGACGAATTTGACTTTTTCAGGTTAGTCGCACGGAGATCAAGATGACTGTAAGCCACCGCTGCAGCTTGGCAACAATACTTTATCACTCATCATTCTAGTCCCAATTGGGCTTCGTGATTGGGTACACTTGGTATACACCAAACTAATCGGGATGATGTTTTTTCTTTGGTGGCCCCCTTTATGTATGGTTGGTTGCTGGCTATGGCATCGATTGACATTCACATTGTTTTCATTATCATCCAATGATCCTAATTAAACTCTCAGAAATAGCAAAGTCCCCTACCGACGGTTTATTCTTGGGGAGATTACTGGCTGGTTAAATCCCAATCAATACACCATAAAACATCTATAAACACATAACATATCAATACAACTATATAATACATATATATATATACATATATATATATAATTATATATATACCGTATATACATATATATATATACATATATATATACATATATATATATATATATCCCAACACTAGATGGATTATCAACCATTGGATCCTGATGGTTTCTCGATTCCGCACGGGCGCGCTGACGCTTCGAGGGCTGCCCCGCAACGCGCGACGCGTGGCGCCGAAGTTGGCGCTTGTGGAGAGGATGGCGATCCAACAGGCGGATCACTTTCAGCCAGGCCCGGACACCCCCAACGGCAGCGATGAGGGCCAGCGCCTGGAAACTGCGACGAACCGCTGGTTGGATGGATGGGATTTTGATGGGAAGATTGGTATAATGTGTACATACATTATAAATCATTATAATACATTGTAAATAAAATCAAGAGTATAGCCAAATTGGAATAAAAACAAGAAACAACTGATGATTTAAGCAGCAATAAACGGAATTTAACTGGCAATATGACTAGCTGATGGTTTCCACCCACCATTGGTTCAACCTTTGTCCTGGCAGGTTCCAACGTGGAATACTGGAGTTCCCGCGGCTGGATCCCAACCCAGGCTGGATTCCAACCGGCTCCAAGCAGTGGCTGCGATCCCAGTTGGTTGATACTTGCGAAAAAATGACTATCCATTAGGGGAATCCATTTTTTCACCAACCAGTTTATATTCAATATTTAATGTCTTGGGGTAAATTGTCTGGAGCCACATGCCATGATCGCGTGTTTATACCATCAGTGTCAGTAGGCATCCTTGCGCAGACCAGGTGAAGCGCTACGATAAGGTGACTGGCCTGTATGACCTCGAGTGCAAACCACAAGTCCATCGAACAAATGTGCGGCCCGCATGATTCTTGACTGGGAAATTGGATGAAATCGGGTGGTGCATCAAAAGCCGAGGTACTCCTTACACCTGGGACGAACTGGGATCTAACGGTTTAAATTCCCCAGCAACTAGGCATTTCGGGTTGTGCTGTACACATACACAGCATAATTACGAAAGCCAGCTAGCTGGCTAGTTGCTGTTTGCGAACGAAGTGAGAATAGGGGGTGTGGGGGGGGGTGGTTGCCGAAAGGGAACGAAATCTCGCCGTGCCCCTGTGTTGAGCGCCAGAAAACGGAGCATTTTGCTGGATTATGTACCACTAGGTAATTTGCTGACGGTGGGGTATCGATTCCCCCTAGGTCCGCCTTTTTGGTGGCCGGAGAGACCATGAGGATGTATTGGAAAATACAATGAAACTGCAGGAAAACATGATAACGATCAGAGGAAATCTTACAAAATCCCCTGGAAAACGGACGAAAACGGAGCGAATGCTAAGAACAAACCATGGAAATCCCTTGGAAAATAGAGGAAGCCGGAGCGAATGCTAGGCGCAAACCATGACGATGCAGTAAGCATGCTGGAAAAATACAATGAAAGTGCAGGAAAATGTGATAACAACGAGAGGAAATGGTGCAAAAAGGATCGGAAAATGAAGGAGACAGGTAAAACTCTTGGATTAATGTGAATATTGAAAAGGTATGAAAATGCAGGAAACCAGAGGAAATGGTGCAAAAACCTATGGAGGAAAGAGGTGAAAATGATAGGAAACATGTAGTAACAAAAATGCTGGACAAAACATATTGAAAACCCACGAAGAGGATGTATTGGAAAATACAATGAAACTTGAGGAAAACATGATAACGATCAGAGGAAAATGCTAGGAACAAACCATGCAAAATCTGTTGGAACATGGAGGAAACCGGAGTGACTGCTAGGAACAAACTATGACGATGCAGTAAACATGCTGGAAAAAGACAGTGAAAGTGCAGGAAAATGCGATAACAACCAGAGGAAATGGTACAAAAACGATCGGAAAATGAAGGAGACGGGTAAAATTCTTGGAAAAATACATTGAAAATGCAGCAAACCAGAGGAAATGGTGCAAAAAGGAGACGGGTCAAAATCTTGGAAAAATAGATTAAAAATGCATGAATAGACTGAAAACCAACGAAGAGGATACAGAAACTGCAGGAAAACATGATAACAATCAGAGGAAATCGTGCAAAATCCACTGGAAAATGCTGGAAAGATACAGTGAAGGAAAATGTGATAACAACCTGGCAGGAAAATGTGATAACAACCAGAATAAAGGGTTCAAAATCTGTTGGAACATGGAGGAAACCGGAGCGACAGCTAGGAACAAACTATGACGATGCAGTAAACATGCTGGAAAAATACAGTGAAAGTGCAGGAAAATGCGATAACAACCAGAGGAAATGGTGCAAAAACGATCGGAAACTGAAGGAGACGGGTAAAACTCTTGGAAAAATATTTTGAAAATGCATGAAATGCAGGAAACGAGAGGAAATGGTACAAAAAGCCATAGAGGAAAGCGGTGAACATGATAGGAAACATGTAGTAACAAAAATGCTGGACAAAACACAGTGAAAACCTACAAAAGAGAAGAAGGTAACCACAGGAAACGGTAGAAAAAGCAGTGGAAACTGGAAGAAAAGTTGTGACAATATTAGGAAAACGGTGTACAAGCTAGGAAATGCTTGTAACAACTAGAGGAAACGATGTAGAAAACAGTACAGCATGGAGGACACGCGTGAACATGCTAGGAGGCATGTAACTTGTTAGAAAAATACAGTGAAAACCTAGGAAAATGTTATAACTAAAAATGCTTTAAAAATATAGTGAACACCAAGACAATGTCAACGAGCGGAAACGTTGAGCAGGAAATCCGATTTGGTTTCTGTAGATAATGTTAGATGATGAGCAATGTAGTTTGGTGATAGGAAATAGTGGCTGACTCGCGTACAAGACATTGCCATGAAACCTTGGAGCAAGATGCGGATGGTATCGGGAAAAAGATGTATGAGTTGTAAGATTTTAGGAGTTGCATGGGAAAATTGGTTTCATGGTAATGTGTGTGAAGTTAGAAAAGTGTGATTTCGTTCACAGAGTAAGAAAAATAAATACAATCTGCAGATTAGAGTATTTATAATGCTTAAAGCTGTTTGACGTTTTTTGGTGCCTCCCTGATTCTGGTAGTTTTGTGATAAGAACTGCAAAAACGATCTACTGGTAAACGGAAGGAATAGTCTTTCCGGTTTAGAACTGAGTCGACTGTCAAGTGATGCATAGGCTCCAGGCCTCTGGTTATTGTCACAAAGCATTGGAATGAAGATTGCGCCCAGGAGCCACCTAGGTTAGGAGACAAATGCTGTAATATCATTGTAAGAGGCCGTGCTGAGAAGGCTGAAACAGAGCTAAAAGTGAATCTTGTACTAAAACATCGAGAAAGAATTTGAATCTTCTAATGGCGATGACGGGAATGATATGCATCTGTACGTCCGTGATAGTATGTGTGCCTTTTAAAAGGGATGTTTGGCGAGTGTGATAGCTGAGAAGATTTTCCGGGATGCCAAACAATTATCTCTATCAATGTCAGGGATGATGCTATTCCGCGACATTTCCTGTAAAATACCTATTTTCCAGACCCTTGGGGGGTGGGGGGGGGGGTACCCAGGTCTGCAAATGGCCTAAATATATATACGTTTGATTTGGACTGCATGTTCGCCACTGTTCTATATTTCCCGTGGGTTTTGCATTGTTTTCCTCGATTTTCATTCGTTCTTATACCCTTTCTTACGTACGTTATAATATTGTCTTGGGTTTGCACTGCCCATTTTGCGATTAGAGCTATGTTTTGATTTCTCACCGTACGGCCAAAATGTTGCGGAACTTCGCGGAGAAGCATGGACCACGATTCTGGGGAGAAAACAATTTAGACTTTGAGAGGTCACATGACCACTGTTCACACAAAAAAGCGGGTATTATTTATCTACAATAGGTGGGAGCAAACTTGCGCTGTTTTAAGATAATGAGCAACCAAAGGCGGATTTACGGAACTTGAGATAGAACTTTTCACAATGCCGCAGTACATTGTAGGAAACATATTTGGATATAGAAGTTACAAAATCGTGGAGTTTACCTTAAAAAGGTCCATTTAATGATTGGAAAATTATGACCCGATAGCAATTGTTGATGTTGGGGCGCTTCATGTTTGAGCCATGCCATATGGATGAGGTGGAGTTTCACGCGCCCCCGCGCGAGTCAAACAGCAAGCGCTGGCTTTCGTTCCACCCCTTCTCAGGTGTGTGAATATATATATATATAATATATATAATATATATAATATATATAATATATATATATAATATATATATATAATATATATATATTATATATATAATATAATAATTATGTATATTTGGTATATCCGGATGGCGATGGGGCTGTGTACCAGTAGGATCATCCGTGGATGAACATCCAGATTGGAATGTGAGGCGAGCCGCAGAAATATGCGATCGGTGAGTGGATTCAATATTACAGCGTTGGCCAGAAATGCTGGGGCCCTGCGCAGGCTGGCTGTGGTGCAGTGCAATACTTGATCTGATACGTAGCGTATATACACATGTTTTGAAGCTTTCTGTTCACAATTGTTCACATTTACAAGATAAAGTCAACAGAATTTCCTCTTACAGGGAGGTTTGGAATAGAAAAGGATCAGATATGCAGTGCTTTCATCTTTCCCTGCAGGTGCTTGAATTCACTGGACGCAACTACGCTGTGACATGCAAGCAGGGATTTGTCCCGCCGTGGAAGCTTCGGACACCTGGCGGTGTAGGACTTTTTCCAACACTTGGGAATCAGACGTGATAGATTAGCAGTATCACAGACATTCACAGACAATAAGAATTATATAGAATTATGATGATGATCATCAAGCCACTGATCTTGGGCCTCAATGACAAAGTGTGTTGGGACCATTGGGCCTGCCATTGGGATGTTATGATGTTGGATGATCTCAGGAAATGGAAAGGCGAGATCACCCGGCCCCAGGGCTGTGTGATCAGGCTCGTGGATTTTGGGCAGCTCCCCCGTATCCACTGATGGAAGGATATGGACATGGGATGATGTGGGTATAAACCGTATCCAAGCAGCAATTGCGGATGGAATCAACGATTCAAGGGACTGCGACAATTGAGATGTGATGAACAACACTGGAATTTGCTATAAGCCAACAAAGATGATGTAAATCAAGAATCCAGGGAATAAGACAACTTTTTCGGGTCCCAAAGGGAAACATCCACAAGTGGATGCTTGACATTGCTTGCCTTCCCCAGGGGCCGTGGCCGCGGACAAACTGTGAATTGGGACGATGATCGCAACGGAGCGAGCGTCTTCATAGAGGTTGGCAGCCTGGCAGGACCGAAGCATTGGACACGGACCCACTGGGCCATCAATGGATCCAACTTTTTCTGGCCATTTTCAGTCACAAATTTTCAATTTCCGGGTCGAATAATTTAGACCCATACCTGATAGTACCTTACACCCTGCAGAACCTGGAAGTGCCAAAAGCTCTACATCCATCAGCGCGGGGCACTGCAGCTTTCACTTGCCTGTGGGCCTCCCTGGAACACCCAAATCGGCTGGCGCGGCTGGCACTGAAGAACGAGTCTCGCACAAGGTGCATATTCCACTAATCTTCCAACTTAGGGTCTTCAACAAGCACATGACATGGACTGTGTTGGGAAGAGGAGAACAGAGGTTTTGCTGTGCTGGTTCCACTTGTCTTTGTTGTAGGCTAGGACACAGAGAATTGACATGAACTGAAGTCTTCCACGTGGCAAAAGGAAAGTACTGCTTTCCAAACTTCCTGTGAAGGCCAGTGAAAATTCGCAGCCAGAGCGAATTGAAAGCCAGCCAAGCATGCGTAGCGGTCGTCTTACTGCTGTTCCAGGAGTGTCGGGAATGATGTCTTACATTACATGTTTTTCCATTTTTTTCCTTAGGATTTCATGAATCTTTGCAGTTGAAATAGCCATCTGCAATCCACACTATCTACACATAGATCTTCAATGACCCAAATGAATCATAGATGTCTGCTCAATTGCAGAGCCACAATCAGCACTCTGATCACTAGCTGCCGTCCATTTGCAGATCCTGGAAGCAGCAACTACGCTGCAGTTCCTGTTGGAAGCTTTTCCATGCAGATGGGTGTTCCTGCTGGGGCGTTCCCTGGGGGCACTGAAGCTAGACCAATGCGGAAGGCAGGGTTCATGAGGGGCGCAGTGAAGGAATGGAGATGGGACACAAGGAAACTTCCGGGTTGAGATATGAAAAGAGTTCACGCTGACATTACCGATGGCAAAATTGGAAAATGCTGATTGATGCAGCACACATTTTAGGCAATGATTTCTTGGATCGTACTGCATAAATGACTGAGAGTTTTGACTGTTTGAGAGTTTATATTTCTATTCTGTATTTATTCGGTATTGCCCACAGAATTGAAATGAACTGAAGTCTTCCACGTGGCAAAAAGAAAGTACTGCTTGTCCAAACTTGCTGTGAAGGCCAGTGAAAATTCGCAGCCAGAGCGAATGGAAAGCCAGCCAAGCATGCGTAGCGGTCGTCTTACTGTTGTTCCAGGAGTGTCGGGAATGATGTCTTACATTACATGTTTTTCCATTTTTTCCTTAGGATTTCATGAATCTTTGCAGTTGAAATAGCCATCTGCAATCTACACTATCTACACATAGATCTTCAATGACCCAAATGAATCATAGATGTCTGCTCAATTGCAGAGCCACAATCAGCACTCTGATCACTAGCTGCCGTCCATTTGCAGATCCTGGAAGCAACAACTACGCTGCAGTTCCTGTTGGAAGCTTTCCCATGCAGATGGGTGTTCCTGCTGGGGCGTTCCCTGGGGGCACTGAAGCTAGACCAATGCGGAAGGCAGGGTTCATGAGGGGCGCAGTGAAGGAATGGAGATGGGACACAAGGAAACTTCCGGGTTGAGATATGAAAAGAGTTCACGCTGACATTACCGATGGCAAAATTGGAAAATGCTGATTGATGCAGCACACATTTTAGGCGATGATTTCTTGGATCGTACTGCATAAATGACTGAGAGTTTTGACTGTTTGGGAGTCTGTATTTCTATTCTGTATTTATTCGGTATTGCCAGGTGTGGTTATTATTTTGGGAAGCTTCTGAAACATTCGTTTTTTTGTTCCAGGTGAATTTGAGAGTTCGTTTCTTCGAGACTTTTCAGATTCAATTTTGAAGTCTTTGGTGGATGCGTTTTTCGTTATTTTTCTTGTGATTGTGCAATCTTACATCAGTACGCTGGAAGCAAGCAATCTTCCAACTTAGGGTCTTCAACAAGCACATGACATGGACTGTGTTGGGAATAGGAGAACAGAGGTTTTGCTATGCTGGTTCCACTTGTCTTTGTTGTAGGCTAGAACACACAGAATTGAAATGAACTGAAGTCTTCCACGTGGCAAAAGGAAAGTACTGCTTTCCAACTTCCTGTGAAGGCCAGTGAAAATTCGCAGCCAGAGCGAATGGAAAGCCAGCCAAGCATGCGTAGCGGTCGTCTTACTGTTGTTCCAGGAGTGTCGGGAATGATGTCTTACATTACATGTTTTTCCATTTTTTCCTTAGGATTTCATGAATCTTTGCAGTTGAAATAGCCATCTGCAATCTACACTATCTACACATAGATCTACAATGACCCAAATGAATCATAGATGTCTGCTCAATTGCAGAGCCACAATCAGCACTCTGATCACTAGCTGCCGTCCATTTGCAGATCCTGGAAGCAGCAACTACGCTGCAGTTCCTGTTGGAAACTTTCCCATGCAGATGGGTGTTCCTGCTGGGGCGTTCCCTGGGGGCACTGAAGCTAGACCAATGCGGAAGGCAGGGTTCATGAGGGGCGCAGTGAAGGAATGGAGATGGGACACAAGGAAACTTCCGGGTTGAGATATGAAAAGAGTTCACGCTGACATTACCGATGGCAAAATTGGAAAATGCTGATTGATGCAGCACACATTTTAGGCAATGATTTCTTGGATCGTACTGCATAAATGACTGAGAGTTTTGACTGTTTGAGAGTCTGTATTTCTATTCTGTATTTATTCGGTGTTGCCAGGTGTGGTTATTATCTTGGGAAGCTTCTGAAACATTCGTTTTTTTGTTCTAGGTGAATTTGAGAGTTCGTTTCTTCGAGACTTTTCAGATTCAATTTTGAAGTCTTTGGTGGATGCGTTTTTCGTTATTTTTCTTGTGATTGTGCAATCTTACATCAGTACGCTGGAAGCAAGCAATCTTCCAACTTAGGGTCTTCAACAAGCACATGACATGGACTGTGTTGGGAATAGGAGAACGGAGGTTTTGCTGTGCTGGTTCCACTTGTCTTTGTTGTAGGCTAGAACACACAGAATTGAAATGAACTGAAGTCTTCCACGTGACAAAAGGAAAGTACTGCTTTCCAACTTCCTGTGAAGGCCAGTGAAAATTCGCAGCCAGAGCGAATGGAAAGCCAGCCAAGCATCCGTAGCGGTCGTCTTACTGTTGTTCCAGGAGTGTCGGGAATGATGTCTTACATTACATGTTTTTCCATTTTTTCCTTAGGATTTCATGAATCTTTGCAGTTAAAATAGCCATCTGCAATCCACACTATCTACACATAGATCTACAATGACCCAAATGAATCATAGATGTCTGGTCAATTGCAGAGCCACAATCAGCACTCTGATCACTAGCTGCCGTCCATTTGCAGATCCAGGAAGCAACAACTACGCTGCAGTTCCTGTTGGAAGCTTTCCCATGCAGATGGGTGTTCCTGCTGGGGCGTTCCCTGGGGGCACTGAAGCTAGACCAATGCGGAAGGCAGGGTTCATGAGGGGCGCAGTGAAGGAATGGAGATGGGACACAAGGAAACTTCCGGGTTGAGATATGAAAAGAGTTCACGCTGACATTACCGATGGCAAAATTGGAAAATGCTGATTGATGCAGCACACATTTTAGGCAATGATTTCTTGGATCGTACTGCATAAATGACTGAGAGTTTTGACTGTTTGGGAGTCTGTGTTTCTATTCTGTATTTATTCGGTATTGCCAGGTGTGGTTATTATTTTGGGAAGCTTCTGAAACATTCGTTTTTTTGTTCTAGGTGAATTTGAGAGTTCGTTTCTTCGAGACTTTTCAGATTCAATTTTGAGGTCTTTGGTGGATGTGTTTTTCGTTATTTTTCTTGCGATCGTGCAATCTTACATCAGTACGCTGGAAGCAAGCAATCTTCCAACTTAGGGTCTTCAACAAGCACATGACATGGACTGTGTTGGGAATAGGAGAACAGAGGTTTTGCTGTGCTGGTTCCACTTGTCTTTGTTGTAGGCTAGAACACACAGAATTGAAATGAATGAAGTCTTCCACGTGACAAAAGGAAAGTACTGCTTTCCAAACTTCCTGTGAAGGCCAGTGAGAATTCGCAGCCAGAGCGAATGGAAAGCCAGAGAAGCGAAGCTGCGCAGAGCACACGCTGCTCCACTGTCAGCGATTCTGAGGCTGAGATGTTCCCGGAGGGATCGCTGGTGGAGTATCGGCTGCTTAGCAGATCCAAGATGGAAGGCTTAGAAGAGCATTTGGAAGTTACAGTCCAATGGTCTGGAGCAAATTTTGGCTGCTTCTAGCAGACGATATACATATTTCATCATATTTCATCTATTTACAACTAAGGAGTCAATCGAACAACGAGTGCTGGATGAAAGCAGTTGTGCGTCGAATTCATCTTTCCGATTCGGGCTCCAAGCTCTACGATCTGAATATCAGGGAGAAGGCAGACCCTTCACGCATCAGGCCCAACCGGCCACAGCGATTACCCCCTGGGTCCATTGGATCAAATCATGATGGGGGACTTTTTCATACTACTAGTATAGATCAATTGATATCAACTGTGTTGATATTCCCCAGATTTCTCATGAGATCGATGGAATATTTGCTCCATGTTGATCATATAGAGAGCATATTTGAAAAAAGTTGCTCCATGTTGGCTCCATGTTGATCCCATTCAACTTCCAGCCTGATCCGACTGATCCGACTGATCCGACGTCAGGTTGTCGCAGCCACAGCCGCAGCCGAGCATTCCCCGAAACGATGGGAAAATCAGCCTGTGGATCCGCAGCTCGGATGTGACATGATGTGACTCTGTTGCGGTTGCAATGGCTGCCGTTGTTGCCGTTGTTCTCCAAAGCTGAGATTCTAAGGACCTGATTAGTCTGATGAATACCTGATGAATACCTGATGAATATCTGATGAATATGAATGGAATGGAATTGATTGTGCCCTGGTTGCAGCAGACTGCTGGTTGGGTCTTCTGCTAGACCCTTTTTGCATTCATATGATTCAGCACTTGCGGTGTTGATTGCTACCTGGGTGCCACTCATTTCTGGCCGAGGGGCTCCAAATTCTGTACATTATGCAACGACGACTGCATAGAGTGATGTGCTTAGCAAATCCTTGGATGATCAGACCCTGTATTACTCTAGAGTCTCTAGAGTCTCTAGAAGTCAGTCATGATGTTGTGCAATTCTTCTCTTTCAAGTTGAAAGGAATCTTACTGTTTCCAGTTGTTTCCAGCGGGCTTCGCATATCAGTATGAGTCGAGTGAGTCTAGGTGTCATGTCAGCCACTCTTGCTTCTTCATTGGAAAGGAAGAGGCTTCGGGTCAAATGCCCAGGTCACTCCTGGTGTTGAGGTTGAAACATGGATTGCAGTTGACTCACCCAAGCTGTTTGAAGTTCCGATGACCCGCTGCGTAGACACACACCTAGCAGCCAAATTATATTAATGATGTATGCCGCCAGAGAGAGCGACAGCAGCCTCAAAAGCTCTCCTCTCATTATGAGACTTGATTCAGTGTACAGCTTTCGGTTTTTCTCAAACCCAAAGCTTGTGCTTTTCTGCACTGGCATCGATCTCGCCCCAGGGGTTGGAACATGTATACACTGCCAGTTGGGTACGCTCTTTGTTTCCGAAGCGACGACGCCTTCGTCGCATTTTGAGCTTTGGACCCAAGGGGCCAATGTTGGAGATCGACCAACTCATTTCGGGACCTTTCCAGCGACGGCTGAGAGACAAAACTCTGCGATACTGGCGATACTAGTACATTCCACTATTGAAGAACTATGAAGAACCTGTGGATGACACAAGTTCTATTTGCGCCTATCAGTTGGTGCTTGGTGAATATTTGTTTTTTTGCTTTGGAGACAACAGGCTTTGGCAGTAGGACTACATCAAGCTCTCTAAACCAGGAGTTTTCATGATAGTAAATAGTAAGCACATAGAGAAGCCAGATAAGAAAATGCAGTTCGGAAAACAAGGAATACTTTTCCATGCTAGCAGTACCAGCGGTCCCAAATTTGCTCAGTTCGATTCAATGTCCACAGCCTTCCGGGCGACGGCCAAGAATGACTTATGGCCTATCAGCCAGTGCCAGCGTCAGCCGATTTTGGCCGAAGGGCCATGTCTTGCCAGCGTATGCCGTTGAGGTGTTGGAAACCGATGCAAGTGTTGCTCCATGAAATGCCCCCTTTCATTTGGGCAACCCCAGCTGATTCCCAGTGGCTTTGAATTTTGACGAACTACATGACTTTCTCCTTAAACTTTTGCGGAAAGGGCAAGATGTGGGAGAGACCCTGCTTCAGCAGGTACTCTTCAAGGGGGTCCAAATTCAAGTTATTTCCAGGAACTGCCAGGAACTTTCAGATCCAACCCAACACTGGTTTTTTTCAGTCCAGCAGAACCTTGTCCCCACGGCAGCTGGATGACCAAATTGCGGCATCAATTAGATCCCCAGCCATCCCCAGCCATCAAACGATGGGTGGACGTCGCTGGTGGATTTTCAGTTGCGGCTGCGCCACGTAGCGATGTTGGGTGGTGGTGTCGAAGGTTTCGCCGCCAAGCCCGGGCCAATGGGCGATGGCGCGCGCAGAGATCAGGGTTCTGCAACTACACCTCCGGCTTCCAGTGCCAGAGAAACGTCGCATTTCTTCTTGATCAACAGAGTGACAAGACATTTACATGGCTTTTCTCACAAGTGTTAGGGAAAAATGATGGTAGATATTGGATGATATTGGTAGATTGAATGCTGAACATCCAATTTGGGGCCATGATGCCTAAAGGATGCTGCTCGGCTGGTCGTGGGAGGTGCCACGGTAATTCGAGCTGTGCGGCTCAGCCCGTGGCTTGGATGCTCTTGGAAGCAAAAGATGGGCAGATTGCATCAAGCCAGAGGTTGTATCAACATGTATATCATGTATATCATGTGTATATATATATATACACATATATATTATACATACACATGTATGATATGTATATATATATATTACAATTACATTAAGAGAGGAGAAACAGGAGTGCAACAGAGTTGCATCTCAAAATACAGATCTTCACATGGCTCACAGATGGCCGCCTTCCTCACACTGCCAGGGAGGCTGCGCCTTATGTGGTGGAGGCCTCCAGCAGAGTGGTATCGTGGGGGGACAGTCCCTCCCTTAATAGGATGGGGATAGATGGGGTTCATGTAGTTGAGATAAAGAATCCCATTGATGGGTGGGAATTGAAGAAGCTCCAGCTGTGGCGCACTGTGGACAAACTGTGGATCCCACGTGGGCATTTGATTTGCCAATTCAATCGTTGGTTGGGGGGTATTCACTGCTTTTTCACACACCCACATGTAGGTTGAAACAAACGTTTCATTTTTCACCGGTTAAATTATGTTTCGATAAACAATTATGCGCGCATACATATATATATAGTTATATATATATATATAGTTATATAATATATACATAATATATGTATAGTTGTACATATAATATATATATATACAAGTTTATCCCGAAATCTTCATTCTTTCTGGTGACACTGTGACACATCGCCCCGAGCGCAGTCGTGTTCCAGGCAGCCTTGGCCAACTCGCCGGAGACGCTCAGAACATTGGAAGAGTGCGGCTTGCCCTTGACCCAGGTTGGATTGAAGCTGCAGAAATCACTGGGATGTTTATCATAAAAAAATGTAAAAAAGGCATACGTACCCTCTGGTAAACTAAGAGTTTGCTTTTTGAAACATCACCATTAAAATAATAGGGAAATCAACTTTAAATGGCCATTTTGAATAGCTATGTCAGATTAGGGTAGGGGTCTCGGGGATATGACTGGCGCGGGGGAATGATCCAGTTAACTGGTAAGGGCTACTGGGATTATCATCGGGATTGCTGGGATGTTTACTACTGGTAAGGGGTAATTGAATCGTACTAAACCACACAAAACAAACTGGATCAGTAGTTCGTTATTAGGATACGACTGGAATATTGCTAGGAGATATCCCATGAATATCCGAAATCATATCATCGGAAATATCTGGGATGTCTACTATCACTATTACTAGGATATATATAGGGTATGATAGCGGAATGATCCATGTAACTTATTTGTAGGAGATCCAATTGTTCCCAGACGAGTATGATGATGTGTAGGGGAAAACACTGAGATTTATTGGGATTTCATCGAAATCAGAATTCTCATGCCACTGTTTTCCCATGGTTTTCCCATGGTTTTCCCATGGTTTTCCCATGGTTTTCCAAGTATCAACCCACTGATTCACTGGGATGGGATTGGCACAGCATCTGTGCAGGTGGGCCACGTGGCGGTGCTGGAGAGGGGACGAGGAGCGCGCGCCTCCTTGGTGACTTCACCCATGGGTGCAGCGGTCCGGAGCCCTTTCTCGGACTGGGTTTTCTTCGTGGTTAGCCATGAAGCCATGTTCTTCGTGCCATGTGTGAATGTTTTTTTTTCCTTTTTTTTTCTGATCATCTGATCAAAATAGATTCTTAGTAAATGTTCAGCTGTAAAGATAGAGAGCATTCTCGGAATTGGTTGCATGCCAATGATTGCTGGGAGTAAAAAAAAAGTAGGGTGAGGCCGAGTCACTCATCATGGTGGGATGCATGCTCGGGCGTTCTGAACACTATTTTTGTTGAGGCATGGGGATTGAAGATGGCAGCGCTCAAGGACACATCTGCAAAGCCTCCTGTTTTTTCATGCACGGGGAGACATTGCAGCTTAATTGTGGAGGTCAAGCAGTCAAGCCTAGGTGGATGCTCTCCAAATCTTTCGTAGCTGACACTGCAGTGATCTGTCAGGAGTTGGTCTCGTTCCCTGATTTGGACACGGTGGGCGACAGGGTCATGGGGTTGGATCCTCTTGGGTCCTCTTGGGTTGTCAAGTCCCCAAACTTCCAAACCCATCAAGTCTATGAGTCAAACCTCAAATCTGCTGTCTTCACATCCAATCGGCTTCCAATCGGCTTCCAATCGGCTTCCAATCTCAGTGGGAACCTTTCGCCAGGAAGTGAAAGCTGAGGTCAAGGCCATTGGCTCAGGCCCGATTTCAGACCCGGCCGAGTCCATCAAAACCGTTTGATTTGGGAACCACGGACTGAAACTAGATCCCATTAGATCCCATTATTGATGGACACACCTGTCACCTGAAATATATCTATCTATATATATATATAATATACACACACGCACACTTGAGGATTTGGCGGTTCCGTTCAAAAGTTTGGTGGGCGGTCTGTGCCTTTTTGATCATTGCCAGCTGTATTCCGAACGAATCTTCCCAATGCAGGTAGCAACGCACGGCTCCAGGACAGTTCCAATTGGGGTTCGAGGGAAAAATTGGGGTTGGGGATGCACTTGGTCGGTTCCTGCCTGGCATTTGACTCCAAAGGATGGGTTTGGAAGAAGGATTCTTTCAGCTAGAGGGCTAGGAAGCGAGTGCACATAGCTTGTTGTTGTCCACTATCTAACTTGATTCCTCTTGATTCCTTCGGAATAGTCTCTTTTCCTGATTTGTTGTAAGAACACCAATTTTCACCAAAGAGCTGTGCAATGCCGGTCATTAGTTTCTGGCTTCATTTGTTTTGGATTCGAACCATTGATTTCAATTCTGAGCGCTCCAAGGCGAGAGTCATCCCATGCTCAAGGTCACAGGTTTACTCGCTGTGCGAAGGACTTTGCTTGGGCAATGGGTGCCACGCCACTGATCTTGGCAGTGCAAGCCGCAGGCTGCATGGAAGCCCTGAAGATCCAGCGCTATTGAAATGCTGCAGGGATGGTGTTTTTTTCTCTTGTAATTTTGATTAATTTTGAATGTTTGACAGGAATTCGAGGTTTTTTGACCCACTCAAATCTGCCAGTATTTCCTTTCAAATCCACTTCATTTGGATTCTTGGATTCCTGGGGTTTCGCCAGCAACACCAACGTGGCAGGTCGGGGCACTCATAACGTGAAAGATCCGGATGAGGCCGGCTATGGCGGTGTTCCTCAGACCTGACAATCATTTTGAATGTCGAATGCAGTTGTACCTCCATGTCGTAAATGTGGTAAACCCAAGACAATTTATACAATTCGGGCTTATTTATTGTTTATATAACCATGCTCACTTTGGGTTTGACTCAAATTTGGCTAATAACCGCCATTGATAAATTGTACCCGCAGAACAAATTGTAATGCTGAACCCCAGATTTCTAAGTAGTAACCAACTTAGGAAAAACTGAAGTTGAGAAACTCTTCACTGGAAGCAACGGAAGGAGCTGCATTTGTGATAGTGTTTAGGTTTGCACATGTTTGCACTATCCTATGGAGTACTCTTGAAGCTTTTGGTCCTGCATCCACTGCATCCACTGCATCCACTGCATCCACCATCTCCAACTTCTTTGACGGCCTTTTGTTGGCTTCAGCAACCTCGCCGAGCTTGTGCGAACTTGAGATGTTTCCCGTGGTCATGACACAAGCTGAAACATTTTGGATGTTGACAAGTCAAATGTTCTGCAAATGTTTGTATCACGCTTTTGCTTTCTCTCTTGATCTCTGGGAATCTGTTCGCAACGGCCTCGTTGCGTTTTTCGCGATCCAATCGTTCCGTGCCTTCAGCATAAAATGGTAAGAGGCTCGATGAACAGCAGTGTCGGTTCTCTATGCACAGGGAGTTGGAGTAAGTGGTTGTTCTTACCGGTCTTACCGGGTGTGCCATTGGGCCAAGGCTATGTGGCTTTGTGACTTCTGGCAGTTCTTGACTTGCCAAGGGTTTGATCCTCAGAGGAGAGGTTGATACCGGTCATACTCTGATGTTGTAGGGATGATGACAAGGTAAGCATTCACTATTTCAATCCGCTGGTGCAAACTGATGTGGTAAGCCCAAGAATAAACCTACTATTTGGAGTGATTAAACTACCCATTTATGGTCATATATGGGATGGTTTATAAATGTTTATAATGCGGTTTAATCCTCTCAGATGCTGTGTTCGGCCTTCGGTGTCCTCCAGCAGGTTTCTGGAGCAGAACACCGAACTGTTGGCTGAGGCTGTGACTGCTTGGTTTACAGCTTGTTTCATTGGGTCTCAAAGCATGATGCAGAAAGTTTACCATGATGATAAATGCAGATAATTACATATATACACGTATATATATACACACATATATATAGATACGTATATATATACATGATGATTATTAGTTTATACGTATACAATTCCCAAGGGCTTTGATTTGGATTCCGTCAATTCTCAACAACTTTAAGCTGACACTGGCCAGGTAAGCACGCCGGAGCGTGAATTTGTGGCTTCCTCAGTGATACACAAGTGAGATGTCCAGGTGACCCACTGGGAGTTGGCCAACATCAATTCGGGTGAATCCTATCTGTAGTGTGAGAATACTGTTGATTCACTTGATTACTATTTGCAATCTTGGATAGTTTTTTTGTGTGACATTTGGGATTCACATCCAAATCTGATCTTGGCCAACAGCGGCAGTCATGGGTAATGGCCTCTGGGATTCTTCTTCCAACAGCCCCTTTGCTTTGATGCCACCATGGGTACATCTCGGTACATCTCGGTACATCCCATTGACTTCACCCCAACATCAACGCCCGCATGCTCTAAGGTTGTCGAAAAACAAGTTGCAAAAGACAGCTTTTTGGTTCCCAAGGCTCCGATTGGTCCTAAACGGGGGTACAGTTTTTTGGCTTGTGAACAGGTTGAGAGGAGATGCTAGCAACAAACAGAGACCGGGGTTATGACAATGCAGACCCTTTTGGATATATTCAGTAGATATATGTAGATAACAGGTGATATCAGCAAGTGCCTCTTGAAAACACATGCAGTCCATTTGTTTTTGAAGCTCCGCCTTAGAACCTGTTGGGCTCAGTCAGCTGTGGCCAAGGGTTTCAATGTGTCCAGACCCCCAGCTGGGAGCCACTGCACAGGGCTCGGCTGGGGGATCACAGCTGCAATGAGAGGAGGATGGTGACAGTCTTTGGTTTTGGAAAGGCTGTACCACTGGTGTTCCTTCCCTGGGTTTCAGCGGTTTCAGCTTCTTCATTTGTTCACTTGATCCCACAAGTGCCTTGGCAAGCGTTGCCAAGTCTAGACGTTGGCCTAGAGCGTGCTGCTCGAGCAGAATATGAGATGGGTGTCCAAGCATGGAACCTGCGACAAGCAGAACAAGGCTTGGAACTATTTCTCAAGAGTGCCCAAAAGGGTCACGAAGTTGGAGAATATTGTTTTCGCTACGGCATGTACCATGAATTTCCACCCTCAGATATGCAACAAGCCTTCCGCTGGTACAAGCGCGGAGCGCGGATGAATCACAAGGGCTCCACCACGATGCTGGGGAAGCTCCACATGGCGGCGGGGCATCGGGACGAAGCCATGCACTTTCTGCAACGGACAGGGCTTCCCAACACTGGCCGATTGATTCCGGGGATGGACGAGCCCTTCAGGCACCGAAGTCCGAACTTCTTGGCTTAGGGATGCTTAGGGTTTAGGAAGTTGACATCAAACACGCCAACTCAAACAGGCAATTTCACGACTTTTGGTGAACGGTTGTCCTTTTCGCAACGGTATGTAGTTTCAAAGAGCATTTTCAGACGCTTCAATCCCAGGACACTGCGAGCAGCCCACTACTTTTCCACGAATTTGGGTTTCACGTCTTTCACACACTGATCAATCTGACTAGATTCGGATTCCATACAGCAACAATCTGGGACGGATCCAATTTGGGAATTCTTCTAGGTTGTAGATTCTTCCCAAAATGATTATCCCAGTTCCGGGACAAAAATATGCCGCTGATCGGGCGGTCCGCATCTGCCAGGAGTCTGTCTGTGGAGGACCTCGCAGGGAAGGGCCACGGCGGCGAACGCGGGGACTCTTTGGCCCAGTGGTGCCTCGAAAACAGCTGGAGGGCTAGTCATCGGTTCTCAACCGTCTCAACCCTTCCATTTTGGATCATTTTTGGGGTATCCTAATATCCAACATGTGAGCGGTGATTTGATGCAGGACCCCAGATCCTGACCCCCCCATGGCCCCATGGGTTTGCATTCAGTTTTCTTTCAACAACCATCTCAAGTGACAAAACCCAGCAACCCTCAATCTCTTGTTGCAGTGGCTGCAACTTGTAGTAATACATAATATATATATAATTATATATATTATATATATTATATTATAGATATACCCACATATATTATATTATATTATATATATATATTATATTATAGATATACCCATATATATATATGTATATATATATATTATGTATAAAATACACATACACTCTCTGTCTCAATCCCCAGTTGTTCTTCTTCTTTCCACGGGACAATTGAAGTGCTGCACCTCCCCAACTTGGTCTGGTCATCCACCGTTGGGACTCCGTCTATCCTTCTCTGTCGTATTTTAGCTCCCATCTATGGATATGACACGACATGGCCATCCCCAGCTGACTTAACCCGTTGAAGCTTCCGTTATTACTATCACTATTAATTATCATCATTATTACGCATATTTAGTTGGTATTTAGTTGGTATGTTTACTACTATCATCACTATTCCTACCATATATTACTTTTCGTGGTGTCCTGAGGTTCTTGGGTGAGCTCTTCCTACAATCTGCCAAGCTCCGCGACGCGGTGAAGTGGTGGAAACGCTCCGCGGAGAACGGGGACAGCGATGCCATGATGCGGCTGTCGCAGGTCTTTCGAGAGGGTGCCATTGGAGTTCCGCAGGAGCTTGGGAAAATGTGGGTAAACTTCGGGTAAACCATGGGTAAAACAGGGGTAAACTATGGTTAAACTATGGGTAAACCATAGGGAACCCAATCAGAAGCTCATCTCTTCCGGTCAGGCCCTCGCTTACGCCTTCTTTTTGGTCGTTTGAGCCTTCCTGGTAGATGAAGTATACCCAAGATCATCTGTCACCGCCACAGTTCTGTCCCCACTTTCCCCTGTCCTCAGACCCTAAAGCTGAAACCTAAAGGTATGTACCCAGTATCCAAGATGGACTGCTCAAGTGAGAAAATATCGGCTTAAGTGAGCCTGGCACCCTCATGGTTCTTGGATGAACCATCAACTCATAAACTTCAAATTGGGAGTTTAGGGATGGTTTTCAATGTTTCAATACCCCTCAAATGGTTCAATTGGGGTAAATTGGGATGGTCAATGGCATTTTCTTTACCACACCGTAAGGGAAGCTCATAAGTTACAGCCAAAATGGGCATGGTTAGGCAGATCCTAGGCAGTTTAGATTTGATTCGTCATTGAAGAATTGGTTGGAGATTGGAATGTAGATACGAGCCAAACGGAACATGTTATTTTCCACTCTAATGGACAGTGAAGCCGAAGAATTTTGGAGGGGTTGAAACACACGACGAATCCAAAACCTGGTAACTCTGTGCAGACAGCCTGATTTCGGTGAAGTTTTCCCATTGACCCATAGCAACCCACATCAGACGTTCCACGTTTTGGGGCGGCGAAACGTTGAGCCACAGCAATTTGAGGATATCCAGGGATCCCACCTGACATGATGTTATGATATGTTATGCATCCAATCTACTTGATGCCGTGGTTCAAACATGTTCAAACCGGAGTTTTCGGTCGTTTTCCATATTTTCCCTGAAATGAATCCATTGATATCCATTGCTAAAAGGATTTACAACCAGCTAGGAGCCTATGCTGGCGCGGCACTGGCTCTTTGCGGCGGCGGCGCATGGTCATAAAGATGCACTGGATCATGTGAATTGGGCTGGTGCAAAGCGCCCCAGGGTGGAACAAGAATGGATGGATTTGATGGAAGACCGTGGATGGGTTTGAAATGTTGAAATGTTGAAATTTTGGTTTGAATGATTGCATTGAAGAGTGGATCATACCTTTGGTACAGCCGAACATTTGGTGCTGAACTGATCCAGAACATGACTTGTTGGGCCTTCTTGGTTGCTTGATCCATTCTTCAGGATTGGAATGGTCTGGAATCGTCCGGACTACGAAAACGAATGTGTTTTGACACGTTTGCCACTTCGGGCGTGTCTAGACAAGTCTCGTGTTTCACTTTGTCTCAAACAGGGGCACGCAAAGACCTCGGCTCCCGAGTCGCAAGAAAGTGAAGCTCACTGATGGTATCTGATGGTCATGTTCTCCAGTTGCGGAATATCCATTGGCAGTTCTGCTAATATGAGTCATTCTTTGTTGGAAGCGAATGCCTGCAGAGCGCACCAGCTGCATCTGGATCCCTAACGCTGTCGTTGAAGAAATTCTGCGGCTCAGGTGGAGACACAAAGGTCTCGAAGCACAGAGGAAGGATCTGAACGGTCTCGGACGTCTCGCATCCAAAGTGGGTTTGGACCTCAGTCCTTCATAGTCCTTCCAGGCGGCAGCGCCACGACAGCAACATCTGGCAACTGAGGAGCTCGGAAGGCTCTGCTGCCTTCTTCCTGAAGGCATGAAGCTTTGGGCACTCTTGGTTGGTTTGGTGCGGGTGAGTAGTCACAAGTGGAATTGTTACAAGATAGCAGAGGTAAGGAGATGTAATTAGATAGAATAACTGCAGATCCACATTCTTCCTGTCCTTCCTGCCCTTGCAAGGATGCAGCAGACAGCTGGGAGATGGAGGCCCAAGCAAGCGGCAGTTGTCAGCAAGCTGCCAGCGCTCTTTGTTTGGGCTGCAAACGACTATGGTACATCACATCCATTCACATCATGCTAGTAGCAACAACTTCACTCCCAGTAAGGTTTGTTTTCCGGCACTGTTACTCCCCTCAAGAATTGTCGCTATGGATGTGTAAGATTTCCCGGTAAAGATTATTTGTGCAAGCGTTGAAGAGGATCAACAACCAAAGGACGTTTCAATCAAGAAGACACTTGGACTGAACCCAGAAACATATGTGTACATATTTATATAATATATAATATATCATATATATATAATATACACACACGTACATGTAAAAGTACTATATATGTTATACACAAAGATACGCACAGATATGTTACTGTGTTATTCCGTGTTATTGCATTTTTTAAAGTCAATTTGTGTACTCGAATTCTCCGGGGCCAGGACCACGAGGCGCCTCCCCGTGACAAAGAGGCTGAAGCGCTTGAGCGCCGCAAGTGGGAGGAGGCGCATGCGATTTCGCGATCCACCGGTAGAGGTTACAACATGAAAACCATACAGAAACCACCAGTTTATGGGGAAATCAATGGGTAATTGGGATAACCATCATAAACATATGGACAATTGGGGATCTAATGGAGTTTCACCGTGTCTAAAGTTGTGGTCCCACGGTTTGCATTGTTTGGTGGCCACGGATATGTCTTCCACCGGTGACCTCGTCATAACTGAGATTCGCGTTGCTTTTTTGAGGTGGATCTGTGAGGGGCATCTCAAGTGTCAAGGAACATTTCCATATCATAGTCATAGTCATAGTATGATGATGTCCAAATAGATGGGGATATGAGAGGTATCTTGGGTTGTTGACAAAAGGGTTCCCCCTTTGTCCATCCAAGCATGGCTTCAAAAAATAGAGATCTCCCCACCAATCGGGTGGTTTTAAATTCATTAAGAAACACGTAACATTCATCAGCCGTTGGTTTTGTAGAATTTTAGATCCAAAACAAACACGACTAACCAGGCGTGATTAAAAATCCCATCAGGTCACAACTACGTCCATGAAATCCCTCATGACTTACTGCGAAACGTAGGGAATGGGGTAACCTACTGTAGTCCATAACTATCAACCACCATCCCATTCCCCCATTCCCTACCTTTCGCACCAGTAGGATGATGGCTATAATCCCATATCCCATTATAATCCAGTTATAATCCCATATCATCCCATTGTAATCCCATCATAATCCCATTAAAATCCCCATAAAATCCCTATCTAAGCAGTGAATCACCCAGGAGGAGGCACGTCTGGAGCGCCGTGCCGCCCAGCATGCGGCCCGTGCCGAAGCGGAGCGCCGCAGGCTTTTTTTTCTCCGGGAATCCCATGTTTTTTTTCATGGGGAATGCCATGGGGATATCAATGGGATATCAATGTTATCATAGCACATTAATATGGGATTTATGAAATTTATGATATATAATTATGAATAGCACTACCATTATAGCCACTATGAAATATCATTATCAGTGAAATCAGTATTAAAATAATTCATCGCAATATTATTAGTTATTACTTTACTATTATCCGATATATTATCGTCATTAAAAAAAGTGATCATAATAATGGCAATAACAACAATGATGAGAACAACTATTGTTATATATATATACACACAGAACCGTTATAGCCAACCGGATTGGGATTGTGTAAGCACCCATATGATGGAAATTATAATCTGAATGGGGATAGATGCCCGAGCACATTTGGACATGGTGTTGGTTTCGTTTACGCAAAGACTCATTGACAGAGAAACTCTGGAGTGTTGCTGCACTTGCTGCTCGTACCCCTTTCACTGTACATTGACATTTTTTGATTGCAAACAACAATTAAGATTGCCCGTAGAGCAAGTTGAGAATGATACAACTCCCATTTGGCACTGACTCCTATCTTCGATCACCCACTCCAACTTCAATTTGCACTGAGTAACTCCTATGAGAATTTTCGTGCATCCACCTTTGTCCAACCAACCAACCGGAAAAAATTAGCATATCTTGCCTTGGTGCAGGGCTTATCTGGAGATGCTGGAGAGTGAACGCGTCGTAGCCAGGTGCAGCTGAGATCTGAAGATTTTATCGAGATAAGGTGATCAGCATTGAAACCAACTGTTTTTTCGGGCTTCCCTTGTTTTGGATTCCGATGTCGCGGTGTCCATCAGATCATCAGTGTAGCAGCTCATATTTTTGAATTGGCAGGTTTTTGAAGCAGCACGGGTTTGGAGGAGTCAATTGTCAGGACCTGAGACCACAGGTCAGGCTTAAGTCTGCAGTCACAAAAGGTGCGCCTGAGCTATGAAAAATACCACCGATGATTGTCTTTTTTTTAGGGGTTTGTTCATCTTGTACAGACTGGTTTAGTGTGGAGAACCATAACCCATAATAGGGATATACCATCATATACCATTATAGTGGATATTCAATGGTAATATTCCATTATAACCCATAATAGGGATAGTGATTTGATATCCATAATATATGGTACATATATAGGATACTATATTAACCCATATTATAACCATCTAATATAGGGATATACCATAATATACCTATTTACCAAGCAGATTCTGATGGGATTGCCAGCTCCTGGGATTGCCCTGGGATTGCCCAGGCCCCAAGCGTAACATGCTGGGCCGCCACTTGTACCCGCTGCACAAAGCATCCGACATGGGAAATGCCAGGCGGGAAACCAACGGGAACCTCCCCGTTGGTTTCAGAAAAAATGGTTTATGAATGAGTATCATCTGAGATAAATATAACATAATATAACCATGAAACGATAGGAATACTATGGAATACTGAAAGTTATGATAATTGTCACAATGGTCACACACTTCTAATATAATCGCAATTTACTACGTGACCATATTTTGTATTATGAATTATATCATTGCTACTATATGAAATACTATGAAAATATTGTGAGATATCATGAATTACCCACATTCAATACCGCTGGTGCCATCGTTTTTCAATCACCAGCGGACTCCAGGCTGGTGCGCATGCTCTTGCGCGAAGGTGCCATTCCGCCTCTTGGTGGCGCCATGGGGCACCAGGGGTCATGGGAGGTGAAGGGCTCGACAGATTCATAGATATTCATCCGTATATATATATATATATGTATGTAAATGATATTACATACGCTCATATAACATAATACATACAGAATCATACATATATTTGTTGTTGAATATGTATATGTATATTATATGTATGTATATGTACAGTATATAAATACATGTATAGTATATAGAAATATGTATAGTATATAAATATATGTATGTATCGTATATACATATATGTATGGTATATAAAATAAATAGATGAATACATAATTGAATAAACAAATAGTCGACAAATACATAAATAAACATGTATATGATCATGTGTCCGTATATGTGGATGTATATGTATGTATATGCATATGTATATGTATTTGTATATGTACATGTACACGTACATGATGTATACGATGTGTATGGTGTAAACAATGTATACGATGTACATGAGGTGAATGATGTATATGATGTGTATGTACATGTGTATATATATATGTATGTATGTATGCATGTATGCATGTATGGATGTATGGATGTATGTATCTATGTATCTATGTACCTATGTATCTATGTATCTATGTATCTATGTACCTATGTATCTATGTATCTACTCTATGTATCTATGTATCTATGCATCTATGTATCTATGTATCAATGTATGTATGTATGTATGTATGTATGTATTTATATAATGTATGTATGTATGTATGTATGTTATGTTATGTTATGTTATGTTATGTAATGCAGTGTAATGTAATGTAGTGTGGTGTAATGTTATGTAATGTTATGCAATGTTATGTAATGTTTTGTAATGTTATGTAATGTCATGTAATGTTATGTAATGTTATGTAATGTTATGTAATGTTATGTAATGTTATGTAGTGTAACGTAATGTAATGTAATGTTATGTAATGTAATGGTATGTAATGGTATGTAATGGTATGTAATGGTATGTAATGGTATGTATGTATGTAGGTAGGTAGGTAGGTATGTAGGTATGTAGGTATGTAGGTATGTAGGTATGGATGTATGGATGTATGGATGTATGGATGTATGGATGTATGGATTTATGGATGTATGGATGTATGGATGTATGGATGTATGGATGTATGGATGTATGGATGTATGGATGTATGATGTATGGATGTATGGATGTATGGATGTATGGATGTATGGATGTATGGATGTATGGATGTATGGATGTATGGATGTATGGATGTATGGATGTATGGAGGTATGGATGTATGTATGTATGGATGTATGGATGTATGGATGTATGGATGTATGGATGTATGGATGTATGGATGTATGGATGTATGGATGTATGTATGTATGGATGTATGGATGTATGGATGTGTGGATGTATGGATGTATGGATGTATGGATGTATGGATGTATGTATGTATGTATGGATGTATGGATGTATGGATGTATGGATGTATGGATGTATGTATGCATGCATGCATGCATGTATGCATGTATGTATGTATGTATGTATGTATGTATGTATGTATGTATGTATGTATGTATGTATGTATGTATGTATGTATGTATGTATGTGTATATACATACACGGACGCATAAATAGAGCAATCCAACAGTTGGACAGACTTGTGACACCATGGCACTCAGGAAGATGTTGGATTCCTGTGGACGCACTGCATTGGTTGTGGCTGGGAGCCTCAACACATGAACTGAGGACATCCGTGAGAACACTCGGATTTTCACCTGTTCATTTGTTGTGCGACCCATCAATAAATATATGATCCTTAAAACCTTAAAGTGTCTCTGACTCACCATTTCCCATTTCCGGCCCAGCACAAGTGGGACCTGGGTCCAGTTGAATCCGCAGGCTGAGAAGCGCAATCGAAATGGGTCACATTCCAAGGCGGCTGCAATTGCTTGGGAGATGGTTCCATCGGAAAACATCTCCGAATTTCTCTATGATTCCCCATGATTTTTGTCAAACCCCTATTATTGATCTATTGAAATCTGCAAACTACCCAGTATTGATTGGTTACAGCTGGGTTTGTACATGTGGTACCCGAATCCCAGTGGATCATCATGATCTTTCCACTTGAAGTTGCGACATTTGGGTACATCTACCCCCAATGGGGATATTATATTCCCAGAGTACTATATATAATAATTTAGTTGATTTACATTTCTTTTTGAAGTGTTGGTTAAACCCACATCAGACACAATTATTCTTGTTGGTGACATTCTAGCTATTGATTTATGATACCCTTGTAACCCCTTACATACGATTTTTTGTCGGTTCAACCGGTTCAACCCCCAGTGTTTCTGTTGGTTAAATTCCCATAATGCGGTGTTTACCCAATTATAAACCCCCAATTTTGGGTCCAAAAACCATCCATGTCTCTTGATATTGGGAATGGGTTATGACATTTGGTAAAAACCACTGGTAGGCCACCATGATTGATTGATTTGCACGAAATTCTCACATTGACTATGATAAATTGATTGCTTGATAAATTCCAAATGATAACCACAAAATAATAGTTGGATTCCCAGTTGAACCACCAACAGGATTTTCATGATTAATCCACATTGATTGCTGGTTAGCTATTGGACCTCCCAGGTGATCGCATCATTGACTGCACCTTCTGCCGCAGCATCGCCGCATCAATATCTGTGCTGAGGAGCGCCGACAGATTTCATGGGGTTTTCACGGGGATTTGACGGGTTTTAACGGGGAGTTAGAATGATTTAATGGGGATTTAATGGAGGTTTAACCATCATTTATAGGCTTTAACCACCAAACATATTAGGATATGATTGATAGATGATGGATGGTTGATAATCATATATGTAATCATTGTGTGGAGTTGTGCGACCCAATATATTAGGGATTACTCTATCTCAACTTTGTTTTTGTTATTTTCATAGTACCTTATGGTGACAAGCAACCATTATATTTAAGATACTTTCCAATGGGTTTGACAGTCCTCCTCTTGGTTCGATGGGGATATGTATATACATATATATATATGGGGATACAACCAAGAAACAATGAAACTGGATTTTAAAGTGCAAGAATCATAAAGATTGATCCAGCAACAAAATGGACTATAGTGGGAAGGCATCTACTTCTCATAGTGGTGCAATAGAGATGAAACTCACTGCAGGCGCAGAAGTGACTAGTCGGCAGCCAGAGTCTTTAGCAATCCAGGGTTGGACAATGCGACAATGCCTGACTGAAGTTATGACTGGAAGTAGATGCAACTTGGCGATTGTGCAAAGTTGGCGAGATTGGTACTATGATTGAAAAAAGTCCAACCCTGGGTCACAATTCGAATGTCCTCAAAAGGCTGCTTTTGCTTTTGATGTGCCCCTCCTCGCGGAACGCCTCGTCAAGAGTAGTGTCACCCCAGGGGCACAGCGCTGAAACGAAGATATCTTCGATCTGATGGCTTCGCTCCGAGCTCCGAGCTCCATGCTTCGCTCCATGCTTCAACAGTTTGGGCGTAGACTTCGAGATCCGATGGATTCTGCAGATTCCTATCATTCCTATCGGAAATGATTGTCCCATCTTCAATATCTTCAATGGATTGTCCCCCAGTGGGGTTGGGGTTTGACAGTGATTTTGTTTTGAGTATGGAGTCACGAGTGAAAACTGATAGCTTTGGATACAGTAAAATCGAGGTCCCCCCAATGCCTGAAGAACAGAACCAGTGCTGGTGCCTGTCACTCCGAGGCCTTTGATTTGCACCATCCAGTTTCTTGCTACGTGAGCAACATGCAGATATTCTTAAACAACATTTAGTCCAGGACTGGAAAGATCTGTAGAGATGTTCCTTTCAAATTCAAAGCGCTTTAAGGAGTGCCACGACGCCACCACCTGTCATTGTGCTTTACGTACAGTTAGCCGTGACCTCTTCGGCTGCAGGCCACTTGCCGCAACGGTGATACTTCGTCAATCTCAGTGGTCTTAGCAGTGACTTTCCCAATAGTTTGGGTATGGCTCAAGTCATCGGATACCTGGGGTACCTAGGGCACCTGGACGAAACTTGATGAATGTTTCAATGAAACTTGCTCATTGTTGGAATTTCACTATCCCAACAATCCCAAAATGGGGGTCAATGATCTTGAGCCATACCCAAGGACGGTGGCTTTTGAAAACCTGCAGCTGTGACTTCCTTCCGGCCAGACCTGGGCCAATTTATTTGCATGCTTTCTTTCATTGTGATCTTGGTGCCCCTGCACCAGCCCCCTGTGTGGCGTGATGAGGACATTGGAATCATTGGAAATCCGTCTCTACTGACAGTTGGTCTTCAAACATGGTACTTGGATGATCAACTCTCGTCTCCCTTAGCTTCATCCCAAGTCAGAATTCAGAAATACTGGTTGAAATTCCATGTGCAAAACAGATCATCTAAGTACCATCTTTTTTTCGCTCCCAGACATCGCAAGTTTGGTCCTTTCACGCGCGGGGTGACCATCTGCGACCATTTGTGACCCATCCTCTCTGCCGGCCCTGTGTAAAGATTGATACCTTGGACAGCGACAGTCCGGCTTTGAATCAGAGCACTCAAGCCATGTCCAAGTTGACTAGCGATTTGGGACCGGACAGCAGCAACAAAACGGCTTGCCTTGAAATATCTTGAAATCCATGGTCCAAAGAGCTAACGGAAGAAATGTGCCTCTAGGAGACTAGGAATTCTGAGATCACACATGTTGAGGCCAGCCATACGAGAGAACACATATCAAGGTTCTCTCAACAGCCGACAAACTGCTTTCAAAAAGGAGGTATGCCGCGTTTCGCCCTCGAAATCTGGCAGCTTCATGGAAATTGAAGTTCGCAATGCATCCTTTTGTTTGGGACTGTTCTCATTTGTGATTTGGTTTTGCACCATTGGATCCATTGGGGTTGATGTTCTTGGCAGCCAATTCTGATCCACTTCTCCCGCTTGTACAGCTGACCAGGCTGCAGCTAATGCAGTGCAATTGTTGCTCAGCAACAATGCCAATCCCGAGGTTCTTTGCCATGGATTGTGGAGAGGTAATTAGGATTAATTAGGTGTATCATGTATCCCCACTGGTTTTTGCTTGCAGAAAATCGACAACCTCTTGGTGGTTCACATTAGTTCTTGAACGGATGCTACTTTCCTACTCTCTGGGATGACGCAATCAATGAGCAACGCTGATCGATGAACCGGTTTTTTTTAGGACCTGCGAATGACCAAATATCGGGGTCGAAGCCGGTTACTTTGCAACCACCAATTCCCCAGATTTCGGACCGCAATTTCCAGGTGCTCTCGGGTGCGGGAGAAGCTGCCTTGCATGTGGCCAGCCGCACGGGACTGCCCAAGGCGGAGCTTGGGTCCAAGACCCCAACCCATGTTTTTTAATGCGGACTTAATGGGGCTTTAATGGGGATTTTTATGATTTTTAATGTCTACTCGTCTACCCCAAGTCTTTTCAAGGATTTGAATGTAATTTGACCATATTTGACTTATCCTTTTATTGGGGTGCCAAAGCCAATGATTTTCGCACATAAATGTGTGGAATGTCCATTTGTTTGTTTATCAGATATTTTGATGTGACTAGCTGGGTATCATTGTTTGAGCGAAACCGCGGATTCTTTTGAGTTGCAGGCGTTCACTGTACACTTACAACCCTGGCAACTGGAATCAACCTAAGCAGAAAAAAAAATTGAAGAATGGAAGGCAAAGGACTGATTGGCCAATGGACTGGACATTCAGGTCAGATGCAACACCCAAAAGTCATCCGAGTATTTCAAGGTATGCATCCTGCCCCCTGTTTCCCACTTGACCAAGATTACACAAACATGATCAAGGATTGCTGGCGTGCAATGCTTGATTCCATGTGATGCGTCAACATAGAGCAAAATACACTGTAAGTTGCAGTACAAAATGACGTTTTCACGTTTTGGACTTTATCAAACATTGTTCGTCCGTGAAACCACAATGTCTCTATCCTGAATTAAATATCCTATATAGATGTCATCATCTACACATCACGACGTCGGTAAAATGAATAACCACAAACACCATTCCAATAAAGAAATAAGAAGATAACATCCGTGGTTTTAGCCTATGCACATGTATGCGCATGTATGCACATGGATATCGTACCAGGGTAGCAGCCGGGACTCCAAAAATTGGGTCAGGTTGTGAAAGCCCTGCTGGATGGCAATGCGAACCCGCTCTTGCGGAATGCACAAGGCCGGGTGGAGCCGTTGGCCCATCTTCCACCATTGCAGCCCTACAGCCAAAAGACAAAGTCGTGCCTTTTTGCGAAACGCGGGGGAACTCTGGTGATCTCAGCGCAAAGCGTGTTTTTAGTGTTTTAGTGTTTTTCTCTTGCGTTCAGGTTGGCTTTCAGTATCTACTTATGCTTAGGTTGTATGTACTTTTTGTTGCGTTCAGGTGGGGGAAACTGAGTTTGTTGCAGCTGCTTTCTTATCAGTTATTTTTTGTATGTTCAGAATTCCATGTGAAAGATATTATTGCAATGCAGGCTAATGACCGCAGTTAGGTTGTTTCTTGTGGCGACGCAGATGTGCATAATATTTCCGTCGTTATATATTTAGCTCGGGGCAAAGTCTTCTAGGCAACTGCTGTTAAACTGCTGCTCAATTGCTGGCTGCTGATCAGCTGCTGATCAGCTGCTGCTGGCTGCTGCCAAACTTCTCCTGCCACGGCTCGGTTCTTGTTTTTGATCTCGTTTTTTCCCTTAGATTCCCTGGCCGCATCTATACCACACAGCCATTAGCGCCTGATACGCCCGATACTTATATCTTTACCAATTCTATACCTATAGTTTGGAACAGCGATTGAGAGGTGGGCTTTTAACTTTTGCCTTGAACGCCTGGATATCGTTGGGATACATGTTTGGTTTCACCGCATAAATTTCTTATCTTAGAATCTTATGTTGGCAAAGGGAATCTGGGCACCTCAACAATTTGCCAATTTCATCTATTTTCGTGCTTCAACCCAGATTACAGGGGTACCTACTTTCAAGAAACACCACTCATAGGCGATACACCTCATGCAGTGGCTCAACGGGCTGGTCGTCCTGAATGTGCCGAACTCTTGTCCAAGGTGCATCATTGTCTTGTGGAAGATGGATGTACATCAACATGACGGTCCAGTTTATGATTCAAGTATACAACTTCAGTCGCAAGGACTGAAGGATATATCCACATGCCGCTCATATGCACACATACTGAATGGATGGATCTACTATGTACGTGCTGTTCGCGGCCATTGCCATTTATAGTTAGAGTTGCGTGGACTCACCAGTTGCTTTGCAGGTATCCACTGACGAACATCCGAGTGGTAGTGGCCCAGTCAGGGTTCTCAGTGTGTCGGCAGTGGCTACCAGGTTGCTGGTGGGACCTTTCAACGGCACAGGTGGAGCTGCTTGATGAAGAAGAGGCAGAGCAAGCCAAGCTCAGCAGGCACGACATTTTCGCAACGGCAGAACACACTTGCATTTGCTGTCAATGGCTGGTTGAAGAGATCAGGTGTCAAATTTCAGATCCGCAACAACAAAATCTATCAAAATCTGCCAGGGCGCGGGAAAAGAGGCGTGAAAAGAAGAGCAAGGCAGCCCAGCGGACACAAAGATCACAAAGGCTTCGGTTTGAACTTCACTTTCCAATATCAAAATGGTAGGATACTAACCACTATAGTAACCACTCACTACATGGTGACCTATTCCGTAACCACCGGTAACCACTATAGTCCCTAGTAGGTCACTGGCTGAAGCGGCTCCACCAAGGTCGCCAGCGTGAAAAGCGCGCTGGCACGCCGCCAGATGAAGTGGCCAAAGCCCCTGAGAAGGTGGACCGTTTTGGATCTGTGACTGAACTGTGGATACTGGAATATCTCCATAGATAAAGGGATATACATATAAACAGAATTAGAATGAATTAGATCATATTAGATAGATAGATAATGAATGATCATGATAGATACAATAGATACATGGATATGAACGGATATTAGTGGATTGAATTTATGGACACATGGCTGTAAGAAATACCTGCCAGGTCAGAGCCACTCAGCCTGCGCCGGAGAAGGAGATCAGTGGCGAGGTGGCAAGTTCACAGAGTGGCCTGTGAACTTGCCATTTTTTGATGTTTTTTTTTAATGTTCTTTTGATGATTTTTGTGGTATCTGGGGTCTATTTGTTGCCCAATTATTGTCAGGTAAGTACTGGGTTTAGTACAACAGGCATATATTATATAACGGGTATATCTAGCTCGATACAGCTGCAATCGCTAGCCGCGTAGAAGTGGTTGCAATCGATTGTAGCTGGTTATATATATATAATATTATATATATATATGTAGACCCAGTGAGAGCTGATCATGGCTTTTCAGTTGTGGCGCTCCATCAGGCGCTACAGAAGCGCGTGGCGGAGCTGAAACGCGAAAAGGCGCGCGCTGCGCAGAAGGTGAAACATCTCAGCAGGCGAGGAACCAAACATCCGAGTGGCGGTTGGGTGATGCGCGTTTTGTACCCTAAACATGTGATATAAGGGGATCTATATGATATATATATATAATTATATACATATGGAATAACCATTCGAAAATAATCTGGATATGTCTATATATACATATATAGCCAGCAATATGTGATTTTAGGGTGTGTCTGAAGATGGGGTATATCCCCAACCAACCACTTTAATTTGGGAAAATGAAAATTACAGTATGATTAACCACGGGATGATTGAATTGGTAACCCGGTTTTGGACAAACCCCACGATACAAACACTTGATCCAGAAACTATGTAATCCCAGAAGTGTTTTAGAAGCATCGAAAAGGGATAGCCTTCCAGAATTTGGTGGATGGACATACTTATAGGAAAACATCTACATTCTCCATATTCTACTCTGTACAAGTATTTGGAGGGTATAAACAATATGTTCCCATGAGTATTTTCCATATTTTCCCATGAGTCGACGCAGTGCCCCACGGTTTCGTGGTCCATGGCCGGCGGCCGAGGCGAGTAGAGGAAGAAACTGCCAAGGAGCAACAAAGCTCCTTGCAGCTGGAAGAATTGAGGCCTGCCCTCTTCAAATCTTATAGAACTTATAGTAATCTTATACATAGTCAATTAGTAAATCTTAGTAAATCTTAGTAAATCTTTTGCGCCCCAGGTGAACTGGAGAATCTTTCCCACAATTTCCACCCAACTCTTCACATTTTCCGCAGCATTTTTGCATCCAGCCAGGCGTCGCAGTGCCGAGCTGAAGAGCATGTGGTAAAGCCCAGCCGATGGCGTTGGAGCCACCTTTTTCGAGATTCATGGCCATGAAACATATAAAGTTAGGCATAGTTATGCTGTGTATGAACACATGAACCCACAAGTATGATGCTAACCCAATGGCTAACCATTGCGGTAACGAATGGCATGTAGTACTTCCTATGGATTATCAATGATCGTCATACTAGTATGTATTTATCAATTTGCTTACCTGTATTATGATCGTTTGAAGTAGGGAGGCCATGTCTACCTTCCTTAGAGCTGATATTGTCAGGGTAGTTCACATGGAAGTACAAGAGATTTGGTGACCTCTTGCGTCGTTGAGGTGCCAGAAGAAGAAGTCTGAAGCAGAAAAGGCAGAGGCACAGTCCCAGTGGTCCCAGTGCTTCGCTTGTAGCGCTGGGAATCCGGGTGGACTTCGCAGGCGGCAGCGCGTGGAGCGGAAGAAAAAGCGAATGCATTGATGCGGCAAAGTGCTGAACTCCAGGACGAGGCGCTGAACTGCCCTGACCGTGCGGTGACTGAAGCTGGTACAGACATCGACATCCTCATCCTCATCTTTCAGAGACAGGTGGACAGGTTTCAAAAAAGTCCTGGACTCCAAATCCGAGACGTCCCACGCGCGACAGGTGGCGCAGCATCGACAAGAACTCCAACAGGAGGCTGGCTTGGGTCGCTGGCATGGAGGTGACATGGAAGGGGCCACCTGAAATGGCTCAGAAAATTTCGGGACCTGAAGATTAATGGATTATCACCCGATATCACCCGGATACCCCTTTTATGTCTTAAGATCAACAAAAAACGAGCAAAATGGTATCGTCACAATATCTGAATATGATCACCATTGGATTTTGGGGTACCCCAATGGTACCAGATAACCCCAAAGGGATAATCGGAATCTTTGATGCGGCTGTTGACCATCCAGCTTGAAGGTACCAGAATGACAATGGACATGGATCCAACATCAAAAACATCAACTTTCTGTAGAGCATTCACCTAGTTGCTCCAACCAACAGTTCATGGGCAAGACCGACACACTTTCGGATTTTGCATTGAAATCCACCAGATCCAAAGACCTTCAGATCTTCCATTTGGACATTTACATCATCCAATTTCACAAGATCCGAAGTGTCACAAACAGTTTCAGCAAAATTACTGGTTAAATCCCCAGCTCCACTGATCGCCATGTCTCTGGCCGTCCTGTTGAACTTGGCCCTGGCTGCAGCGGGACCGCCCTATGCCCAGCTCCCAAGGGTGTTTTCCCCAACGGCCACCTTTCAGCTGAAAGATGGGAAGCAGATGCCCGTGATGGGTCTGGGGGTCTACATGATGAAACAGGGGGAGGAGACCTACAATGCCGCCGCTCTGGCTGCAGCTACGGAATGATGGAATGATGGAATGGCCGGGTTTTTGTTGGAGGTTTGCGAGAGGTGGTCAGCCTGAGTAGCGAACCCAGCCACCTTACGAATTTTCTTAGGTCATGCTATATATATATATACACACACGGTATATGTTAAATATAAAAATCATCCTTTTGCATCAGCAAGTTTCGTGAGGGCCTTTGGAATATTTTGCACATCAGGTGAAGTGGGCTCTGGATGCGGGGTATCGGATGATTGACACCGCGGCCATCTACGACAACGAGGAGAGCGTGGGAAAGGCGATCGCCGAGTCGGGCGTGTCCCGTGGCGAGATCTTCTTGGCCACCAAGCGACTGCGCCGCAGTAGTCAGAGGTCGGTAGATGTTTGTAATGTATCATAATGTATCATCCTAAATGTATGATTCTTATCATCCCTTTGATTTTTGTTTGTATCTTGTGAATAGATCAAATTCTATCAATATCTACCAAGTTTCAGGCTGTTGGGATATAATCATAGATATGATATATGTACATATATATATATATATATCTATATAGTAATGTATAATAATGTGTGTATATATTATATATTATATATTATATATTATATATTATATATTATATATTATATATTCTATATTCTATATTGTATATTATATATTATATATTATATATTATGTATTATATATTATATATTATATATTATATATTATTTATTATATATTATATATTATATATTATTTATTATATATTATATATTGTATATTATATATTATATATTATATATTATATATTATATATTATATATTATATATTATATATTATATATCATATATTATATATTATATATATATATTATATTATATATTATATATATTATATATTATATTTTATATTTTTTTATATTATATATTATATATTATATATTATATATTATATATTATATATTATATATTATATATTATATATTATATATATTATATATTATATATATTATATATTATATATTATATATTATATATTATATGTCAAAGGGAACACAGCGGTAGCACATGTAACAATGGACAATGTTACGGCCATTACTGGCTCAAGCGCCCGCAAGAGGAAAACGGCAGTGCGCGCTGACTGCAATGCCTGAGTGAGGTTCGGTAATAACTAGCACACAAGGTACTACCATTCGACTACATCCAGAACAAGGATTCATTTGTTCACAGGTTATCAGCCGTAGGGCTCACTTCTCCCGCCGGGAGAGTGGTACCTGCGTGCTGGTAGCCGGACCTTCTGAGCAATTGATTGAGGACGCAAAGGACCAATCAGCTCACCATCGCAAAGATGCAAGGCGGCAGCGAAGATTCGCGCACCACGCAGTTTACCTTCAATGAGAACGCTGCTATGCCGGTCGAGGAGGTGAATCAATCTTCCCCTGGCGACACGGCAGACAGTGGCGGGATACGCTCTACGAACTACACAGTCCGGATGGCAAGTCACATCAAACAGACGAAGAATATCCACCCAAAGTACACCTAGATCTTCTCGAAACAGTGCTCGGAGTGATGTTGTCCGTCAAGGGCATCGACCATCTCGAGGACGTACTACTCCAAGGGACAGATCCACCAGGGCCGTGACCGACCGAATTGGTGAGAGGACCGGGGATAGTCGTGTTAAGAGGAGATCAACGGATACTTCTGTGGCTAGTGAACCTATTGCCATGATAGAAGAACTACGGGCACAATGTCAATCCCTACGTAATCAGCTGAACAACATGGAAGCATACGCTGCATCCAGGGATCAACTGATTCATGACATCGAGATCAGGTTCACTGAGTATCTTCGGGAACACAATCAGAATGTATTTGATGAGGTCAATGCACTCAATCATAGATTGTCATGTTCCGCAAATGAGGTTGCAGAATATCAAGCAGAACTAATGGTAGCATCTCAGGAAGATGAAGGTGCAACAATACGCATCCAAGACCTTGAACGCCGAGGTGCCCTAATGGAACATGGTGCACGACGGATCCATCAACGTGGTATGGAGATCCAGGAGGAGTACAAGGATGAAGTACATCACCTTCAAGGACTACTGGGTAATACGGAGGCAAGACTACAACAACTTCATCAAACCAATGTCTTAACCACCGATATTGCCAATCGACTATACAATGAAGGTCAAGAAATGCAAAATGATTTCCAGAACTCAATCATGGAATATCGTAATCGATCTGAAATGGCATCCTTCCTCTAGTAATCAACTTGAAGTGATTAGCCAGCAACAATCAATTGCAGTTCATGAATTATCTGAGCGAAATCAGCTATTGAGTGAAGCCTTGATTCAGTCTCGTAAACAGGCCGAGCTGTATGAGAGCAGTATTGATGAGATCACTAGAGAATCTAGGAAGAAGGTGTTCGAGGCAAATCAGGCCAAATTGGAAAGTGATCTGAAGCATCGAAACACTGAACATGATACCGTCAAAAGAATTGCATCATATAGGAACCAAGAGGCCGAAGCAATATCTCACCTGAGGCTTGAATCACAGGCTAGTGCAAACTCGATCGCAAGGGCAGAGCACTATGAAGAGCTCTATGCCAACGAGCAGAAGATGAACTGCGAATTGAAGGATGAGATCAAGTTGCAGAACACGAAGTTACGAAGATCGTTGACTCAGGGTTCTACGACCGACGGTCGTGGCCCCGAAGAGATGCTTGTTGAAGATCTACGTAATCAAGCCAAGATCGCTCAAATCAGGGTTCAGGATCTAGATCATGAAGTTCATGAATGCTTACAAGAGAACTTGTTGTTAAAAGAAAGGTTGGCTGAAGTTGCGGATGTAGGGACGTCGTCCCTCACCAATGCCGAGGTCCGAACTCTAAGGTCTGAACTAGAGAGTGAGCGAAAATCAAAATTGGCGAGTGGTGTTCAACAATATGAGAGATCATGCATGTTCATGGGGGAAATCCAGGATAGGGATGAAAAGATTGGCATCAAGAATTCTGAGATTGTCGACATGAAACGTCACTTAGATGAACTGAGAAAGAGTCTCAAGGATTCTGAAACATCTATGGCTAGGATCAATCCTGACACACTTCCCTATTCGGCAGGCATTCCCAACTCCAATCTCGCATCCAGACTGGTCATCGACAAACTGGAGAATGACGTGAGTGAGGCTAACTGTGAAAACGCTATTCTGAAATCTTGGGTCTCGCAGATCGACAAGGAGTTGACTTATGAGACAAATGTAGCTCATTCCTATCGTGGGCATGCTTTACCTCCTCAACAACCACAGCATTCTCAATCAAGCAAAAGAATCGCTGATCTACTGAAAGAGGTTGACAACAAGATCGCTGGCGGAACTGAGAGGGAATACTACAAGCCACCGAGTGGATGGGGCGGTCCGCCTGACCCTGATGGACCTCCGGACCCTTTCGGGCCTAATGGTCCAGGACCACCTCCTGAACCTCCTGGTTTGCCTTCGGTTCGAGGATCACAACGCGATTCAGCAGATGATGTCTCCACAGCGGCTTACACTGCGGAAGAAGTACCAAGGATGTCAAGACGAGAGGCTGACAAAGTCTATGTTAGTCCATGGCCAAAGCAACAGAATCTTGGGGTTTGGCAATCAGATCTCATCAAGAGTGTTGTCCTTTCGGCAAATGACGGGGATAAAGCCGCATGGGAGGCATGGCTACAGCCGGCTATTCGACCTAATCCTGACATCGAGCTGTTGAATGACAGTGGGGGGCAACGGTATCAGTCCATCGACGCCAAGTTGTCAATCGCATTGTCAAACGTGATAGCCCAAGCCGGTGATGTTGCTCGTCATGTAGCGATCAAATTGAGATTGAGAACACAAAGTCATAGCCGAAGAGGAACCTACGTCATGGGACGGGAAATCTTGGCTTTGATTCTGGAGCACTTCAGAACCCCAGGTCAACGAGAAACATCTTTCACCATGGAGCACATCGTATCGATGAAGTATCTCGGTGACTCGAACCTAGAAGTGTTCTACGAGAAATGGATGGAGATGGTATCAAACATGATGCCGGATGACGTACCTCCTGATGATTGGCTTCGTGATGCTCTATACAAGAAGATTCGAAATTCGAGTCTTATGATGTTTGACATCAAGCAGTACGAGTCATGGATGGAAGGAGACCAAAGACGAAATTATCGCTACCTGTTGGATGTCATCGAAAGGCATATCTCCAGAATCAGAGAGGACAAGCATGTGGCAGCCAGAGAGAAGTATGCGAGAGACTTTGCAGGCGGCGGCAAACCTTCAGCTCCTGCTCCGAACCCAACTGCTGCTGCACCGGATGCAAATCCAAAAGCGAAGCCTAAAGCTACTCCCAAGGAGAAGGCAGCGCCCAAGGCGAAGGCCAAGGCCGATGCAGCTCCAGTTCTACCATCACCTCAGCCTAAACAGCATGCAAAAGGAAAAGGAAAAGGTCAAGGGAAAGGGAAGGACCGATCAAACGGCCGAAGTACCAGCCCCAGATCCAAGAGGAAGATCCCATGCCATTTCCATTTCATCAAGAAAGCATGCAGAAAAGGCAAGGATTGTGAATACAGTCACGACCAAAAGGTATTTGATGCGAACAAGAATGCAAAAGGCAACGGTCGGAAGCCAGGAACTCCAAGAAGTCAGTCTCCGGCAAACAAGACCAAGAAGATTGATGAACCATGCTGGCATTGGGCTAAGGGCAAGTGTCGGTATGGAGACAAATGCAACAAACGCCACGATCCTCATCTATTCAACACTGCTCCAAACACTGAAGCACCAAGCTCAAAGGCTACTCCTGCACTTATCCATGATTGGAGTGATGATGAAGGGACGTTCCATAAGGTTGCATCGAACGTGATCAAGAAGAAGATCAGATTTGATGAGTCTAAAACTCAAGTTCAAACTTACGTGAAGAAGGACTTCGTGAAGTGCAGCCGGAAATCCCAAACCATCCCCAAAGGTCATGGTAAAGTTGGCAAGCCCACTGATCAGATAAGGAAAGATGAGCAATGGTCTTATTCATGCAGGTTAGCTTCGAGCCGAGGGAAAGCAATGGCTATTCTGATCGATGAGAAGGGTGAACACAGTGACATTGATGAAGTCCTGGTCATAGTCGGCCCTAGCATGGACATCCTGATCAGACTCGACGTCGAGGACGGTGAGGTGTCCAGGGAAGTATTTGTGGAAAACTATGTTCAGCATATTGAAGGTCGATATGGTAAAAGGGGCAACACAATGTGTATCACCGTTCCTGTTGAAGAGAGAGATAAGAGATTCATATTGGATTCTGGAAGTGGCCATGATCTCATTTCATCCACACGGATAAGTAGAATGGATCTCCCAACATACGATGACAAGGTCGTCAACTTCCATACAGCAAATGGGGTAACGTGTTCGAC